GAAGAAGAAAGAAATAAGAGGCTAGGCTGGCATGTAACAGCAGCACCTCTTCCTACTTGGGGGAGTGTCGCCTTATTTATTTATTTCACAAAATTTATACACCACTTACTAGAACAAAAGGCTTCTTCTCAGTTTCCAGTAGACAGTCTAAAATAATCAAAAACATGTTACATAACGTTTTGAAAATATCAAATAAAATCAGTAATATCATGTGCTAAAATTACAGGCCTGGGTAGTCTTGCTGGAACAAAAAGGTTCTTAGCAGGCGCCGAAAACAATACAGCGAAGGTTTTCTCCATAATCCAGTTAGAACTGGCTAGGGTGTGTTAGTCTGTATGCCTAGTGAGCACAAGCTGTGTGGTTTTGTTGGTGTCTGTTGTTCTTGCATGAAGAAAATTGAATAAAGAACATTAACCGTTACTCCTGCTGTTTCTTGGCTTGGAGGAGGCTAGTTGGAAGGTCATCTCACAACAGAGAGCACTCTCCTCCTTGCCCAGTGGCGAAGGATACACGGGCCTGAGGATTGCTCCTGGGGTCTGGCAGAAAACACCTGTGGCAAAGCTCTGTGCTTTTCTCCATCCCTGTCCTGACATGGCTGGGAGCCCCTAACAAGAAAGCTTTTGTGGTCTTTCCTCCTGACCAAGAGGGCCCAAGGGTTTGCTTGGGTGGCTGGAGACAGTCAAGAGGAGCCTGGGAGTACATGAGGCCTATCACCTCACTTACACTATCGCAACCTCATACCTTCCAAGCACCCTGGGGGAGAAAGGGACATCCCATTATTATTTTTTGCACAAGATCTTGGCAGCCTTGGTAATCTGCACTGGGGAAGGTGAACATAGGAAGTTGACTTATAGCTAGTCAGACCATTGATCCATGATGATCAGCATTGTCTTTTTTTTTTAAGAATAATTTTTTATTAACCGACCAATCACATCAAATCAAACCAAATTACATAAATTCCAAATTACACAGCCGAATTTTAAATTTTTGTTGGGGGTACCCATATTTCAAGTTCTGAAGGGATCCAATCAACTTCTTGCTTCTTACTGCTGTTTTAATGTCCACAAATCTAACCTTATGATGTTCACAGTACTATCCAGTCCTTTCTTATTATTTTTCCACATCTCTTGTTGTTATTTTCATATATTTTCCTTTCTCTTTGTGACCTCTGATAGTCTCCGCAAGCTGGTTAGAACAGTTTGTAATCCTGCGTGGATATTAATTTTTTATCCAGTAGCCATATCCAGACGTTTTCCATATAACATCACTTCCATACATCAAAACAGTCTTAGTGTCATTAATCTTCACCAATCTGCCTCCTTTCTCAAAACCTCTGAGGAGATTCACTAGGAATGCAGTCTGAAAACAAATCCGTTCTTCCTCCCGGCTATAAATCCTTTGGCAAGATGGCGACTCGAATTAATTGCTGCGCCATTCCCAAAAGCTCTTATTGCTTCTCGGTCTCCATAAAGCATACTTTTGGTTAAAGTTTATCTCCACACAGACCTTGATCATCCTGCTTGGGTCAGTTCAACCGACGGTTCTAATGAGGAGGGGTTCTTGTAAATCACATAGAAGGAAAGTAGAAAAGGTTCCCCCCATTCAGCCCCGTTGTCAACATACCCCGCCTTTGGTGTATCTTCATCGTAAAATATTCCTGTTTCTCCAGCCCGTCGTCTTCTTTCGCAGAGGTCACTTAAATTAGCAGACTTCACTCCCTTCTTCACTTGAAATATGTGCATTTGCTTCTTTTGTAATTAATTATTCCAAATTGCTGCAACTAGTGCGCGATCAGAGACAGTGTCCAGGAGAGCCGAGGTCCACACGGGGGCATTCTGCCTAGGGCCCTCACCCCCTTCTTTCGAATTAGGGGTGATTTATGGGCACAGCAGGCAAGGGCAGTGTTCCCCATTTCCTTGGGGCAACAAGGGAGGCTGCCTACTCCCATAACAGCCTCTTAATTACCCTGTGTGGGTCGGAGAGATCGTATTGTCGGCCATCTTCCAATGCGCCCCCTAGTGGCCCCCTGATGATCAGCATTGTCAACAATGACAGGCAGCAGCATGTAGGCAAGAATCTCCAAGCCCTTCCCAGAGACACCAGGGATTGAACCTGGGACCTTTTGTATGCAAAACATGTGTATCTGCTGCAACCCCCGCCAACGCTTCCTGCCTTACCCACTTGAGTAGAAGAGGCAGTGTGGGGAAACTGGAATGTTGATGGTGTTGCCACATGTTGACAGATGCCTTTCATTCAGGCTGGTATAAGGGTGTCATTGGCAAGTGATCTTGTGAGTTACTAGGGAACTACACTGTGGAAATAGTTGCTCGTGTTGCTACATCAGCACTGGTTTCTGCAGCTGTTGAACTTCTGGCTTTGTTGCTGGTTGAGCAACAGATCATGACTTGTGCCCCACCTACACTATACATTTAAAGCAGTGCGATTCCACTTTAAATAGCCATGGCTTCGCCCTAAAGAATCATGGGAATTGTAATTTGTTAAGGGTGTTGTCAGGAGACCCCTACCCCCCCCTCAAGCTACAATTCCCAGAGTTCCCTGGGAAGAGGGACTGATTGTTAAACCACTCTGGAAACTGTGGCTCATAGCAATCGTCATCTTAGTTGACCCATCGGTTGAATACAAAGTTACCTTATACATCAATATGTATGTTTATGTGGAATTGGAATTGCCACAGCTACTATTCTTTAAATAAAACAAACCGATATTTTGTTGTGAATGCATATTTCTTTAAACACTTTCAATTGTGTCTTGCAATGACAAACTGGTGTTACCTACCATCTCCTCCCACATTCTTCTTTGACCTTTTTGGGATGAAGTCTTCATCCTTAGTATTAGTATAACAAAGCCTTAAGAATTGCACATAAATTCCCAGTCTATCACATCCTTCCTTTTGCCGAATACTGAACATTCTTTTCTTGCCCTAGCTGTTGTCTTTGGCTATAAAAACCGGTCTTTCCATTTAAAAAAAAAATCATGGAGGCTTTAATAGTGTATATATAGTTTCTGAATAAACATTTGCTTTCTATCAAAACAGCTGTTCTCAGTCACTCTACTAATTATTTCAAACTGATTAGTTTATAATCAGTTTTCCAGTATATGTATAAGGGTGCTTAATACTCTCCCCAGTACAGATTCAATTAAAAACCAGATTTCCGAAGTATTGTGTAAATAACCTTCAGTGTTAAAACTGTAGTGTACTCTGGGCTGAACCTACCATTAGGCAGGCTTAGACAACCTGCCCTGGATGCCAGATTTTGAAGAACCATCCAAGCACAGCAAATAGTCAATAATTGGGTTTAATATAATATATTTTGCTACCATGAGAGAACCTTTTTATTTTCTTCTTTGGGTTCCAAAGTGCCTCAAACCATTTGTATGGTGCAAAGTCAGAGGTGTCTGCATTTCAACTAGTAGATAAGATAGTTTCTGTTTTCACAGTTTTGAACCAGGACTCCCAAATTCCAGCACATTACTTCCTTGGGCCACCAACACTCTCATTTCTGTAGTAAGCCTGATAGGTAGTGTTCTGGACTCCAAGAGAACCTCTCAGTCTGCTAACTCCTAGGATCAATTCTGGTGCACTATAAAGCCCTGGTCTCAAAAGGTGCTCCATCACAAAGCTTAGAGTGCTGAGGAGTAGACAGTCAAGTTGGTTTGGAAAATGAAGTATAAACAACTCAGATAAATACTTTAAAACTTCCAAAACCAGGTTTCTCACAATATCGGTTTAACGCAGGAAATTCTACCCAAGCAATCAATGTAACGGATAGTCACTATATCAAAAATTATCACATTAATTAGCTGGAGAGGAATTTTCTACACCACTCTTCATATTCCCATTTCAACATTTGATTCTTAAGTGGGAATTTGGAGTCAAGCCTCCCAACCCTGCCAAAAGCAGAAATAACATGGCATATATGATGCTCCTTTGGTTAAACAGACTCCACCGGCTATTGCAGAGGCCCCCTTAGAAGGGAAAATTAAAACCAGAAACACAAATCCAGCCATCATGTGGGAGGTGATTAACAGTTTAAATAACCCAGCTGTACAAGACCTGTTCAATATTCCAGAAACCGTATGAATGTGAATTGGACTCACTGCATTACGACTTCAAAAGTAGATACTGACCACACTTATGGGCCCCCCTGATTTAATCTAGTGATGTCATGAAGGAGGAGGCATATATCCAGAGGACAGCATATAATTGTCCCTATGCTACACTCTATTGAGGTTCCAGCAACAAAGGGCACCATTTGTTATGCGGCATATCCAATGAACAAGCCAGGTGGTAATGAAAAGAACAGACGTTAGGAGCAATTTGAGTCTAGTGAGCTGCTCATGGTTTTAGATTGGAAACGGCAGGTATGCGTGGGAAGGGCAGGACAATAAAATGAACAAATATTTAAAAACAGATGTTAAGGGAATAGGGACTCCACTCAGGAACACTTACGCTTTGGTTGCTGTAAGAACTATGGATGAATCCCAGTAAAGGCAATGAAGTACCGGATTACTGTTCTTTTATAGTACAAAGGCTGTGTACTGCAGCCCCTTCCCGTGTTATTAATCTGGCTCCTCTCTGGTTACAAATGCAAAAACATTCCAGTCAACATGAATCACAGCATGCAGAAATGGAAAAGACCTAGCAAGCCATCCACTTTATCACTTAAGCAAAGTAGCATTGCTCTTTGCATGGCTGCACACATGCTCTACAGAATAAATGTTATTGTGTTGCTGTTTTTAATCTTGAATGCTTTAGCATGGGAACCCAAAGTCTATACCCAAAATAACCATGCAGCTGCCAGTTCAATTCTATAGTTTCTTGCGCAAGCAAAAAGGAGGACAGCTTCAAGCTCAAGAGACATATCACCAGTGTCTGTTGCAGCAGAGCACAGAGAACACCCTCCTGGTTTTATATATCAGGGCAAGTGACCAGTGGAACTATGCTGGCATGGCCAAAAGCATGATGATGGTGATCACAATTAATTTATTATTCACCTTCCAAACCACTGTCTCAAAGCAATTTACCCATCTGGTAAATTGCTTTGAGACAGTGGTTTGGAAGGTGATTAATAAATTGAAAGCAGTTAAAGCAGTTAAAGACTTAAACTAATGTTGCCACATTTCAATAAGTTAAAATTTGGCATAGTTGCTCAGCTATGGGTAATCATCCAAAGTTGTTGACCTTTTCTAGGGAGATAGGCAAGTGCTCTGAGCAATGTGGGGGCATGTTTACTCTCTGCCAGGGTTCTCTCACCAAAGAGTACTTGCCCCAAACTTAGGTCCTGGCTTCCAGGATTTCCAACACGTTGCAAGCTGGACAGTGTTTGCCGATGTCTATCCGAAGGCAAGTTACAAAATCTGGGCCTTTTTCATTTAGAAAAATGTAAGAGGAGACTTGATAAAGTGTTTTTATTTAATTTTTAAAAAACCCCAGTTAAAACAACAACTATTTTTGTGCTGGAGCTTCTCCAGACATTCATGCTTCATCCCCTCACACCATTCTCCAGGGATCATCTCTGATCTCTCTCATCCCAGTGTTTCCAGGAAACAAATGCCCCTACATTATTACACTGGCTACTCTGGAGTTCTTGAAAATGACCGGCTGGAATGAAAACATTTCAAAGACCAGAGGAGCTTAAAGTTACTGATATTTCCGTAGAACTGGTGGAGAAGGCCCTGGAGTCCCATCTCTTTCCAGTGACTGCTGTAGATGACAAATGGTGGAGGATTCTGATGAAGCCCTTCATACAATTTGAACACTGTCTAAATGTTATGGGGCAAGCTAATTTTTTTTACAATGATCTAGGCTTCGCTTTTCCCCATTTTTGGTGTGTGTGTGTGTAGTTTTAGAACCCCTTAAAATCTAATGGATTATCGCACCTTTCAGATACATGAGATGCTATCCCTAGTTTGCAAACATCCCCATGTGCACACACACGCAAACGCACCAGTGGAGGTTAAAGATCACGATTTGCCATAAGTACATGAAGCCTGCCTGACCTTTCAATGGAAATCGCAAATGTGTTGCGAGATAAGCGCAGTGACCGTTTACAACAGGAATAACACTCCAAGCTTTGCTAGCTTAACACTTAAGTGTTAAAAATAGGCATAGCTGTCAACGTTTTCCCTTTTTTAAGGGAAATTCCCTTGTTTCGTATAGGATTCCTCGCAAGAAAAGGGAAAAGTTGACAGCTATGAAAATAGGTAGCATTTTTGTATGTGTGTGGTGGTGATTTTAATTATACTGCATTGGGGTGGGTGGGTGTGTTTCAGGGCATATAAAGCCACAACATTAAAAGAGGTAATTTCACGGCACGGGAGAAATCCTTGTTCTTAATAACAACAACAGAGTGCCATAGTTGGGTGGCTCCAGCTTCAGGGAAGGAAAAAGAAAGAAGGTTGGTCCCTTGTTCTTTTATACAGAAGGCAGGCGTTGCTCAAAAAGGGCGCTATCTCTTTAAGAGAATCCAATTCCCCACGCGGGAGAGCGCGGAGATCACCTTGGCAACCGAAGCTCAGGCGACAGCGGACCGGAAGTGACCCGAGGGGGGGGGGAAGAGTTCGAAGGTCGAAGGTGGCGGCGGGAAGAAAATGGCGGCGGCGAGGGACTTGCCTTTGCATCTTAGCGGCTGGGACGCGCTGATGGGGGTCCTCGGCAGCCTGAGCCGGGGCTGAGGCGCCCGTTGCTGGTGACGCTTCGGAGCGTGGTGAAGGAGCCGCGAGGGCTGAGGCCTCCTTCTCCTCCTCCTCCAGCTGACGCTTCTGGGTCCGCGCATCAGGTGAGGGGAGTGAGGCTGGAGGCGGAGAGGGCTGGGCTAGGCTGGGCAACGGCTCACCCTGCGGACGGGGGCGGGTCGTCTCCGGGTGAAGTGGGGTTGGTGGAGGCGCCAATGCGTGCTCTAAATTTATCCCCCTCCCCTGGTACAAAACGGCCTTCGTCATTTTCCTGCTTCGGTTCCACCTCTTTAAACAGGCTTTTCTTCCTTCTGCTCTCCTGATAGCTGGGTGTTGCGCACGTGTGACGTGTTTTCATTTCCTCAGACCTTTTAGAAAGTGACGTTGACTTGCATGCTGACGTGCCGGCATAGTGGTGGATTGTGGCAAGGGAAATCCAATTCAACCCCCTGGCCGGCTATGACTTCCTGGGGTAGCTTGGCCGCAATTGTCTTCTTGCAGCCCAGTCTGTTTCTCAGTGTGGTCGTGAAACGGAAACGCCAGCTTGAGATCTTTGGAGGAAGGGTTGGTGACGAATATAGGTGGGATTAAAATATGTGCTAGTTTCGAGTCCTTGTCTTTCAATTCCAGGTTACAATGGGGTGCTTTAATTAAGAAAGTTGGGAGGGGTGCCTCATTTTGTATGCAGTGAGACTCATGTTGTACATAATATAGGATTCTTTAATTAAACTGCCACCTGCCTCAGTTTCCTTACTAATATTGTTTAGCTCAGTTATGACACTGCTTTTGCTGGATGAAGTAGACTGTTGATATTGAGGAAACCAGTATTTCAGATGTTTTTGAACCAACTCCCATCAGCCTCAGCTAGGCTGCTCCAATGGTCAGGGATGATGTGAATTTTAGCACAACAACATCTGGAGACCCACAGGTTCTCCAACCCTGCTGTATATTTCTGCTGATGTGCTAAAGTAGCACTCGCTCCCCCATGTACACCTGTGTAGTTACTGTCGTGTAAACTCAAGCTCTTACTGATCAGTGTATACATTTGGATGCTTTTTCTTCTAGGTCCTTAAGTTCCAGCTTATAAAGAAGATGTGTATTCAGAAATAAGTCCTACTGAGTTCTTACTCGAGCAAGTATGTTAGAATTGTTGCTAGCAGTGTATAATTAGGTAAAAGGAACTTTCCTGCTTAATGTCTTGAATACTAATGTATATCCCTCACTCCCTTCAAAGAGTTCAAGATGGGATACATGGTTCTTCTCCTCCTCCTCATTTTACACTTACTGACATACTGTGTGGTATGTTAGACTGCAAGACTGACTAAGCCAAGGTCATCAAATGAGCTTCAGGGCTGAATGGGGGTTCAAACCCCAGGTCCTGTCCAACACCCTATTAGGCTACACTTACTCTATTTAGGCTTACTTCTTCAGCGATGCCGATAGCTACCAATCTTACTTAAGCACAGATAAGATGACAGTGTCAAAGGAAAGCATGAAACACTAAGAACTTCCCCATCCGGGGCTGCCTTCAGATGTCTTCTAAAAGTCAGTTGTAAACTTGTATGATTTCAAAGAGAGAATTTTGTCAATGTGTAAAGTCTGTTCTGTTGAACATACGATTTAATGTTTTTGTAAGGACATACTCAAAATAGAGCTTAATATTGGCTTTCTCACTTTAAAACATTTAAAAATTGTTAAATTTGTTTAAAATTTGTCTAATTCAAAATCTGATTGTGATTCATTTGAAAGAGTGAATAAAGCAATTATGTATTTGTCATTGTTAAGATGTTCCATATCATTATCTAAAGTTTGCTAGATTCATATTCAGTGGCATGGAATGTTCTTACCTTGATCTTGTTTTGCTGGAACAGCCTTTGCTAATCTGGTGCCTTCCAGGTGTGTTGTACTACAGCACATCAATCCCAGATGCTATGCCTGATGTGAATTGTACTTGAAAACATCTATAGGTCAACAGGTTGGCAAAGGCGGCGCTTGAGAGTTTGTGTGCCAGCAAGTGGGTGGTCCCTATTTTTTATCTTAATTCTGATGCATCACAGTACTGAAATCATGAGATAAAGCTGGCAGGCCACTTCACAGGCTGGAGCTGAGCTGTCGGACAAAAACCAGTTTGTTACTTTTGCTATTCCATTTCAACATTAGATTATAAACAAACCACTTCTACATATTGCCTTAGGCTTATTAGTATGGCTTCACATGCTGCCCAAGAGCAAATTTCTGTCTATTGGTTAACAAGACATTCTTATTAACTCAATTATGCTTTTCTTCTTTGTTCATTAGCAGTCCACGTGTCAAGGTCTCTCCCAAAGGCAGTTTTTTTTTTTTATTACATTAGGAGAGGTTACACACAGATTTACTTTTCCACTGCTTCCATCTATCTTAGTTCATCATGGCTACCCCAGAATTTGGGCTTGGGAGTATTGGATTAACAATGGTCACCCTCCCAATGGTGCCCTCATTGACATGTAGAAGTTGATACATGTCATGGCAAGCCCCATTTGCCTTTGGACTTCTAGCGCTTGTGGATTTGTGGGTGCCCTTGTGGTCTTCTACATCCTTGTGGACTAGGTCTGCACCAACTGATGAGGCTAGAAGCTGATTTCAATAAATATCTTATAAAAAAAAAGAAGAAGCTGAGATACCTGTGGTGAGAATGAGTGAGGCTTGAACTATAGGTTTTATTTTTAAATACCTAGATGTCGGCACCACATCTTTAGGTACCAGTTTTGTACAGGAGTGATGAGGGAAAATTAAACTACCTCATTTGTCCATCTAGCTTGGTATGGACTTCCACATACTACCTAATCCTTTTAAACTAGAGGCATTGAGGTTTAGAACAAAGACCTGTATACAAAGCATGAGCTGATACAAAGCATCAGTTTTAGAAGCTTGAGAGACCAGGCTTCTAGGTTTGTTTCTTTCAGCTCTGACACTAGTCTTTAAGGATCTAAGCACACATTCTTTCTTAGGGGAATGGTGTTTCAAATAAGATTTCTTATTTGAGTTATGCATTTCCCCAAAACATGCGTGTCTCAATCTTGTCTTTTTCTTGTCAAGCTTTTCAGTTGGGTTTGATTATAGCTGTCAGTTGCTGTTTAAAATGGCTGTTTCACATTGCTTCATTGTAACTCTTTTGTAGCATTGTTTTCAAAGTGTTGCTGCTAACATACTGTGGACCCTCGGGTTACGTTAGCTTTGGGTAACGTAGTTTCAATGTGTGCGCATGCGCAGAAGCAGCGCCTCTTCTTAGAAATTTTCGGGGTGCACATGGACCCCCGGAACAAATTAAATTTGTATCCAGAGGGGCCACTGTATTAATGTAAGGCAGTAATGCAGATGTAGTTATGGGATGAGTGCATTTATAGTTTTGTGTCTTTTCAGGTTACACTCTAATTCCTCCGTTACGGATGTTATACTTCATGTTGTAATCATGTGATTCATATCTAGAAAAATAGTACTAACTTGTTTGTAGGGTTTAGTGTGTATGATTTGATAAGTCCAAAAGATACAAGTTGTAACATAGTATGGAGTTGCATATGCTGCTTAAATAACTGGACTTAAGTGCATATCTTTAGAATGGTATAAACCTATTACTCTTTGACTTGAATGAATGACAGTGAGTGATGGCAACACATGGACACATGTGCTTCCATCTTCTTCACACGTATGAGAAGTTGAATCTGTGTTCACTTTAGAACACGGTTGGCTAACCTGTGACCTTCCAGATGTTGGGTTCAACTCCTGTCAGCCCCAACCCACATGGCTGGTGTTTAGGGGTGAGGGCCTAAGAACCAACCACAGTTCCCATTGCAAACAACCTAAAAACAAAAGCAAAAAAAACACAAAACTGGCTTGAGATCCTGGTTTGTCCTCTGCATTTGTACATGACATGGAACTCTCGTTTATTCTTAATTAAAAAGGAAAGCTTTCACTTCTCCTCTTGCACATGGCAGATGAGGCTGGGAAAGTGTGAAATCATGAAAGCATGCAATGCCTTGCTTGTGATCACCTAAAAACTGTGGCTTAAGTGAGTGTCTGAAGCAGGTCTCTGTCATAAAAATGGAAACTTTGCAAAGTTTTTAAAAAAGTTTTTTTATGGTTATAAGGCACAAAATAATTTGCACATTGAACATATTTTCTTTACAAAGTTGTTTGTTTATAACATCTTTATATTACTTAATAGAATAATATTTTAAGCAGTTTATAAAAATAATAAAGAATAAATTTTATTTATACCCCGCCCTCCCCAGCCAAGGCCGGGCTCAGGGCGGCTAACAAGCAGTAATAAAAACAAGTTGACATAAAAATGGGTTAGTCCCAATGGAAGTAGACCCATTGAAATTAATTGACACAACTAACTTAGGTCCATTAATTTCAGTGCTCTACTCTGCGTGGAATTTAGTTGTATACAACCCAATTGAAATACAACATGGAATGATATTGTAAAACATAACATTGCATAACATAAAAACTAGTTAAAATGAGATTAAAAACAAAACACAACTGTATACCACATACAAAACCAATAGTGTTGAAAAGAAAATTAAAGTTTCCAAATCCAGTAGAGCTTGGATAAAAACGTTTTTAAGAGGCGCCTGGCTCAAGAATTCTCTGAGGGAGGGCATTTTTGAGGGTGGGTGTGATCACTGAGAAGGCTTGCTTCTGCGTTGTCACCAAGTGGTAATTGACTGATCATGGAATTGATTGGCTGGTCTGCACCTAGGATGTCCTGTTTCCAAGTTGTTAAAGCAGAGGCAGATTTAGGTTCAGTCGCACTGGGTGCAGAGCCTTTGGGGTGCTGCAGGGGGCGCTGCAACTATGATATAGAATGGAAGGTGAGAGGCAGCCCTGCCCCCCAATTTTGGCATCACACAGGGCGCCACTGAAATTTGAGACCCCAAAGTCTGCCACTGGTTAAGACTTTAAATGTCAACAACCAAACCTTGAATTTGCCTTGGTAGTGAACAGGCAGCCAGTATAGATTTTTCAGCACCAGTGTTATATATGTGTAAAGCTTGTTAGATTATTCATTCTACTTAGATGCTTATATCTTGGGATGATTTCTGTAGGATATTTATATCAGTCAAGAATTGCAGTCTAAAATAATTCACGGAAAGGATCCATTCTATGTACAAGCAATGTAGAGCTGAAAAAGATAATTGCATATCAGTGCCAGTTTCATCTTGAAGTATTTAGAAATCAATTTTGGTTTCTCATAATTACAGTGTTTGAAGAAACAGGCATCTAAATGGAGGGCAGCATTTTGGAAGACATGTACTTGTTTTTCTAAAGTAGACCGTTTCTGTGGTGACATTTTCCATTCATTTTATAAATAGATGTAAATTTGTAGGAAAACTTTTTTTAAACATGTTCAGATGAGTTTCAGGAACATGCACTGCCAACAGAATCTTGCACATCTCCATGTGTGGAAGAAAAGCAGTAAAGAAACTCAATCCCAATGATACAGAAACACTGTGGGTAGACGGTTCTCATGTTTGGAGAGGTTTTATTCAGAGCTTTTTTTTCAGCCGGAAGTCGCCGGAATTCAGTTCCAGCACTTCTCAGGTGGGTGCCATTGCCATTCTAAGAGAACAAGGGAGGCGTTTGTGGTCAGTTCCAACACCTCTTTTTCTAGAAAAATAGCATTGGAATCATTCATTCATTCATTGCATTTACAGTAGAACCTCTACTTACAACCGCCTCCACTCGCGGACGTTCCAAATTGTGACCATGGCAAACCCGGAAGTAACCGGTGGGTTTGCTGCTGTTCACGCATGTGCAGAGTGGCGATCACTGTTTGCGCATGAGTAGGAGCGGCGTTTGCCGTTCGCGCCTGTGCACAATGGCCTCTCCCAGTGACCCGTTTCGCCATAAGGACGGGCCTCCCAAATGGATTGTGGTTGTGACTAGAGGTTCCACAGTATATACAACCTTTATCTTCCAAGGATCTCAAGGTGGTACCCATCTTTCTCCGCCCCATTTCATCCTCATAACAACCTGTGAGGTGGGTTAGGCTAAGAGATGGTGACACTTCCTGGAAAATAGAAAATGTTCTGCAATAATAAATTGAAGGTAGGAATTTGGGAAAGATGTGCAAGAAAATCGTCCAAAACAGTAAGGCACAATCCAGAGAGCTTTGTTGGACCCAAGGGAGCTTAATGTTTTTTCTTCTCAAATGCCAACCCCCAGATAGATTTCTATAGCATTTTGTGCTGTGCACAGGGAAAAATCCAACAGACCCCTTGCATAGAGATAATTGTTTGGATTTTGGTGTATGTGTATCTTTGCAATGTGTTCGTGCATATATTGGGCTAGATCCAGAGTTGCTCTTAATGGTGTTCAGAGTGTACTGCAGGAAAGGGGCAGCCCAGAAGTTTTCACCAGTTTCTCCTTTGTCCTGCAGGGCTGTTCTGTGGGACTGAAGGACTCTCAGGCAGCATGGGGTGTGGTGCTGGGGGCTGCGGGGGGAAAGAGGAATTGATGAAAATTGCCAACCCACTCCCCTCAGTGGGAAGCCTTCACTGGATCCTACTTTGCTCTGTGAATGTAAAGAACCCTTTGTTTGTGAAGGGCAAGAATAGTTCCAGTCCATTCACTGTAACAAAATGCTCAGTTGAGAAATATAAATACACTGAACAAATAAAGTAAGATGCCTTTCAGGGCTATGGCTTCCCTCCCACACATTATGTCCGGATCTTGAATCCTATTTTCCATTGAAACTCATTTCCTTCTGGTCTCTTGAATTTTGCACTGTGCAAAATTTTGCACTGTGATCTGAGGAGTTCCTGACCTTGTTGAATATAATGTGATTATGGGAAATAAATGACTGTGAAATATGATAATGTGCATGGAAAATGTTTTTTTGCATGGTGCCTTAAATGCCAATAATTTGTTTCATTTTTAGGGTGTGGGTTTTGGTTGTAGTTTGGTACATTCTTGAATTTTTCATTTTGAATGTTTGAAAATTAGTTTAATAATGAAAAGCAGCATACCCAAAAGCTATACTGATAATAGAACCACAGAATTGTAGAGTTGGAAGCGCCTCCAATAATCATCTAATGAACCCTCTGCAATGCAGGAATCTCAACTAACGCATCCATGACAGATAGCTATGCAACCTCTGCTTAAAAACATCTAATAAAGGAGAGTCCACTACCTTCTGAGAGAGTCCCTTCCACTGTCAGACCGATCTTAGCACCATCTAGTTCTTCCTGATGTTTAGTCAGAATCTCCTTTCTTGTAACTTGAATCTATTGGTCCAGGTTCTACCTTCTGGAGCAGGAGAAAACAGACTTGCTCCATCTTCCATGACAGCCCTTTAGATGTTTGAATATGGCTATCCTATCTCCTCTAGTCTCCTCTTCTCCAGGCTAAACATACCCAACTCCCTGAACCGTTCCTCATAACTCTTGGTTTCCAGACGCCTGATCATCTTGGTTGCCCTCCTCTGCATACGTTCCAGCTTGTCAATATCCTTCTTAAATTGGGGTCCCAGAATTGGACACAGTACTTCAGTTAATGTGTGAGATTAATCTAATACAGGCATAGGCAAACTGCGGCCCTCCAGGTGTTTGGGACTACAATTCCCATCATCCCTAGCTAACAGGACCAGTGGTCAGGGATGATGGGAATTGTAGTCCCAAACATCTGGAGGGCCGGAGTTTGCCTATGCCTGATCTAATAGGTATATATTACTTGAGGCATCTCCTTTGCAGCACATAAGCCATCTACATTCTTGGGAAAAGCCATAATTGAAAAAGTGGTTTAAAGTCCTGTTTGAAAGCATGTACTACACAAACAAAGTGTAATACATTTAGAAGCTACCACAGAAGCCCAGCTGCAAGCAACACACTTCAAATCATAAAAATAAATGAAAGATTGGAACCAAAATAGAACGTACTGTGGAATAACAGATGCTGTGGGCATTCTGGAGGCTCCAACTTGCTTATTTGAAATAATAGCTGCCCACTGTTTGGTGTTCTACAAAGCAAATTGTGCACTTGTGGATGTTCTTCCACATGAAGGCTTTGCATTCATTTTTGTTAAGTTGGATCTTATTGTTGGTGTACTTTTCAAATTTATTGAAGGACAATCCGAACATGATGTAACAAATTCATTCTTAGGGTCTCCCACGGGTCTCCCACGGCTTTTGCATTGCTGATTAGCACATTTCAGTGTAATATAGTATCAAAATAAAATTACCTGCAGAATATTGGCAGATAGCTTTTCAAAATAAGAGCAAGAGCAAGGCTTTTTTGTGTTGATATTTGAGTTGTTTGTCTCTAGTTAGACTTAATATAAATGAGATAACCCAGCAAAAGCAAGTTCACACATCTTATTGAGTTTGTATATATATATTTAAGGTACGTATGTAAGAGGCTCGTTTATAATTCTATTTTGGGAATGATTCATGTTCTTATGTAGCTGCATTGCTTAATACTTTCTGGATGTCCCATGATCATGTTATAAAGTAGTTGTGTTCTATTTTATAAATCAAGTAGCGCTAGAAATTGTTTCTTTTTGTTTTCAATGTGTTTCTTATTAATTAAAAATTTGGTATGGCACAAGCAAATTTTTATTCTGAAAGTGTGACCCAGACGAAAAAAGATTGAGAACCACTGGATTAGCAAAAGAAAATTGGTATGGCTCCCAGATCGCATTAAATGCTTTTAAAGCATTGCTCATGCCATGGAATCATTTGTCAGTACAGATTGTTGACTGTAGAAAACAAACAAAAAATGATTTGCATCTATTGTTGTATTGACCCAACACCCAAAGCTAGCATGTGAGTAGCTTAAACACAGATCTCCTTTAGCTCATGCATGAATCTAGACCTAGCCCTTGGTGGTCACAGGATTGTTCAGTCTTATGCTTGGGATTGGCACCACTGCTTGATTCCTGTAACACTGGTTCTGGCACTTGTTTGGGAATATGTTCCAGTCCATTTTGCATATGTTACTATGTGGTAAGGGCTTTGTTCAGCTAGTAATGAGCTCTGGAATTTCAGATGAATATCTTGATATTATGGAAACAACCACATCTTGGCAAAACAGTATGCCTTTGACTGATTCAAATAAAAAGTACAAAATACTCCATTAAGCTCTAGCTTGAAATATGAAGTGCTTCAGTTAAAACACTTAAAATGCAAAATATATGTAATATATGTAATATGACCATAGGAAGCTGCCTCATGCCAAGTCAGACTATTTAGTCCTCTAACTCAGCACTGTCTGCACTGACTGGCAGCAACTCTCCAGGGTTTGCAGGCAGGAATCTTTCCCAGCCTTCCTTGGAGAAGTCAGGGATTGGAAATGGAACCTTCTGTGTGCAAAGCATTCCACCCAGTTATGGCCCTTCCCGAATGCATTTCTGAAATAAAATACTGTCTTAATCCTGCAATGGTTTGTATAATTGAATCTTCAGATTGTACTGAAATTTATAGTTTAACAAGCACTCAAAAAACAGGGTTTCAGAAAATTGTGGTTGGCCTTGGTAGCCTACCCCCTTTTCTTTTTTCTTCTTGAATAGCAGTGCTGTTTCAGGGTTTTATCTTGGTCATTGAACAACTGAAATTCTTGGGTGATCTCCTATAGAGTCCATCTGCGAGTAGAATGGACTTCTTGCTTGTGCAGTCTGACTGCTTCTTCCTTCCTTTCCCCTACATGCCCCAAAATTTCTTCCAGACGGCTCTCCAACCCTCTGGAACACATTTTGGAATCGTTCAGGGGGCTGCAAGGTGGAGGAAGGAGAGGAGAGAAGACTATTGCCTGAGTGGATTTCATCCCCACCCCCAAATTTTTAAGCTGTCATTAATTTTGTAACTTGGCAGTTTTGCCTCTCTTTTTTTGCAATAAATCTAATAAAAGCTCAAAAGTATACAACATCTTACATTTTCTGGTATAAAACCTCCAAATGTGGAAAAGTTATGGAGTTGGGCCTTAACTTGCCTCTTTGTAAACCCTTGTTCACAAAAATTAGATTGTAAAAGTGGAGGGAAAACTCCTAAGCTTGCAGAGCTTCTATTCTTCAATATTCCCCAGTTCCTTTCTTAAAAGAGTACCTCTCCTACTACATGCTCTGCTCATCTGCCTGCTGCAGCACTGGAATTTATTAAAATATCAGAGAAATATCTACATTTTGCAGGACGGGTGGACAGGAAAGCAGTTGCTCTCTCATGCTGCAATAAGCATGTTACAGGAAGACTGCCATTTACAATGCTGTGTATCATTTTTTAAAAAAAAGTGAATGAGAGGGAGATCTGTGTGCTAGTGGTTGAGAGCACTGGCAGGTTGCAAAGGTATTTTTAAAAATGTGGTGGTGTTGTAGCAAGCATTTCTTTCTATTTTCCTCTCTTCTTGCTGAGAATAAAGAAGCTTGGTATTCTCTCTTCTCTGTAACTCAACCGGACTTCATCATGCCATATAGCGGCTCATTTAAAATGGCACTAGACTTCACTACTCTCCCCTTTGAAATGTCAAGAGATACATTGGGTTTGTTTGGCGATCATCTGTTTGCCTTCTTGAGTACAGAAAATGAGAAGCTGTCTTGAGGTCTCCCTCTTACTGCTATTACTCTTTTATGCTGATAAATATTTGTGTATCCGTTGCCTAAAAGTAAAAGAAATGAAGCAGATGCAGTGTTAATATACTTGAAAGATTTCAAATACAGGTGACTCCCCACTTATGTGTGGGTTACGTTCTGGGCCCATGTGCATGTTGGTTTCTGCTTTCCTTCACTGTGCAGCGAAAGGGCTTGTCACGAGAAAGGTGTTTACATTCCACAGTCTGTACTGTTGGAGTTTCTCACGGGAAAGGGAGGCTGGATGTGACGTACACTGGTTTCCTGTTTTTTCACTGTGTGATTCTCTCCGAGCTGTCGAGGAGAGAGGATGCATTTTCTGCTCCGGCAGAGGCAAGATGTCTTTCTGTAATATACCAGCTTTGAACTGTAAATAAAGCAATATAGAGTATGCAGCACGTACTCCTCATCCTTCCGCTGGGCACCAGACTCTGCTTTAAATCAACACGTGGTTATGGGCCCAGAAGTCGAATCGGAGTGCCGGCAAAGGATCGGAATGCAGAGGAACAGATCGGAACGGAATCTGCTCTGCGCGTAGAGGTGATTGATGAGGTATGTGCTACTGCTCCGGGCAGCCTGCCAGCTTCAAGTTAATGGCTTTATGGCTGAACTTTGAACCTTTAAAGCCGGTTTTGCCGGGAATAGGCAAAAGGCTCCCAGGCACAAGTCACTATGCTGGGGAAATCGAAAGTAACTTTTAAGTGCGCCTTTGGAATAAGGCAGCTGCAGCAGTGACGCAGCAAGATTTAAAGCAGCATATATGACGCTGAAGGCTAATGCCAGAGTCATGATGGCCCTTCAGGATGCTTGTGGGATTCCTAAGCTCAACAAGAAAAATTATGCCGACTGGGTTCTGTATGCAGAGGCAATTCTGCGGAAAGAGGGTTTGTTTGAGGTGATTACAGAAACCCCCAGTTCCAGTTACAGATGCATGGGAAGCTAAGGATTCCAAAGCAAGGGGAACTCTTACATTGATAGTATCCCCAGAAGAGCTCTGTCTATTGCGTGATAAGACCTCAGCCAGAGAAATTTGGGACGCTTTGAGAGAGGCTCACTTAAGGACAGAAGCTGGATCCACTATGTTTTACTTTAACAAGCTGCATAATATGGCTCTTGCTGAAGGTGGAGATGTGCGTTTACATCTGATGGAGATGCAAAATCTGAGACATGAGCTGCAACAGAGAGGACTCAACTTTCCAGAGGCTGTGTATTCTTTCATGATACTACAATCTTTGGGTTCAGGTTGGGAGTCTGTTGCAACCCAGATTGCTGTGCAACCAACTGCTCAGCTGACAGTGGACTTTGTTACTGCCGTGATTTTAAATGAAGCAGATCGCCGGGGTGCTAGCTGCATGGGCAAGGGGGAGTCTTCACAGACGTCATCCCATAGTGCAGTGGAACCACCAGATGGCGCCAAAGCTTTGAAGGCAGTGAAATGCTACTCGTGTGGACGTCTAGGCCATATGAAGAGGGAATGCAGACATCCCAGGGCCAAGACAGAGCAGCGCAGCGAAAGCTCATCGCGCGGAAAAGGCCGAGGCAAAGGCAAAGGTCCGGTGTCTAGGACAACGCAGCACAAGGCTATGGTTTCACGCTTCACTCCAAAGGTTGCAGAGGTCCAGAAGACGTCTAGATCTTTCTTCGTTGTTGATTCAGCGGCGACCCACCACATGTGCAACGATAAGAAACTGTTTGTGTCTTTTACACCGCAGGAAGGTGCGATTCACCAGGCGGATGACCACACTATTCCCAGTAAAGGCTACGGAACTGTTGTTCTTCACAGTTTGGACTTATCGATACAGAATGTGCTTTACGTGCCAGACGCCAAACATAATCTGCTCAGCGTTGGACAGCTGAATGAGCGGAACATTGACGTTTCCTTCAAGAACAAGAAGTGCATCATCACAAAGAAAAATGATTATGTATTGCATGCAGAATATGTTGATCGTTTGTTTGTTTTGTATTATGATGATGTGGTGCAGGATGACACTTGTTGCATTGCAGGTTCTAACAAAAGTTTGCATGCAGAATGTATTCACGATTTTCATAGAAAATTTGGTCATTTGCATTTTGAGGCAGTATCTAAAATGCCTGCCTTGGTTGAAGGTATGACTATTAAACCCTGCAGGTACCACATGAAGTGCAAAGCATGCGCAGCAAACAAGGTGAAAATGGCTGCGAAAGGTAAGGTGTCTAGTAGGAAAGCTACAGAACCATACCAGGTTGTTCATGCTGATTTGGTTGGACCACTAGCGCCCTCTTTGGGTGGAAATAGATACTTCATGGTTCTCATTGATGCATTTTCTAGATATATTTTTGTGTACAATCTCAAGCAGAAATCGGAGGCTTTTCCTAGGTTCAAGGAATTCTGTGCTTGGTTGGAAAATGTGCATGGTAAGAAGATAAAGACTCTTTTCAGTGATCGCGGGGGAATTCACTTCTCAGCAGTTTGAAGCTTTTCTGACTGAGAAAGGAATTCAACACGATTTGTCTAGTCCTCGCTCGCCATGGCAGAATGGACTTGCGGAACGGGCAAATCAGACATTGCTTCAAGGGTTAAAAACCTTGCTGCATGATGCCAATCTTCCAGAGAGTTATTGGGCCGAATCTCTCTCGTGTTTTGTTTACAGTTACAATCGCAGGTTATCTTCAGCGATTGGTTGTACCCCCTATGAGAAGATGTTTGGCAAGAAGCCATACATCAAACACATGAAGATTTTTGGTTCTGACATGTGGGTTCGCTCACCACAAAACTCCAAGTTAGACAAGCGTGGATTGCATGGTATCTTTCTAGGTTATCAGAAAGGGTCTTACAGAATAATGATGACTGACTCTAAGACAATTAAGCTCACGAGAAGTGTCGAGTACAATGCAAAGTGGGGAGAGAATGTGGGAATTTTCCAATGTTATCCTGATGACGGTGATGAGACTGAGGATAGTCAAAAGCAACCACAACAGCCCACACCCACTGATGAAGGTTCTGAGTCTGAATCTGAAACTGAATCGGGTGATTCAGAGGATTTCGAAAGTGCGAAAGCCTCTATGCGACCCTCTGAAAGCTCTGATCAAGAATTGGAGGAACCATTGTTCACAATAGGTCGTTTTTCTCCTAAGAAGGAAGAGGAGAGTGTTGAAGACTTAAGGCTAATTCGTAGGTCACAGAGAGCCACAAAAGCCAAACCTCCAAAGAGATTTGCTGATGAGTTTGCTACGATAGCAGTAACAGCTGTTAAAAGCTCCAAGAAGGTATTTGAACCTTCAAGTTTCCAAGAAATCCAGGGTTTGGATTCAAAGGAAGCTGAGCCATGGTTAAATGCCATGAAGGCTGAGCTTGATTCCTTAGAAAGGAACAAAACATGGGAGCTAGTTCCAGTAGTTCCAGGAATGAAACTGCTTGGAAGCAAATGGGTCTTCAAAGCGAAGACAGATCAAAATGGCAAGATAGTCAGACACAAAGCCAGATTGGTAGCCAGAGGTTTTGCACAGGTACCAGGTCAAGACTATCACGAGACCTATTCACCCACAGTGAGATATGAAAGCATTAGGCTTATGCTTAAGCTAGCTGCAGAGGAAAATCTACACATTAGTCACCATGATATTAATACAGCTTTTCTGTACGGATCTCTAGATGAATCACTTTATATGCTTCCACCTGATGGCGTACAGGTAAAACAGGGATTTGTTTGTGCTCTGAAGAAATCCCTTTATGGTCTCAAACAAAGTGCACGGTGTTGGCACACAAAACTCACTGAAGTATTGTTTTCTCTAGGTTTTCAGCAAGGGAAAGCTGATCCATGTGTATTTGTCAAAGAGGAGGGGCAAAAGAAACTGTACTGTTTGTTTTATGTTGATGATTTATTATTCTTTTGGAAAGATGTTGCAATGTACAATAGCGCCCTAGCTCAACTGAAAGAGCACTTTGACATGAAAGATCTTGGTGAGGTAAACAACTACCTATCTCTGGAAATAGAGAGAGATCAAGATGGTAACATTCTAGTACACCAGTCACGGAAAATTGCTGATGTGTTAAGCAAACTAAATCTGATGGATGCTAACCCTGTAAACACACCGATGACAACAGGTTATCAGGTAGATGACACTGAAGAAGCATTTTCTGACACTACACTGTACAGGAGTGTGCTAGGCAAGCTAAACTTCATTGCCAGATGTTCAAGACCAGACATTGCTGTTAGCTGTAATTTGCTAAGCAGACAAGTCAACAATCCTAGTGTCAAGCATTGGAAAGCTCTGAAACGCATAGCGCGGTATTTGAAAGGCACTATGCATTACAGACTGAGATTTAACAATCAGAAGTCTGGTGGTCTTGAGATATTTGCAGATGCAAGTTTTGGAAGTGACGCTACAGACAGGAAAGGTACGTCTGGAGTTTGCTACATGTACAATCAGAGTCTGTTTGATTGGTCATGCAAGAAGCAAACAACAGTTAGCTTAAGTACTTGTGAAGCCGAACTGAATGCACTGTCTTATTCACTTAAGGATTGTGAATGGTTAGTACAATTGTGCAAAGATATGAAAATTCCTGTCAAATGTCCAATCCAGGTTTACCAGGACAACAAAGCATGTTTGGCTTTGCTGAAGTCTGAAGGTTGTAAGCAAAGCACAAAGCACTTGCAATTAAAGTTGCAGCATGCTAGGGAATGTATTCAGAAGGGACTCGTAACGGTGTCCTATATGCCAGGTAATGAAATTCCTGCTGATGTATTGTCCAAGATTGTATCGAGGGATCAACACTGTACCTATGTGCAGAAGTTGGGTTTGTACTGATATTGTACAAACACGCTGCCCAGTGATGTTCACAGAAAGGGGAGGATGTTGGTTTCTGCTTTCCTTCACTGTGCAGCGAAAGGGCTTGTCACGAGAAAGGTGTTTACATTCCACAGTCTGTACTGTTGGAGTTTCTCACGGGAAAGGGAGGCTGGATGTGACGTACACTGGTTTCCTGTTTTTTCACTGTGTGATTCTCTCCGAGCTGTCGAGGAGAGAGGATGCATTTTCTGCTCCGGCAGAGGCAAGATGTCTTTCTGTAATATACCAGCTTTGAACTGTAAATAAAGCAATATAGAGTATGCAGCACGTACTCCTCATCCTTCCGCTGGGCACCAGACTCTGCTTTAAATCAACAGTGCACATACAGTAAGTGAAATGCTTGAGCGGGGAACTAGGGTGATTTCTTCTTCTTTTACAACAAAAAACTTCAGAGCTATTTGGAACGCTACATAACAAAAAGCAACCCATACTGTACCTTTGCCTACAGATTGCCAGAAAGGGCAGAGAACAATGCGTTTGAGTCTGCAGCAGTACAGCTTCCTGCCCGACAGCTGTTGAGCAGGGCAGTGCAGCAGCATTGAGAGCTCACTCGCGCCATTTTGGAGCCCATAAGTTCCTCCCTCCCTCCCCCCCTCCCTTTTTTAAAAAAGCCTTTAAAACATCTTTGGGCTCTGGGGAGGATCTCCTCGCATGCTGTGAGGACTTTCCAGCTCTCTCTTGTCATTTCTAGCTTACGTTGTTGTTTAGTTGTGTCGACTCTTTGTGACCCCCTGGACCAGAGCACGCCGGGCACTCCTGTCTTCCACTGCCTCCAGCTTTGAATTGATGTAAATTGTTAGATTGATTTCCCATCACTGCACATTCATGTGGTCACACGTGTCGATCACGTGTAAGTCGAAGGATGTCCGTACATGAATTTCCGATACTATGCAGCTCTAGAAACAATATTTCAGTGGTTTATCAAGATATCAACCTTTTCCCAGTTGGTGGTCCAAATGTAGTATGTCCGCCTGTCCACCTAGAATGGGGAGACTTGTGAGCGGTAGAGGAAATCATTTTGTTTCTATCAGGGATTGCAATTTAAAGCTTTTTTAAAAGGGCTTAAAAGGTGCTGCCATTCTTTAGCAGTACATTCAGCTACAAATGAATTATTGTGTATAAAGACTAATTTATAAAGCTTCTTTTAAAAGCCTTGCAATAGACCAGGCCTCTGAGGAAGCAGAGTTGCTGCACTACTAGTTCCATCAAGGGCATTCTTCAATAGGAGCAGTGAGGTAACCACATTCCAAGCAGCATTCACAATTGTAATTGTTCACTCACTGAGGATCCTATTTTTCCTGGGGATGTAATTGTTCCTATGCTGAATTTTTCATGGCATTGGGCCTACTGTTTCAACTTGCTATCTCTAGAAAAGCACTCCAGTTTTACACTATGTTATCTTGGAAAGAACTCTTTGTGAGTTGCAATAAGTTTCTAAAAAAATATTTCTAATGATTGCAAGTGACAAGAGGATGGCTTTCTCACAAAAACTTGATTTTCAGAGAACAGAGTGTTGAGCTGTTGAGAACATAAGGTTTAAATTTATTTGCCTTCGAATAAAAGTTTCAAAGAAAACTTGACAAGTATCCACTGTTTCCAATGTTTATATCTGGCAACATTTTCATGCCAGAATGGACATTTCAATTTATAATTTTATTATCCCACATCAGTGGTTATATCTTGGGTTTCAGGTCCCAGAGCTTAACCTTAAAAATACCTGTTTAAGTAGGAACTCAAGCCACTAGACGCAATCTCTCACAACTTACAACTGCATTAATGGTAGGCATGGAGCTCTTTCATATGAAAATTGTTTCATTCCTTCATTTAACACTACAGGGTGGCTCAACACAGAACCTAAGCTGAGTACAAATTCTTGTTTTGTTCCAAGGGTTGACTCTTATTAAATGTATATAAACTTTGGCCAAAGTAGAAATGAGATTGAATGAAGACATCAACCTGTTAATGAAATGGATGTGTGCTCCTTCAGTAGTCTTTTTGTCGTGTTAGCAGTTTGTTGTGATGGTTCATAAAATAGCAAGTACTTATCAGTACTGTAGAATGTTAAACAACTGTCAAATATACCAATAGAAAACTTGACTCTCCAAATGTCACTGCCCAAGGGGGGGAGGTATTAGCAAGGAATTAGCATGCTCCGAAGTACCAACCCCCCCAACCCCTTTATGGGGGGGGCGCACTTTTAGTGGCAAGAGACGAAGCCCTAAGTGCCCCATTCAGCATGCTCATTGACAATGCTGACTGTTTGGGAGGAATTTGGGGGGGGGGGGAGGAAAGCTAGGGTGGGGGAGAGAAGTAGCCTATAATTGCCTGGAACACAGGAGCACTCCCTACTGCAACATTTTGTTGCAGACCCCACTTGTTTTACCTGTTCAAACACATCAGTGTGGTGTAGTGGTTGAGAGCGGTAGTCTTGTAATCTGGGGAACCGGGTTGCAGCTGCTGGGTGACCTTGGGCCAGTCACACTTCCTTGAAGTCTCTCAGCCCCACTCACCTCACAGAGTGTTTGTTGTGGGGGAGGAAGGGAAAGGAGAATGTTAGCCGCTTTGAGACTCCTTAAAGGGAGTGAAAGGCGGGATATCAAATCCAAACTCTTCTTCTTCATCATCAAAGGAGCCTGATTTCATCTCTAAATCAGAGGAAAGAATTCTGCTTCGAGTGCATAAGGGGAAAAGTAGCCTAACTGATGTAAAATATGCCTGGCTCTTGAACAGTCCTTTCTATTCATTTTTTCCTAATCAGCGAGGTGGGGTGGAAAAATTCTCCCTGCTGTTATTTTCATGGAAAATTTTCCATGTCTTAAAATACATTTTAAAAAAAGCAATTAGCAACATAATGAATGGATGCAGCACCAGGTGGAGAATTTTCAAAGTAGTAATTACCTTTTTTCATGTTACTAGAGCAAATTGTCCCCTGTAATAGCTAAAATGAGAGCTGGTTCATTCACATCCTGGCGTGCAGATTGTGTACACAGGTGCAGGACAAACTCTTAGACCACAGTCTTTTGCCCACTTACCTGGGAGTAAACTGTATTGACTTCATTTGGACTTTTGAGTAAACCTGTGCAGGATTTCATCCTCCCCGCTTGTAGAGTGTGTTGTGTGATTGAGTGCATACCTGCACACATACTTAACCAATGTGATCTGCCTTCTTAGTTGACCTTATATGGGACTCTGCTTCATGAAGTTATTACAAGACCTCTAGATGCCCCAAACTAGGTATTTTAAGAGCACATGGGAAGCAAAGGCAGGAAAAAACAGGCTATGTAGTTTGGCTGAACTGTGCTGTTCTATTTACATCAGTTCCAGCTGCAGAATTCTTCAGAATATAGTGACATCAGGAAATTCTGTCTTTAAAGTAATGACTGGCATTTAATTCTTTAGAATTAACAATTATGTACTTAAACTTATGTACTTAAAATGTCGTGTTTTATATTGAAATAAAAATACATAACATCAGATGTTTGTTCCATACAGTTTTACACTAGAACTGCTACAGGAAATAAATAGTTTTCTGTTCCCCCAAAATAGAACTTTAGCCAACATTATATCTTCAAAAAAAAGTCAGTGGGATATTATAAAATAACATTTTAGAGCTAGTGTATCCCTCAAGACTAGAATTCCTGCACACTTTTAGTGCCTTAACATCTTACACTGAAAGGAAATTAATTCTTGAAAGAATGCTGTGCACAATCCGTTTGAGACAGTTTTGTTAAAGAAATACAAGCTGTCAAGAAAGCTGCAGCCAATGTTGAATTATTACAATAACATTTTAAAGGAAGTTTTCATTATGAGAATTCAAAGTAATATTTCCAGAACTGAGTTGCAGATCTGACTGGAATGCTTCATCAGTTGGTAGGCTAAGAGTCTTGTGTTAGATTAAAGGACTCTAGATGATCAAAATGTATGAAGGTAGCATGCAGACATCATTCATTCAAAGCTTTAGCTGGCATTAAAGTCAATGGTGGGGAAGCTTTAGCTCCTGTAATTCTGTGTATCATATACGGTTTAAAAGCACAGCAGGCAACCTATGAGTAAATTCCATGAAGATCATTGTTGCAAGTGAAAACTCAATAGACTGGATGTAAATTAAATTAGTTGCATTTAGATCCCATTGAAATCAGCAAACTTGGTTACCTCACTAAAAAAGGTAAAGGTACCCCTGCCCGTACGGGCCATTCGTGTCCGACTCTAGGGTTGTGCGCCCATCTCACTTAAGAGGCCGGGGGCCAGCGCTGTCCGGAGACACTTCCGGGTCACGTGGCCAGCGTGACGAAGCTGCTCTGGCGAGCCAGCACCAGCGCAGCACACGGAAACGCCGTTTACCTTCCCGCTATAAAGCGGTCCCTATTTATCTACTTGCACTTAAGAGTGCTTTCGAACTGCTAGGTGGGCAGGAGCTGGGACCGAACGACGGGAGCTCACCCCGCCGCGGGGATTTGAACCGCCGACCATACGATCGGCAAGTCCTAGGTGCTGAGGTTTTACCCACAGCGCCACCCGCGTCCCTCGGTTACCTCACTACACTGCTGAAATAATTGCACTGGCTGCCAGTTAGCTACTAAGCTAAGCTCAACTTCTGTTTTGAGGTACAAAGCCCATCGATGCCATTGATGCTTGACTAGCTGGTAACTGAAAGGACTAAGAGGACTGGCTAAGCTCCAACTTTGTTTCCTGGGCAGCATAAGACTGTACTAGCAAGGTTCTGGTTTCAGCCCTGCAAAGTATTCTAACACCCCACTCCCAGCTCACTGTTTGGTGTATGTCAGGAGATGTGAAAAGAACTATTTCCTTTATTAGGCATATAACTAGACTATCACTCTGGTTGGAGGCAAAACATGGCCTTTATTTCTTTTACAGGCATTTTCTCCCTTCTCTGCATGCATGCTCTCTGTTAAAAATAAGTTGTTTCAGAGTTTCAGCATCTATGCTTTTATCTCCTGAGGCAGTCTTCCAACTCCTCTGAGTCCAGGCAGCCTGGGAAATGGTCCTCAAGTAATCCGCTCCCCCCTCTGTTTGTTGTTCAGATTGAAAAAGGTCAGCAACATGAACCAAAATAACAAAAGGATGAGAAGGTATGCTCAGTCATTGCCAGGGTTTACTGAGCAAAATTCCCTTACTGCCCTCCTCCACCATCAACCATTCTGTAAAAAACGAACAACTTTTCTCTGTCTTCAAAATGTGTTTACTAAGGGTCTTTTCATACATTTACCTTTTAATGAGGAAATAAGTGTAACCAAGCCTCCCTCTGCATCTTTTGGATTCTGGAAGCAAAGTTTATTTTCCTTTCCAGCTAATACCAGAAGTGCCCCTGAGCACTTCTTTCCCCAACCTTGCCTGATGCTCCGAGAATGAGAGGGTTTCTTAGACTTTCTCCCTTGCACACTCATCCCATATTGGAACTGTTCCCTTCCAATTTCCTGTGGTGGCAACAACTTTTTAATGAGCAAACTACTACACTCAACAGCTTTTGAGATTAGGTCGAGGGGTATGATTTACCTGTACACAGTTATCTGTGACTGCCATCTGTCTGGCATTTCAAGGAATTGTCAAGGAAATAAGATACTACAAACTCAGGCAAATGTTTTCCATCACCAGTGTTTTCCATTTACCATTAGGAGGTTTTCTTTTCTGATGTCTAATCACACTTTACCTTTTCATAGTTTTAAAACAATTTCTTCTTGGTCCATTTTCTGTGCTGTTTTGCCCATTTCTTTTAGGAAATATTTTGAGATGCTAAAGACACTCTCTTTCTCTTAGAAGTAATTGGAGTTCACCAGGGGATGGAGCAGCCAAAAATATTCCACTCCCTGTAATCTAAAGTGGTAGAATCCAGAATTCGATCATTTTGTGCTGTTTAATGTGCCATTTGGCTCTCATATGAACATTTAACTATATTAAGTTCTCTACTAAGGGGAACAGCTTTTACAAAATTTTGTGATCTTCCTGTACAAGTGGCTGCAGATATATGATGACTTCTTTCCATTATGCCAAGTTCTTGTAAATGTAAATAGGAGGTAATAGTCCTCAAAAATCCCTAGTTAAGTTTGATGAGCTAGCTTTCCCAGCTCTTGCAGGTGCCTTTGGACTGAGGTCATTGTTTTTCCTATGCATTGGACATTCCAAATTCTCTAAAATTAAATAAATGCACTTTTTACTGAAAGTGGAACAAGTGATGTCACAAATGTAATGCTCATGAAATAGAAGATTTTAGTGACCTGCTGGTTCAACATTTTATTGAGGAAAATGTCAAATATCTAATTGGGGATTGAGCTAAAAAGATGGTTCAGTTAAAAAATATGGTTATTTTAAACACCAGTTAAGGACAAAACCTTATCCAAACTCCATTTAAGAAGACTGTATACTTATATACACTTTATTGCTTATTTTTTCTTCAGTCCAAAGTTGCTGGTTTTTAATGGTAGTTTTTAATTGCTTCTTAACCCACCCTTTATGGAATGTTTTAAAAATACAAGATGCTTTTCACAATGAATTGGTACTTCAGATTGTCCCTGTTGTTGTCCTCTCCAAGATCATTACAGACGGAGCTGACAGGGAGATATGAAGTGATTTGATTTTTAATGCCGCAGAAATAGACATTGCAATTGTTTTCAATTTAAGGTGTGAAGGGATCAAAACCATACCCATATAGTTTAAAAATAACATCCTGCTAACCAGGGTTGCCAGGATGCAACCTGTCGAGCAAGCATTTACATTCGATATGCATTTATAAAGCAGAAGTTGAGGTCCCTACTGGAATTGATGGGAACCACTGTAGGAAACAGACATTTTTTTTAAAAAAAGGACAGAATCAGTAACTATGGCTGAGGGTTGTTTTTGTTTTTAACACCCCCCTCCCCAAATCTTATTTTTTAAAAGTAAACTTCTCACATTTTTTGCATTTGAAAACTAAATTGCTAGAAAGCATAAAAGGGTTTTTTTGTGCCTGTTTAAAAAGGAGCTGTGTTCTTTTCATAGCAAATATGATTGCTGCATGTAAACTAGTGTTACACTGGTGTTTCCCAAGTTAAGCATGTAAGGCACCTGAGACCTATGTGCAAATACTGGGACCCTGATAATGCCAGCATCTGTGTGCTTTCTGTGAATCATACATTTTGCTGTGGAAAAGGCCAATTAACACTGGTGTCTTATGTGCCAAACATGTTTGGTGCTTAAAGTTTGGAGCTCCTATGTATGCATGGAAGCATGAAATGTTTAAAAAGGCCCTCTCAAAATAGAGGACGCAGTCCATTTCTTCTTTGTAAAATAAAATTATCAGTGGAAATTTCACGAATAAGCCTTGCATTCCATTCCAGATGTTTGTGGTTGTGACTATCCCAACAGAATTAAAAACAAAAACAAAACAAAACTGAATCCCTTGGGAGGTAGTATAGTTGCTCTTTTTTGACTCATTCCATTTTTCAGAGCAAAAATGACCAAAGAGCTATTGCATTTATTGCTGTTGAAATGAGCACCATGAGATGGTAGAAATGTAAAGAATGAGTTGACCAGGTTTGTGTCTAGAAAGCTGTGAAGCAGTTACCTGGAATTGTTCACACACACGTACACACACACACACACACACACACACACACGCAGTAATTAACAAACAGGAACAGTTTTGATGGGGGGGAAAGCTACAAGCTGTGGCTGATTAGTTATTCCTCTCTGGACAATTCTTGCTACTGCTGCTCAAGTCCAGATTGTGTGAGATTTCATGAATAGGAATACAGCTGAGAATAAAAATGAGGCTTCTTTCCATCACTCTATTTATGGAGCAGCTGCTTCACTGTTTGATACCCCTTTTACAACCATTTCTAAATAACTTACCTGGTGTTCTCAATATGGCTTTTTGGTTTATTGAGAGTAAGGTCAAATGAGAAGAGGGAGGGAATATTGAGCCATTCATTGTCTTTCTGTGATTTCCTTTATTCTTTTAATGTGGGCATTTTCTTCCCTACAAAAACTTATGACCTTCTTGATCTGTCCTTGGTATTTGAGAATATAATTAATATTTTCTTATATTTTGGAAAAAAACACTCTGAGGTAGTTAACAATGTTTTTAATAGAAACACAAATGAAATAACATAATCCTAAAACAACAACAACCCACTAAAACATCTGTCAAATCTGTCAAACATAATATATAAAACAAGGAAAGAACCAGCTTAACAGCATAAAAATCAACATTAAGCTACTGCCTGGGGGTGTTGGAAGTATGTACCAAGGCTGCTTTAAGGTCATATTTGTTTTTTTCAGAAATCAAGATGCTCCTTCCTTCTTATACGTGCCTTAATAAAACACTTCCTGATTTCCTCAAATTGTTGTTTGCCATGATGTCCAAACTGGCAAAACTGTGTGTGACTATCCCTCCAAACCAAGATTACAAATCAGACTCACATTCTAAATCTAGCAGAATGTGCATCACACTTCTGTATGAATGATATAAATCCAGTGACCCACTCCCTTTTCGTCACCGCAATTTAATATTTGAAGAGCTTGAATGGAAGGGAGAGAGAATTCTGCCCAAGTCCTGCTGGGATTGTGATGGGAAGTGATGAAGGCAAAAAAAAAAGGAATAATGTTCTATGCCAGAATAGATAAGTTGGGACCAACAGATCAGCAAACTGGTAATGAAATGACTGTAAGTGGAAGAAGATAAGTAAAACAAAGAATTAGTGTAACACGATTGTCAGAAAATATAAACTTTATTCCATGTCACTAGCATAAATTTCACCCCAAATGTTCAATTCAGGATGTGTCTCACATCTTTTATTGTCTTGCATAGTAAGGCAATTAACTATATGAAACCAGTTTTTGTCTTAAGTTTCAGAACTGATTTGTCATGTTCACAAAGTTCATAAACCTCAGAAAAGATCATGGGATTAAGTGAACATAAATTTATGCCAAAATAAATCTTGCTACTCTTTAAGATATCACAAGACTCCTTTGTTCGTTTGTCCTTTTTAAATAATAGTACCTAGAGATGTTTGAGAAGAGATGCTGGTTTAGTTCTTGATATCCAGAGAAGTCCAGAAGGGTAAAAAGAGTTCAGCATCTGCTAAGGGGAGTGGATTGAAAGATGACATAGCAAAATATAAAGAAACCTATCTAATAATTATTTCAGTTTTTTCGATACTTGGTGGAGAAAAGTGCATTTATATTCCTTTGATGATGGTGAGGTCTGAGTTTGGGGGTGGGCAGAGACGGGGATTTCAGCTGATTTGAAAGTAGGCTTCTAAATTGGATCGATGTTTCTGAAGATTTTTCAGAAGCTGAAAATGCACTTGAACGTAGAGGTCAGATTTTGGCTACTGTGCAGCTGCTTGTACATTTCTTAATTTTAGAAACAGTTAAGTCTTTTATTTTTAACCAGAAGATAGGAATAGATTTCATATTGTTTCATGTATTTCATGGGATGCAATTCTTTGTGCGTGCATTCTCGTTTACTGTAGAGGCCAAGATCTTGTTTTAAAGCATTTTTGGAAACCATAAAAGGTTTTGATTTAGTTCAACTGAACTTTAGAATATGGGAAGAAATCATTTTTTGCCACAAACTCACAATAATACTTCTCCATGAATAGTAGTAGTAAAAATAAATATCTGAATATTCTCAAGCTAAAAGAATGGAAAATACATAATCACGAAAACTAGCACTAGCGAAGAATAGGAATAAGAAATCAATGTCACAGGAAACATTGAGATTATGTTTATCTTTTGTATATAGAAACCTGCCCGGAGAAGCAGGTTTCAAAAAGTTTGACGTGAAACTTTAAGCATATGATAAAAGTTAAGTTGACATTAAGGAATTAAAGGATTAGTTTAAGCATCTAGGAACAATGGTGTACTGGTAAATTTTGATGGGTAGGACTTAGAAAGGAAGCTGCTTTATACTGAGTCAGACCATTAGTCCATCTAGCCCAGTATTATCTACACTGACTGGCAGCAGCTTCCATTCCTCAACAGCACAGCCTGGGGATAGATGCCAAGGATTGCATCTGGGTTCCTCTGCATTTAAGAGACATGGATGGTCTGGAACTGCTGTTCTACATGTCCCCAAAGGCCAGTGGGGTGTAGTGGTTAAGAGCGGTAGTCTCGTAATCTGGGGAACTGGGTTTGCATCTCCACTCCTCCACATGCAGCTGCTGGGTGACCTTGGGCTAGTCACACTTCTCTGAAGTTTCTCAGCCTCACTCACCTCACAGAGTGTTTGTTGTGGGGGAGGAAGGGAAAGGAGATTGTTAGCCGCTTTGAGACTCCTTCGGGTAGTGATAAAGCGGGATATCAAATCCAAACTCCTCTTCTTCTTCTTCTTTCTAAATATTACAGTCCCATAGCCCATATTCCTAGACGGAACTGATATACCCTCCACAAGACTTTGAATCAGCTGGCACTCATAGAATAGCTGCAAAAGGTGGGTTTTGTTAGTATGTTGGAATTTGTCTGGGAAGATAACTCAGATCACTGATCAGTCAGGTGGCATGACTGTTATCCTGTGCATAGGTATCTGAAAAGCATGTTGAGCTTTAACAAAAGAGCTTGAGTCAGCTGCAATGCAGCTTTTAATTGGAAATGAAAGAAAGACAGCTTGCCTTTTAAACTGCTAGAATAAAGTAGGAACCCCATCGAAGGAAAGAAGTATCCAGCCCCTGCTTGATTATTTTCCCCAGGCTCTGACTTGTTCTGTGCTTACCTGGCACAAATAACAGCAAAACTAAAAGCCTCATTATCACATTGTTCACTTCCCAGAACCAGGAGGGCCTGTTAATTACCCAGGCCTTCTAATGGAGTTATTTTTTCCATGTTAGTTTGACTGTAAACACAGGATGCATGAAAGAGCCAATCAGAGAAAGGAACATTGTGATGCATGGAATCATGACATCCATACTGCACACATGTTCCCACAATGGAGATCTGGAGAATGGAAATGAGAATTTCTGTCATCTAATCAGAAATTCTTATAAAATCATTGCAAAATGGTAATTGACACTCTAGAAACTTAAGAAATTGTAAGAATCCTCTGTCTAATTGCTTGTGATGTGAAACCATAACAGTTAATTTGATGCATGTATTGTGAAATTTCTTTTGCATTATTTTTTAAAAGAAAAATACAAGAAATAACAGGTTATACTGATGAATGCAGTAGCATTTATTTTAGGACATTGGAAGGTTTTTGCACAAACAGGAGACTGGATTGCTATTCCACTTGTTTAAAATCTACCAAAAAAAATCTTTCTCAATTTTGGAAGACAATGGAGATACTATTTCTTGAATTATAGTAAACAAAAATTAAAATGATTTGTTCTGAAGAGATGGGAAAGTACAAACCTGAAATCTGGAGTTGCTGAATGTCTAGGGCTGCAGTCCTAACCCCACTAATATGGGAGTAAGTCTTATTTAATTCAGGAGGACTAAGTGGACATGGTTAGGATTGCACTGTCTGGCCGCATTCTTAACTCATCTAGGAGCACACCTCATTGAAGTCAGGTAGGCTTGTTTAACATTGTACTGTACTGCTGATGGCCTGGTTTGGAAGCTCAGTTCCCAGCTTCCCAATTCATAGTTTAGCAGCCAGGTTAGGAAAGTGGTGATAAATCACGGCATCCCATTTCAAATGTAATGACTAACTTCAGTTTAATTAAACCAAGATGCAAGTACCGAGGAAGGAGGCAAAGGAGTACATGGTATTGCAAGTTAGGAACTGACACTGACTAGATCTAACAATTCGTTGAAGTTATTTTTGGAAGGTTAGTGTTGAATGATTTGGGAATATTTGTACATTAGGGTTTCTATATAGATTAGTATGCTTTTGATGCTCTTATGAGTTTTGGCTTTGAAATATTTTTGTTTCTTTTATGTGATTTTGTTATGTGTGTTTTGTATGTTTATTACAATAATAAACACTGGAATAAAAATGCAACTGTTTTGGAAAGTTACTTTCTATTCTTAGCCAAGAATGTTTAAAATTAACTGAAAAATAAAACAAAATATTTTAGGATTTACTGTCCCCTGTTACCTGGAAACAGAAAATGTTTTTCTCTTGCTATGGCAACAAGAAAATGTGAATGTACGATAAACCAATAACTTGGAGTTCTGCCACAAAATAGATGAGAAATCTGTTTAGTGCTGCAGTAGAGTTGTATCTCAAAATTTCCAGCCTCCACTTTGACCTAATTCATCCCCACACTTCTCAATCTTTTTGTAGAAGTGGAAAATTACTTGGAATAAAGCTTTTATATGGTATTTTAGAAGGTTTGCAAACTTATTCCCGTTATAGGAAAAGATGGCTGTTGAGTGTAGGAAAAAATGTTTCCCTAAGCTGATTAACAAAATGGACCATATTGGGATGGAGTTGCTTTTGCTTTCTTTGGACAAAGTAGTAGCAATGTATTGAATTCAGATTTTGAATGACTACTTCTATTGTGTCATTCAGGAGTGGACATACTGTATATTTTCAAATTCCTAAGTAGCCTTAGATTTTCAGAAGCAAGCAGTGGATCATGGATAACTTTGGGCAGCCAAGTACCTGGGTTGAAGCTTTTTATTTAATTCACAGACAGAGACAAAATGACAAAAAGGATGGTTTAGTATTTTTCGGTGACAGGAAGGTTTTAAGAATTTATGCTGAAAGCTCACTGAGAGTGCACTGTTCCCCAAGTTTACTGAATACATTTTAAGCTGACATGAACCTAAGAAGACTGAGATAATGAAGAGCAGCTACTTTCAACCCAACTTAAGTTCCTTGTTGTTGCTGGCGTCTGTCTCAAGAGACAATGCAGTGCACCTCCAGGGGTGATTATTCTTACTTGCAGAAGGTGAAATGAGACAGAGTGACTTACTCAGGCTCTTACCCTGGCTGTATTCAGAGGCCATGCTTTTACTTCTGAACCTTTGTCAGCTCGCAAACCATCATTTAGGAGGGGCTTGCTTGAAAATTACAGTTTGTGCCTGCTGCTTGCTGTTATACTGTATATTTACTCACCCCACCACACAGCTTATCCAAAATGGAGATAAATAGAGAAAGAAAGGAGAATGAAATCAACTACATCCAGTCCACACAACTCCCTTTCCTTACCAAGTGCTTTCCTCTTTTCACACTGCACATGTATTGCCTATTATGTATTTGGAAGCATAAGCCATGGTGTCGGTTCCTAACTATGGTTAGCAGAAACCATGTAAGGCATGATCCTTGAATGAAACCCATGGGTTGGTTGACAAATAACACTTTCCCATGATTTAATGCTACATGGATGAGCCTTAACAAGCCGAATGCTCACCAGAACAAGATGGTTTGAGCATATAACACCAATCCTAGCCCAACTTCATTGGCTGCCAATTAGTTTCCAGGCCCAGTTCAAAGAGCTGCTGTTCACTTATAAAGCCTTACACAGCTCAGGACCTCAATACCCTAAGTACATCCTCTCCCCATGCAGACTGACCCAGACCCTGCACTTGTTATCTCTATGTCCCCACTCCTGAGAGTTTTGGAGGGTGGCAACACAAAAACGGGCCCTTTCTGTGGTGGCTTCCTGACTGGAATGCTATCCCCAGAGAGGCTCACCTGGCACCATTATTTACATTCTTTAGGTGCCAGGGACATTTATTATGATTATTTTATCATATTGTTATGCTTTTTATTATGTTTTCACTATTGACGTTCTGTAAAACATTTTCTTAATGCTGTACACCACCCTGGGATCTTTTGATAAAAGATAGTACAGTGGTACTTCGGGTTAAGTACTTAATTCATTCCGGAGGTCCGTTCTTAACCTGAAACTGTTCTTTACCTGAGGTACCACTTTAGCTAATGGGGCCTCCCACCGCCGCACAATTTCTGTTCTCATCCTGAAGCAAAGTTCTGAACCCAAGGTATTATTTCTGGGTTAGTGGAGTCTGTAACCTGAAGCGTATGTAACCCAAGGTACCACTGTATATAAATTGAAATGATGATGATGGAAGTGCAAGGCCCCTTGCATCCAGGAGGAGGACTCCTGCCAAGTTTAGTTTCAGCTTCAGAGAATCTTGGCTTTGCATTACTTGTGAACCAGTAATTCTGGCTTAAAGCAAACAGTGGTTAGTTTCTAAAACAAGCAGACCTCAAACCATGGGTTAGTTGGCATGTTTTAACTGCTGATTGTGTTTGCACATGATGCTAAGCCATCATGCTTTGACATTTAAAGTAAACTTGGCAGAGGAGGGCAAGGAAAGTAACATGTGAGCCTGATGCTTTGTTGAGACTTGTCTCCATAATGCTGAACCATGATTTAGTGTTACAGGCAAACAAGCCCAGCAGCTGCATACACCTCCTGCCCAATGTGCATGGACAATAAGCTTGTGCATTTCTACCTCCAGTGCAGCTGAGAAGAGGATATCAGAAACTTCTGCTTCCATCTTCCATTTTCAGCTATCCATATGTTCTTGTTATGGCTGAATCTGGACAAACTGTACTTAGAGTTAGCTATGATTTATCGAAATAAGCAAAGTTCAAACCATGATTATGGACCCTGATCTGTTTTAGTAAATCATAGTTAGCATTGTGCACAAAAAGCTAAACCATGGTTCAGCATTATGTGTGAACCAAGACAGTGAGTCAGTGGCAGAGGTGGAACTTCATGCTAGTCCTCCCAAATGCAAATTAGGTGGATTGGATAATATTTCCTGTATTGCTTACTAAAAATACTCTCTGGCATTCTGAATGAAAAGCTTGACAGACAGCCCTCTCCTTTATAAGCAGTATGTGTGTTTGTGTTTTGTAAACAACAAGAGACTTTTTTTTCTTGTTCTGTTATTTACCAAAACTAAAAGCCACAATTTTCGAAATTCTGTGCTTGTTTGACACAGTGTATTTGTTAGATAATTCAGGCACCACTCCATTGTACTCACATCTTGATTTGCTGGAGAGAGCCAGGTTCTGCATGTTCGTGCTTTACTGGAACTTGAAAATAAATGGGCTCCAATGGCTTTGCGTAATGGGTTGCTTTTCCACTGCTATTTCTCCCCACTTCCACCAAACTGAAAGCACTAGTTTCCTGTCTGTCTTGTGTGATTTCTTGCATGTAATTTTAAAGCTGCCTTTTAGAGAGCTCTTCAGAGTAGTGAACAAGAAAAGCCTGTGCAAAGCTCCTCATCTTCTAAACAACCAATTTAATCCTAAATAATGGAAAACTGGCTATTTGCAGATTCTAATTTAGAAAATTAGTGTTTCCATATTTGTTTAATGATAACAAGGTGGCTTCTATGATGGAGTTTCCTAGACAATAATAAGATACTCTTTGGTCCACATTTGGCCAGCAACATTTCTTATTGTATCTAGCACATTTAATAACAGATCTACATTATGGTTCTAACCGACAGTAGAGCTACTCTGATAGTCTTTTCATAATTTATATTATCTTAATTATATTTATAATTTTATTCTGATTATATCTTAATAGAGATTGGTGATGTATTGTATTCATCCCAGAGAATGTTGCAATGGTGATTTGGGAATTGATGTAGCATTTTTTTCTTACAGAGGGGTCAGTTCTGCAGTAACATATTCTGCAGCAGAAGGTGAGAAAATTTTAGAGTAAACACAGACAGGGAGATATGCTCCCTTGGACACCCTCATTTGAATTCCTGTTAGGCTGAAGGCCAAACTAAATGTTATGCTAGTGCCGTACATGATTTATTCAAAAGCTGACTTGGGGGCCAGAGCTGGACCGGTACCTGGAGGGAGCAGGCTTTAACCCCTTGCCTCTGGTATGGCCTCATTTAGAATCGCATATTCTCACTCCCATCTCAGCGTTTCATGTTCCTTTACTTTTTGAAGTAATGCTTTTATTTAATTATTTTAATTCAACAATTTATACACAGCTTAGCAGCGTAGTTTCTAAGCAGTGTACAGTGAGGTTACAAAGGAGATGCAACAGATAAAACAAGTTAAAATTTTTACCAAAAAAGCTTCCTTTTGTTCACAAAGTGCCTGTAGTTCAGGGTGGCAGGCGGCCTGTTTTGATTTCAACTGGGAAAGAGAATTAGGCTGACAATACTGAATGCACGGCTCCTGGCAGATGCAAGCTGTGCACCTGAGCCATGGGGGGACCATTACAGTTTGTGTCTGTTTCAAAACTTTTCAGGGCTCTCTTGGTGCAAAATCCACAAGATCTGTCTTTGCAAAATGGAATGAAAATCACATGCTGAGTACAAATTATAGGGTGGTGGGTTCAGTAATGGTGCAAGTTATCTAGGCAGCTATATTGTGGGTTACACTGGAGGTACTGAGTGGCTTTAAGAAACTGACCATCCCTGGCCTGAGGCTGACTTGCCAACAAACTGGTTTTCTTCTCCTCTCTCCAAAATGTATGACAGAAATTGAGTACCGTCAATTGAAAAGCTTGGAGAGGAGCCAATTCAGGAAGACATCAACATTGAAGCTGTTTCTATAAACACCTTTCTTTCTCTTTTTCAGAGCCATGGTGTCATGGAAAGGAATTTATTTTGTACTTACACTATTCTTGGGAAGTTTTTTCGGAAGCATTTTCATGCTTGGCCCCTTGCTGCCATTGATGTTTTTCTCCCCATCTTGGTATCGCTGGGTCACTGATCGCGTTGTGGCTACTTGGCTTACACTTCCAGTGGTAAGTTGCTTATATCTTACATCTTATGAAAAGTCCCAACTGCTCAAACCACCCAGACTTTAAATGCCAAACAATGACTTTTTATATTCAATATTTGGACTTAGTTTCAGGTATAGAATTGCAGCCATGCAACACAACCTTGCTCTGTTCAGTAGACCTTATTATCCTAAGTGTACCTAGGATTGCAGGCATAATCTTCTATGTGCTGTCAGGATAAGCTTCAGAGCTAATGGCAGAGGGTGATGGACAACTGTGTCTAAACTTGAGACAGAGATGGGAGGTGTCTGGACTGGAAAGACTTTGGCAGATGGCCAAAATGACAACTATAGAAGAGCCAAGGAAGAACAGCCATCAGATAAGTTAACAGTACTCCTTGTTCTGTTCTGGAATGGAAAATTCAATTATAATATTCAGCAGTCTGCTTTATTGTAAGGTATCTTTGTTTCTTCATTCTTTGAATGATCCGCCTTTAATTATTCATCAACAAGTGGTCATGTTTTTTCCTTCTTTTCCATGTAAAATATAGTAATTTATTTGAGAGAGATAAAAAAAAATAGGATTTCCTGGTTGGAACGGTTTGAGATGAACTGCTATGCTTAACAGCTGTAACTCTCAGGTCACTTCTTTCCAGCACATAGTGTCCTCAGCCTGACAAGGTCACCACCTATTAACCCTAATATATCAGTGTAATGACAGTGAAGAGTCTTTTAAAAATAATTTGTAAGCTTTAGGTGGTTAGCAGACCAGTAATACATTTTTTAAAAGAAAATTTTTACCAGACCTCTTAAAGGTTACCTATATGTTTGTTTCACTGTACATTGGACCGTCCAGTTACATACTGCTCTGGTTATGTAACTTTCAGGTTATGAACGTGGCAAACCCGGAAGTGTATCCTTCCGGGTTTTGCCACGTGTGCAGAAACGGCACCTCTGGTTACGTTTTTTTGGAGTGCACACGGACCCCCGGAATGAATTAAATTCGTATCCGGAGGGTCCACTGTACTGATGAGTTTCTTGTTTTTCTGCTGTTTTAACTGTGTGGCTTAACAACAACTTTGTTGTTGTTGGTTGACATGACTTTTGTTTGTAAGCTTACTTGAGGGGTAAGGTGACAAGGCAGAGTAGCCATCAAAGCAATATCCTATGCTGGGTATCTGTGTTAATCAGGAGTACATGCGCAAACATCCCATATAGACCCTAAAAACTATAGAAAAGAAGCACTGAGCAAATGAATGTGAATGAAGCTTGACTATGGTTGCAGCAGAGTGCTGACTGTTGAAGGAAGGGAAAATCAGAGGGAATGGAACAGAGTGTCCTGTAAGATCCTGGTTGGCCAGCTGGAACCCTGAACAGGAACACTTAACACTGCAACATTTTGTTGCAGGTCCCACTTGGATTTTAGCGTAATACTGAAATCAGAATGGAAGAAAATGTATATTTAGGTCTGAAGTGCTGTAGTTCAACCATCTCATCCCCAGGACTATGTTTATGAACTGTAGTCTCACAGAAACACATGAACACTGCTGTTCACTGTTTAAAAAACAACAGCAGTGGGGAGTTATAATTGTGCCCTGAGACTGCAGCCCAAAGAAGATTAATTTGAAGCCAGTTCCATTGAACTCAGTGGGAACTTGGTGAGTCTTTGGAAATAAATCAATGTAGGAACAAACTGTTTTCTTCTGATCATGTATTTGATTCATTTCCTGAATTATCGTAATGCCAGCATTTTTAGAGACTCTACCAGGTGTGCTTCCCTCCTCTACAATTCTATGATTCCTGCCTTCTTAAAATGGATTTCAAATATCTAATAATACTGCACAGAGGCTATGCATTTAGAGGTTTACAAATATTTAGAATCCGTAAAAAAATTGTACCATATAGTCACTTACATATTACTTTGTTTTCTCTGAGCAGAGCTCTGAAATAAAAATTCTGGCTAAATAAGAAGTAAAATTCATTTTACCTCTTTCGTTCATTCTTTCGTTCAAGGCTGATAGCATATTAAAAACCTGTTTTTAATAAGGAACAACTTATTGACTGATAGTAGAAGTAGTGGAACTTACAAATATGTCCCATGGTATATGTTTCTTTGTCTGCTTTGTCATGCATAAGCCCTGAAGTGACTAATTCTCTAGTTCTCATTTTTTTCATCAGATGATGATGATCTCATTTATATCCCACCTTTCCCCCAAGGAGCTCAAGGTGACGTAAATGTATAGAATTTTAGGTACAGAATCATTGATTTGTACAGTTGGAAGGGACCCTGAGGGTCATTTACTCCAACTCACTACAATACAGGATTCTCAACTAGATCACACATGACCGATGACTATCCAAACTCTGCATAAAAACCCCTAAGGAAGGAGAGTCCACCACCTCTCATGGAAGTCTGTTCCAGTCTCAAACAGCCCTGACCTTCCCCATTTTATCCTCATAACAACCCTGTGAGGTTAATGAGGCTGAGAGGGAGTGAATGGCCCAAGGCCACCCAGTGAGCTTCATGACTGAATGGCTCAGTCCCTAGTGCAGCATTCAAATCACAGCACCACACGGGTATTACATATCAACAGAAGACACCCCAAAAAACCTCCTGTACCCTACGTATCTGATCCACTTCCTGTACCCCATCTGATCCAACCATTGGAGGACAAAAGTGGCTTCACGTGGGATGGAAAACTTACCTTCCGTGAAATTCCTTAAGGTGCCTTATTTTAACATTTAAGCCATAGAGTCCAGCAATCTTACCTGTAGCGGTGCACAGCCATTATTTATTTATTTATTTTACTTACTACATTTATGTACTGCAAGAAGCTCAGGGGTGTGTATGTGGCTCTTCACGCTCTTCATTTTATTAGTGTAACAACCCTTTGGGGTAGGTTGGATTGAGAGAGAGTGGCAGACTGGGGATTTGAATCTGTGTCTCCTCAGACCTAGTCCATCTGTTGCACCATGATGACCCCACGATGCCTTTAGAAAGCTTACAGGTGGGGCATGAGGGCCACAGTACCCACTGTTTTCATACTGCTTCTGAACATGGGAGCTCCAGTTATCTATTATTACTGATAGGGAAGACTTCCATGGGCAAAACTGAGGTTGAGAAAGTAGGAATGGTTTTGATGGATGAAGTTGGGCTGGGGAACACTTGCAGCACACACACACTTGTTGGAGGCACCAGCTACCACTGTGTGTTAATAGTTGTAAGCAACATGTTAATGAGCAAAACTATCTCTCTCCCACCTCGATAGATGGTCCGTCCGAATAGCGGTGCAGAGTTTGCTATGCTTTTATAATGGTTCATTTTTAACCTTGATCAATAATAACATGCCAGTACTGCAGTTAGCTGAGTCATCCATTAATGCTTTATGCTCTTTATATAGTTCATTTCACACAGGGAACTAAAAGCCCTTCACAGAGGTAAGTGACATCTCTGTTGATTAGATGAGACATTGTCTGTCTTATTTCCTTGTTCCTTCATCTTTTCTAATTCTAATGCTGTTTTATATTCCAAACGTCAAGGTTTATTTTGGGTTAGAAGGCTTCATTTTTCCCCTTGGGTAGTTCAGGGAAGAAAATTGGTGTTTTGATTCTATTGTGGGTCTGGGTGCCTTCGTCACCTTTTCTGCCATTGCAATTGGTTGTTTTTAACCATCATCTTTGTATTCCAACCTTTCTCTGAAAGGCTCAGGATTGCATGTCCATAGTTACTTTATTCTCAAAGCAACTCTGTGATCAGTTAGGCAGGAAGAAAGTTATTTCCTCTATAATTTGAAGCTGGATAACTTTAACTGTTCAAATAGTGTAAATACTATTCCCTTGCGTAGTAATTTTAAAATGTCTTTTCTAATAACAATTCAAGTTGATGTGCAACTTTTTTATATAAAAAAGACATAACTCATACAAATTATATCAATACAGATAAATTATGTTGGGGTAGGGAACTTCTGACTTACAAGCCAATATTGGCCCGTTCTCAATTTGACCCACAAAGCCATGTTCCCAAAGTCACTTCCACCCTTCTGCTAATGTCACTCATGGCATCATCTGATGGATTGGAAGCTACGGTTAAATCCTGCGTTGCCTGCATTCCTGTTCCGAGCAAGAAACAGGAGAGCAGCACAGCTGAAGCAGCAGGATTTGACCTCCATGCTTGTCAGCTGATAAATCCTGCTTGGTTTGGCTGGATTCCATGCAGCACCTTCCTGATTCAGAAAGGGGGCCTGTATGGAAACTCCTGCTGAAATGGAGGGGGGCACTGGCCTTGCAAGGTGCTCTGAAGTCCTGAGTTTGGGACTACAAAGCACCCTGCAGCTGACATAATAGGGAAGTCAGGAGATTGACAGATGGGATGTCCTGTGAAGCGTATCATTATCAGCCCATGGAGCCGAAAAGGTTTCCAACCCCTGAGTTAAATGATTCTGCTGTGCAGCAAACCACAACCTGACCAGTCTATGGACAGAAAGAGCAGTGTCAGAGAAAGGCATAAAGAGATTGGTGTGGTATGAGGCTTCCCAGAAGGAATCATCCAAAGGGTAGATGCTATCAGGCAGGAGATCCCACAGCATAGGCAAATCTTGCTTCATGCATGGAAGGGTGAAGGTGTTCATTGTTTGGGGAGATAAATATGACTGCCTTGAATTAATGTGTCTATTTTCTGCTGCTTTCACCACAACCATAATGGTTCTTCTGAATCATGTGGTTATTTGACACTGAGTCCTTTGAGTATGCAAGGTCCACATTTTTTTCCTGCAGTGGGTGCTCTGTAATAGTCCCATTGGTACTGTACAGTTGAACAGTATGCTACTCCTCAAATGCTTTCCCCAAACCATTCTGCTAAATAATTTTTTAAAAAACTAGGTACATCGTAGAAACATGCACTGGCTACTATAAACCTTTGGTGCAAGATAATGTCTTGATTTATATCATTGTAAATTATTTGTTCTCAGATATTTGCATGTTTTCAAAGTTAATATAAAATCAAATTATTTCTCTTAGGCCTTACTGGAGATTGTATTTGGAGCAAAAGTGGTTATAACAGGTGATGGATTCATCCCCGGAGAAAGAAGTGTCATTATCATGAACCACCGAACTCGAATGGACTGGATGTTCCTATGGAACTGCCTGCTGAGATATAGCTACCTCAGACTTGAAAAAATATGTCTCAAATCTAGCCTCAAAGGCATTCCAGGATTTGGTAGGTCACCAACATGATAAAAACTTTCTTTTTTGTTTAGCTTTATATGATGTTGTAATATTTGCTACCTTATATGGTAGTTCAGAATATTTGATTTTAGCTCTGCTGTTTTTATAATGATGGGTTTCATTGTTCTGTTTATTATTTTTCGGCATTATTGTTAGCTGTCTTAAGGGATCTGTGGAGCCATGCAGAAAGAGAAAAATTCCAAAATGATATCTAAAACCTTCTGTCTGTTAAGCATGTAAACTGCTTTCCAACTCACATAGGCTAAAATAATTTGTTTTCAAAATATGTCTTAAAATATTATTCTCTTCAGATTAGTTGCATATTTGTTTGTGCTGTCTTGTTTTATTGCACAGTGGTCAAACTCTTAGAAGATAAATCCCATTTCTTTTTCTGATAGACATACAAGTTTGGTGGATCAGGGAATGCTGTGGACATAGTGTATCTTGATTTCAGTAACTCGCTCTACGTGGGGCTGCCCTTGAGACTGACCCAGAAACTCCAGCGGGTGCAGAATGCCGCGGCGAGACTCCTTATGGGGTCTTCGCTGCGAGATCACATTCATCCGGTACTATACCAGCTGCACTGGCTCCCGGTGGAGTACAGGATCAGGTTTAAGGTGCTGGTTTTAACCTTTAAAGCCCTATACGGCCTAGGACCCTCGTACCTACGGGACCGCCTCTCCTGGTATGCCCCACAGAGGAACCTACGGTCTGCAAATAAAAACATCCTGAAGGTCCCAGGCCTCAGAGAGGTTAGGCTGGCCTCAACTAGAGCCAGGGCTTTCTCGGCTGCGGCTCCAATCTGGTGGAACGCTCTGTCACAAGAGACTAGGGCCCTGCGGGACCTGACATCTTTCCGCAAGGCCTGCAAGACAGAGTTGTTCCACCAGGCCTTTGGTCAGGGCCCAGCCTGACTCCCTCCTCTGGCAACCTGCACAGAACTTTGCTTAACGATTGCCATTAATTTGATTTTAATTAATTTTTATAATGAAATGTTTTAGAATGTTGGATTATTTGATTGTTTGATTATTTGTTTGTTGTTAGCCGCCCTGAGCCTGGCTTTGGCTGGGGAGGGCGGGATATAAATAAAATTTATTATTATTATTATTATTAAGGCTTTTGACAAAGTCTCCCATGCTATTCTTGCAGAGAAGCCGGTAAAATGTGGTCTAGATGAGGCAACTGTTAGGCGGATTTGTTGGTCGGCTTGATGACCTTAAGCATACAGCTGACAGGGCCCAAACTAACAAAAGAAATTTCAATAGGGGCAAATATAAGGTTCTATACTTTGGCAGGAAGAACAGCTGCACAAATATACGATGAGGGACACATGGATTACCAGTAGTACATGTGAGAAGGTCTCTTGGTGGACCACAAGCTTAACATGAATCAACAGTGTGATGCAGCAGCAAAAAAGGCTAAAGTTTTTCTAGGCTGCATCAACAGAAGTATAGTGTCCTTATCAAGGGAAGTAATAGTACTGCTGTATTCTGTCTTGGTGAGACCCACCTGGAGTAGTGTCTAGTTCTGGGTGCCACAATTTAAGAAGGATATTGACAAGCTGGAACATTTGCAGAGGAGGGCAACCAAGATGATCAAGGGTCTGGAAACCAAGCTGTATGAGGAACAGTTGAAGGAGCTGGGTATGTTTAGCCTGGAAAAGAGGAGGCATAAGAAGCGCTCTGTTGGATCAGACCAAAGGCTGCTTAATTTTTAGCATCCTGTTTCCCATGATGCCTTTTGAGAAACTTGTAAGCAAGACCTATAGGCAGTAGCCCGCTCCTGCAACCATTATTCTGGGGCATGCTCCCTCTCTACCTGGAGGCAGCATATAGCTATCATGAGTAGTAGTCATTGATAACACTATACTTTTTTATTCTTGGTTTAAAAACTTACTAAGAACATTTATTCTTACCTACTCAGTACTGAAGATTCTGCTGTTCACAGCTGTGTTATTTTGATGGAATGTAAGTGACAGAAAGGAAATAACAAAGAGCCCATTCAGTTGTAACGAACCATCACCTTTAAAGTCAACAATGCATGTTGGGCCTGGAGCGCTCCTCTCCCTTTTAAATAAACCACAATAGAATCTCTGAAGCTGATGTGTGCCATAATAAACGAAGGTTTATTAGGCCAAGTTCATCACGTCGCAACTGGCCTGTGAAGTAGTTCTTTCCTTTCCTTTTGCATTTAGAAGGGGCAGAAAATAAACAGCAACTCTTCAAATGTAGCCGTGGCACTGTCAGCCTCAATCAACAAGAGAAGTCTCAAGGCATTGTTTGTATTCTCTTTATCTTATATACAGTATATCCTAGTGTGGTGATAATAGATAGTGTGGTACACATACCACTTTTGTAAGGGGCTACGCATGTAGCCTGTGTTGAAACTTTCTAAGCACACAAGTGTAACCCTCCTGGATCAGCTCCAAAGACCTATCTAGTCCAGCCTTCTGTTCCTCATAGTGGCCAGCCAGGTGCCTATTATGGGAAGCCCACAAGCAGGATGTTCATTTAGCAAAAGGTGCTCACTTCACTGGTTCACAAAAATATACTTTGTTTTATGTGTACACTTGTAAAAATTAAGTTAACTGGCCACCCTCCACTAGTTAGAGTTTGCCCTTTCAGAAAAGTTCTGATTGTATTTATTGCTTTCACTCACTATTCTACTATTACTTTGATTTCTCAGCTGATATCATCAGAAACTATTAAGGTACACCGGTTGCATTGTGCATACCAATCTTTAGTTTTGTTCTGTTGAACGTATAGGCTCTAACAAGCCTTCTGTCTCAAACAAAATTTTCATCAGTTCAGTCATACCCCTTTATTGCTAGGTCACCTTTACTCTTTCACCAATTACTTGTGGAATGTATGATATGGTACAGTTCACTTACCACTGGCATAACTGTAAGAATTAACAAAGAGTACCTTGGAGAGCATTTCCCTTTTTTCTTTTAATTACTTACCATTCTTAAAACTTAAATTACCCATTAGAGCTTCTGCCAGTAATAAGCAAATATCAGCATCATGATGATGATAACTTCAATTTGTTTTGCCAAAATCCTGGAGTCGTATTCAATGCTGCTGCAGTGGATTTCCATGCATACACGTGGAGCTTCCTTTTTATCTCCTATCCTTTCCAGCCCCCCTTCTCACATTCTTATAATCAGCTCTGAAGGTTTGGGGATTTCTTCAGAGAAGATTTTGGGGGTGCACAAGGAAAGAGAGGAAACAGGGGTCCCATTGCACCTCTGGAACTCTGCACATGGAGCATTGGATACAACCCTTGCTATTTACTGGCTGTTCATTCATTCAGTCAATCAGTCAGTCAATCAGTTATTAAATCCTATCTTTGGGGATATAAATCCTTCCAAAAAAATACATTAACAAAATCACAATAACATTAAAATGTAACATTTTATCAATATCCTTCTCAGTTGGCAATTGATGCTAGATGACTCTGTATGAGGAATGGGAAGATCCAGATCGAGCAAGATCTAAGTTGGTCTTTGCTTGCCTCTCTCTCTCGTCCTCTCCTGGTGTTCTTTCCACAGCGAAGTGGGAAGTTATATTAGGGTTTGTGGGTCACAGCTCCTTTCTGTGCAAGTGAAACGTGAGGTTACCAGAGCATGTTCCACTGTGGCCCATGCAGGAATGGCCACAGCTGATGGGTACTTTTCACCACCAAATCCACCTGAGCCTCAAGTGGTGATGGCACTGGATAGCACCACTCCTAAGAGTATCCCCAGACTCTGAACCTGCTGCTTATGGATGAATGGAACTCTGGGAATCACTTACCAACAGCACCACCATCTTGTCAGGATTCAACCTCAGTTTATTGGCCCTCATGCATCCCACTGCTGCCTCCAGACACTGGACTACCACCAAAGTAGTTTCACCTAGTTCAGATGGTATGGAGAAACAGCGCTGGGTGTCATTGATGACACTGAGCCCCAAATCCTGTGATAACTCCACTCAACTTCATATAGATGCTAGATAGCACCAGGGACCAGATGGAACTTTGTCAAACCCCACAGCCCAATTGCCATAGGGCTGAACAGAAGTCACCCAATGCTACGCGCTGGAAGCAGCCCTGCAGGTTGCAGCGGAATCATTATAATATTATGCCTCCATCTCCCAGCCACAGAGAGGATACCATGGCTGATGGTATCAAAACCTGCTGAGAGCTTCAGGAAAATCCAGGAGTTGTTAAAGGCAGAAGGCTATGGTGGGATAACTTTCCCCGAAGTCTTTCAGTGTTAGCTATTCCCTGATGGCTGCTTCCCTCGCAGTTTTTTAAAGATAATAACATTCTCAGATAGTGACTTTTGCAGGTTATTTTTGAATTGCATTTTGGATGTTCCACACAATACCACACATGTGGAAATAACCATGGCATGGCATTAGCTGCATCAGAAAATTGTATGGTTAGACCTTGGTCTGTTTTTCCAAGTTATGCATAATGCAGTAATAAAATTGTGGAAAGGGTCAAGTCCACAGCTCCTCCAAAGGGAGGCCACCTCTTTCTTTGTGAAAGATAGTATTTGAGTAGGGTCAAAGGTTTCTGTTAAGCATAGGCCTTCCATTATCTAAGTGCTGTATAAATAGCTTGTGGTTTGCTTTGTGGACTGGAGGCAATGGACTCTTTAAGTGAGAGTCTGAGCAACAGTGACATGTGATATCTTCCAGCAATTTCATCAAGGGCTGTCAGACTTAATTACTTTAGAGTTATTTATGTTATGAGGTAGCTTTGGGAGTGTATGTTGGAAAGTGTTCTCTGTAGTGTTATCACTCTTGTAGAATTGTTTACATCAGAAAGATGCATACCAACCAGATTTTTTTAAAAAATTATTATTATTATTATTATTATTATTATTTTGGAAGTTGGAACATTAACCCTGCTCTAAATTTGTGCTGGGAAAGGGGAATAAAATGACTATTGTAATAGCTTGTAATCCTGCTTTTTATGCTTTAAATAAGTCTGGTCTCATAAAGGTCTGTGTTGTAAGGGAACATTTTGTGAAAAGTGATGGCTTAGAATAATAATTTGAAGGGATCAAAACACAAAGACCAAAGGTTCAGTTTAAAAAGCATTCATCTAGTCTCCCATAGGTAAACTGAATTCAGGCCAGTGTGTTAAAATCGCTAAAAACAACTAATTTGCATATTTTTGCCTGCTAAGCAAATGTGCCAGATGACTCAAGTAAGCAAATCATCTACTAAACATCCTATAAAAGTTTTGTTTATACAAAATAGGGGGGGGGGAGAGGAAATAATATGTTCCGATTCACTTGAAATGTCCATACCTTCCAGCTCAAGCATCTTAATGTAGAGGGCAAGGAGCCAATGTACTACCTGATTAACTAGAGAGGTTGGGTCTTGTCATCTGGGCAGCCCAGGACCTCCATGCACACAGCCCAGGCTAGTACCCTGGGGAGATCACTTTGGTGCCAGTAATGACTTCACCCTTGGAGACACATTCCATTGTCTCCTGAGACAGATGGATGCCAACAGCCTTATAGACTGAGAATAAGTAGGCAGACTTGAGGTTGCATGTCAAGCAATGAGACAAGCATCTGGATTAGAGGTGAATACTGCATAGCAGAGTTCAAAGAAATAATAGATGGATATTCAGCTGAGGTTTTGTCATCTGAATGCCCTTATTAGATCACAGTGTTGAAATTAACCTACTCTACTTTCAGCCATAGAAAAACGATGTAAAAGTCACTGATGCAATCTGTTGCATGCATATTTATTTATTTATGCTTGTTCATAAATTTTCTTAAGATGTCTTTTGATTCCTGTGGTGCTCAAGATGATGAACAGTATTCCAAAATCCACTGTACACAGAGAGAGAGAGAGAAAGAGAGAGAGAGAAAGAGAGAGAGAGAGAGCGCACGTAGATACCACCCCCATTATAATTGAAAAACACATTTTCAAATTTTTTTCAATTACCTACTTGTGGGAGCTACATAATGAGCTATTGTCTGATGTTCTGGAGTAAAGGAGTTTCTTCCAAATTTCTACAAGGAGAGATGGCTATGCAGCATGCCCTACAATAAATGATAGTATGTGCAACGTGGTCTCTGACACATTATGCGGTATCTTGTAGTTGTTTCCAGCTTGAGGACCCTTTAGCCAACATGGTGCTCTCCACATGCAGTAGACTACACTTCCTGTCTCACCCAGCCAATATGACCAGTGGTCTGGGATGATGGGAGTTGTAGTCCACAATATCTGGAGGACCTCTCATTTGCTTTCAAATGAAGGACTTTTTTTGTAGTGGCTTCTCCTGCAACTAGTTGGTTGGTGAAACTGTAACATTCAACATTTTCCCTTGAATACAACTATTAATAGTGCAGCAACTCTGCCCCATATTGAATCTGGTAATTGTTTGCCAGGTCACTGAGTTCACATGTGAAATGCATTAATTTATGCAGCACAGGTCAGATTCTGCAAAAAGAAAGGAAAGATCAAGTGGTGTGCATTTCAAGGACTTATCACTTTACAATGATAGGCAGTTGAATTTGCAAATTGAAATGAGAAGGCAAGATGCTTGAGTTTCAGTAATGATATTGAGCTAAAAAGCTGTAAAAATGTACTTCTGCTAAAAAAAAAATCTTAATTATAAGAATTTTTTCACCTGTGTATTCTTAATAGGTCCCAAGTATGTTATGTTCTAGCTCATGTTTTTAATGTTAGACATGACTCAGTCTCTTAGTGTTATTTTGCACCCCTGATTTAATATCATTAAGAATAACATAACACCTACTTTTTCCCACACCTTTCAGAGGGGTCACTAACACATCTGACATATTTTAGTGCTAGCCCATACACTTTTTTCTATAATAACTGTATTACATGCAAAGTGGTCTTCCCTAAGAAATTGGTTATGTTTTCACATAAAATTATCTGTTTGTTTGTTTGTTTTTTAATACCCTTTTTATTATTTTTATTTTAACAAAGTAATAATAATAAATAAATACAAATAAAAATGTGCGCCCCCACCCCAAGACCATTCCATTGTAACTATCCAACTTCCCAAATTTCAACACCTCTTGCAATGATTTGACCTCTTTCCATTTTAACAATACAAATTCTACAAATACCTTCCATATTTCATCAAAATCATTTCTCCTGCATATTCCCTGTCTTACCTTAAGAGCACATGGTAATTTATTATTAATAGCTATATCTCACACCTCTTTATACCATTCTTCCATTTTATATTCACCTTACCCCTTCCACTTCCAAGATATAACACCTCGTGTAGCTGTCAGTAAATTTGTGAGCAAGTCTTTCATAGCCTGTGAACCTTCCACCCCATCATAAATTGAGAACAGTGCTACCTCTGGACATTTGGCCAGCTTTAACCCAGTGATTTCTGTTATCTCCTTAAACACCCTTTGCCTCTTTTAATTTGTTAATCTTCTAAATTTCTTGTTATATTTATTCCCAAGTACTTTATTACATGTCTTAATTTTATATCTATTTTTTTTCCTTCAAAAGTTTTTGGTTTACATCTTGATCGTAGTTAAATATCATCATCTCTGATTTGGACCAATTAATTCACAACCTTGTTTTTTCTCCACTTTTTTTTCTAATGTGCCTCTATTGCCTGCATATTTTCCAACGGATTTTTGATTGCTATCAAGGTGTCATCTGCAAATAAGCTTATTTTCTCTTTTCCATTATTGCTTAATCCTTTTATATTTCCATCTTCTATAATTACATTGACCAGAGTTTCAATGACCAATACAAATAAAATTGGGGAAAGGGGGCATCCTTGTCTTGTACCTCGGACTAGTGTTATTTGTTCTGTTATACCATTGTTCACGATGGCATATGCCTTGTTCCTCAAGTATAATTGATTTATTAAACCCTTGAATCGTTCTCCAAATCCTAAGCTTTCTATAATCCTGTTTAACACAGTGTTACAAAATTTATGTTTGATAATTTGAGAACTTAAGTTATGGATATGCACAAGCAAGAAATTTCCAGCACAGTATTTAAAAGACTCTTCAAAATTCCTCTAGGCTGGGCCATGCAGGTTGCTGCCTTCATTTTTATTCATAGAAGATGGGAAGAAGACAAAAATCATTTTGAAAATATGCTGGATTACTTCTGTGACATTAACGAACCACTGCAGCTTCTCATCTTTCCCGAAGGAACAGATCTGACAGGTACTTTAATTCAATTCTCTCCCCACCAATCTTCTCAGGGTAGAAAAAATTGTGTCACAATTATTCCATTTAAAAGTTTACAATTTAAAATGCAAGTTTGACCTGCCATGTGTTCAGTGGTGTTTTATCTTGAAAAGTTATGCTTTATGAGACTTCTACAAGTGATACTAGTATCCATAGGGCAGGAGCTTGAGAGGAAATACTGCACATATTCTGAAGTGGGTTCAAAACGGCCACAACCTTTTTTTGATGTGGCATAGGGCACAGATCAACTGTGGATCATCCTTACTGCTATTTGATAGTACAGCCACCCAGCCCACATTGATGGGAGTAGCAGAAATTTGATAAATTTCTAAGGTTTGAACGACCTGGATGTTGGATGGGTATGGCAGCCCCCAAACTCGACTGGGTTTTGAAGTGACATCCAAAGGTTCCTTAAGTGGATTAACTGTTTTTAATAATCTTATGTGTTAGTTGCCTTGAAACAACAATCTCCCAGTGGGGAGCAGGGAATCCCACCCGTGCTTATCCCTGCTATACATCCAGCCCAGTGCTTCCAATGTGTCTATAATGAGACATTGGCCTGGTTTGCGTGTCACATTAAGGCCAAGCTATGGTTTAACACGGGACATGGGTGGCGCTGTGGGTTAAACCACAGAGCCTAGGGCTTGCCGATCAGAAGGTCGGCGGTTCGAGTCCCCGCAACGGGATGAGCTCCCGTTGCTCGGTCCCTGCTCCTGCCAACCTAGCAGTTCGAAAGCACGTCAAAGTGCAAGTAGATAAATAGATACCAATCCGGCGGGAAAGTAAACGGCGTTTCCGTGCGCTACTCTGGTTCGCCAGAAGCGGCTTAGTTATGCTGGCCACATGACCCGGAAGCTGTACACCAGCTCCCTCGGCCAATAAAGCGAGATGAGCACCGCAACCCCAGAGTCAGCCACGACTGGACCTAATGGTCAGGGGTCCCTTTACCCTTTACCTTTTATGGTTTAGCACGAATGCACAAGTGTGTAGGTTCACTGATAATTTTGATGCTGTATCATACTGTCTGGACTTTCTTTTGTGTAAATCAAATAAAAGTGACTTTTTCCATGTGGAGTAGCCTTCAGAGAGGAATAAATGCCATTGCTTTGGGTATAGTCACTGCTTCCTGGTGATGGTCTGTGGCTCAAAAGTGCACTTTTGGAATGTGTTTTATAAATGTGTTTGAAGTGCTGAATGCTTCCGAGACACATTCGTACAATCTGAACATTACTACATTAAATTCAAAATTGTGGAATGCTCTCCCCAGGGCGGCTTGGTTGGTGCCTTCTACACATATATTTAGGCACCAGGCAAAAACTTTCCTTTACTCTCAGCCCTTTAACTAATTAAGCTAGGGTTGCCATATTTCAAAAAGTGAAAATCTGGACAAATGTTGTTGAGCTTTTTCTTCTTATATTTTTCTGGCAAAAAAAAATGAGCTGACATGGGTTGCCGATTTTCAGAAATTCTGCTTGGACTTTTAAGCTCTCTGTCTCCCTCTCCATGTGTGTGTGTGTGTGTGTGTGTGTGTGTGTGTGTGTCTGAGAGAGAGAGAGATGGGGGGTATTGTTTTATATGTTATTATGTTTTGCATTTTTGTGTTTTTATATTGTAAACTGCCCTATGATCCTTGGATCAAAGGCGGTTTAGAAATGTAATAAATAATAAACAATATTTTCTTATGGGGTGAATAGACTTACAGCTTTGTTTTTCACTAGAACTCCTAGATCTACCAGCCAGAGCTAACTGTAATAATAATAATAATAATAATAATATATAATATAGTATAGTATGAAATTAAAGAATGTGGTGTCTACGAGCACAGTTAGCTTTCTTCAATTTTAGCAGCCTTATTTAGGAAAAGTTACTTTTTACTATTGTTAAACAACAGGGAATCAGAAATTCTTGTCAATCTACCACAGAGATGTCCCAGTATACTCACATTCATCCAGAGATATCCCAGTGTACTCACGTTCATGCCTTTGAGGATTTAGTATTGCACTATTGTCAGGGAACATGGCAAAGAAATATAAGCAAAATTAATAACATGCTGCCCCAAAGAACTTACAGTAAGTTTGACAGTAGGGAAGGGGGCACAAGCTGGAGGGATGGGAGAGGATAATAAAAGAATGGCAGCAGGAAAGAAGGGGCAGAGATGCTTGAGAGAGCAAAGTATGTTCCAAGGAACTGAGGGCAAAATTAGAAGAGGAAAAGCCTTGGGGATATACCTGGTGCATTTTAAAAATCGGGTCACAGAGTTTGCGTTGTTGTGAATGAAAATGAGTAGCATCAAGATTGGCATGGTCTGCACAACTAGAAAGAAATTATTTGTCAGCAGAGTTCTGGATTGACAAGGGAAAGGGAGGAATTTAACAGTAGTTCAAGATGAGAAATTGGATAGAGAAGACACACTTTTGCCAGAAGAAATGGCATTACTTGGTGATAAATTAAATAAAAGCAACAAGAGGAAAGATAATAGAAGAGAGTAAGACCTGAAAAGAAAGAGGAGAAGTGCAATCATCTACATACTGAGCTTGGGGTGGCAATATAGGAATAATTTTTTTGCTGCAAGTATTTCTCTCTATTCCTCCTATTCTAGCACTGAAATAGTTGTTTATATACCAAGTGGGGGGTCCTGATGTCCCAGAATTAATCAAGCTGTGAAATAGGTCCAGAAGTTGGTCAGGTTGCTAGGTACTTAAAGACATTTTTTCTGTTATGTGTCTGAGAGTCACAAAGTTCGATTATTCTTAGATTGTGTTGCCAGGCAAAGTAGCGCTGTGTGACAGCAGGTAACAAGTAGCTTTTTTTCTTCTGTGCGCTCCATCATAAATAGAATAAATAATAAACCAAATGCAAATGTTTGCTCTTGCATATAGCAGCTAAGTTTACACGGGAAGTAAACTGAAATGTGTTCCTGTAAGGAAGACAGCACAAACAGAATACTTTCTAATGACAAAGAATATCATATTCTGTTCAGGTTGTTTTGATTATGAAGTTTCACACTATCCCCTTGCCCCCGGAATGTCATGATTTTCCATCACCACTACATATTTCTGTGAAGTTTAAACTCAGTACATTTGAAATATTAAAGATACAAAAGCATTTCAGTACTCTCCTCCCAGATTTTAATTATTTTGTACATTTTGTTTTTCTTTTATACCATTACCTTAGCAGAACCAAGTATTTTTAAGGGCTAATAAAAATATTCATTATTTATTTTATTACTATTTCATAAAATGTATACAATGCTTGATTGTTAAAAAAAAATCTCAACGGTGTTTACAAAGAGAGCAAAACAATAAAATTATCAGTAAAAAAAACATAAAACTCTGTAAATCATTCAAAACATAAAATCAATAAACTAAAAAGGTTCAAATATATATCTGCACATTACATGTCTGAGTAAGCTTGGGTAAGAAAAGTGTTTTTAGCAGGGACTGAAAAACGTACAGAGATGGCGCTTGCCTGAAGTAAATAGGCAGGGAGTTCCTGATTGTAGGCACTGCCAACACCAAAATATTTATTTCTTACAAATGCAGAACAGGTATCATGTGGTAACTGTAACAGCACCAGTTCTGCGAATCGAAGTGGTCAAATGGGCATATATGGGGTATGGTGATCTTGCAGGTAAAATGGCGCCGGGTTGTTAATGGCTGTAACTTGTAGTTACTTATTGAACGTGGCCCAGTAGCAAATCGGCAATCTCTGGGCTCAGGTGTCATTTACTGACAAGGCCTCACTCCTGCGAGCAGCCATGCTGCAGCATTCTGCACTAACTGCAGCTTCTGGATCAAGTGCAAAGGAAGCCCTGCATCATATGACCTCTGTACACTCTGGAAAAAGTAAGGTAGTGTGATGTGTCCAAAAGAGTATCAAATTTGGTTAGGGATGTAGGAGATTTCTCTCCACCCCCCAAAAATGGTTAGACCTAGGAAGAACCTGGTGGAGCTTCATGTGGCAAGAAAGTGAAGACTTCCTGTGTGTACCACAGATCAAAGGTAAAGTGTGTGGTACCTGCTCTTTCTGCTAATGCTGTTGCCTTTCGTTGCTAAATGCTAAATGCCCCTAATATTGCCCATCTGCTAGCAGCTTCAACTGGCATACTGTCAAATCTTAGTGCCTGAGAAGGATTTTTTTTTTCTGATCTTGTTGATTCTAATGCCTTAGCCCCACCTGATTGGTGACCAGTTGCAGCCTGATTGACTATTGATGAAGCCTTCTGGAGCAACCAGTGTCTCTTGGGAAATGGAAGCTGCTGACTAAGGTCACACATTTTTGTGTGTTTTTTGTCTGACTCTTTATCCACACCTTCCTGTTTTTCTACCTGTTTGCCCCTCCTTCCATGGGAGAGCTGGAATAATGTCAAATTGACAGAATGTTTGCCTCTAGTTCCTAGGGCATCATTCTGCAAAAGCCTTCGGATTTGCCGTGAGTTCTGTTGTTTGAGGCTGAGTCCTACAGCTCACGGAGGAGCTTGGGGCTAGCTTTGACCCAAAGCTTTGCATCAGCCAACTTTCCCTGACTCTCTGCATAATAAGAACTGAACATGGGGGGGAAAGATGTTTATGTAAGAAAGCAAAACAAGAATTATTTCCTGGTGTTATTAATCTCTTATAATCTCCTTGATCCCTTGCTCCACTGATGTGCTCTATGATGCTAAAATGTTCTAAAGCTTAGTCACAACACTGATTTTAATCAATGTTTTTCATGCTCTTTATAGACAACACCAAAGCCCGCAGTAATGAATTTGCTGAAAAGAATGGACTTCAGAAATACGAATATGTCTTGCATCCAAGAACTACAGGCTTCACTTTTATAGTGGAACGACTAAGAGATGGTAATGGATCTTTGGATATGCTTTTCTTTTCTTGTCATCTCAAAATAAATAATATCTGGTGAGGAATGTAGCTGAGAACCAATTGCTTTGAGAAGGTTTCTCCAAGATTTTTAAAAACGGATTCTACATTCTAAAGAAGAAGAAATTACATATTCTGAGTAGTGGCAACATTTCTAGTGTCTTTAAAAATGAAATAATTTGATGAATGAAGGCATAGATATTATAGCAAATTAAATTGCTTCCATTCTATACAGTGAATTTTGTATGCTGGTATTGGGAAGCACTTAGATGAGGTTGGTCTTGGGGCAAACTATATATTGTAAGAAAATGTTTGTAATCAGGTTCCAACCTCAATAATTACTATTAATGAAAAACAACCTTAGAGCACTGTAATTTTGAAGGGTGAAGGGGGAGCTTGATGCTCTCCCTCGGGGCAGTTTTTCTACTCAAAATAGCACTGAAGCAGCTGCTTTTCCATGTGGGGTTTCAGAGTTATATTTGCAAATACATGAGTTTGTCAGCAGTCATCTAACTTGTTTTGTATCAACTGTTAAAGCTCAGTGGATCAATGTATTGTCTGCTTTAACAGTATGCCAGACTCAGGGTTAGCATGACATTGTGTTTTCATTGTTAGGGGGAAATGTGGGGTATTAATAAATATAATAATCATAATAATCATAACTACTACTACTACAATTAGGGTGTTTTGTTGCACTGAACATTGCAAGAATTTCAGTTAGTGATAGGTGCCCACTCTTGTGGTTTTTCAGAAAAAGGAGAGAAATTTCGACAGTCAGGCACTGAAAAGCTGATCTTTGTATGTTCTTTGATGCAAAGGGAGGAGTGTATCGGTGTTGTTGTGTCCCTTGCCTTACTCTTTCTTTATATCTGGTGTGAAATTCAGTCCTAGCATCTTTATGATGAAATGATGCATTTGTCATTCATGGCGCTCCTTTTTTTGAAGTGATTCCAGCCTACATAACACATGGAAAGGTTAATTTTTCTGGCAATAAATCTGTGAGCAAAACCTGACAGGGATAATAAATAGGATGCTATTATAATACTGGAGGGAGCAAGTGAGCACAAAATAGGATTTGATCTAAAATGCAGACACGGCCTGAGAATGGGGCCTAGTCAGACAACTACTTGGCAGACCATGTATTCAGGTCATTTTGTTCAGCCAGTGGGTCTTTTTGCTTTTTTTTTATTTTAAGTCCCGGAAGATTATTTTTGTTGAGAGGTTAAATGTATGCATAATAAAGGAATATTCTGACTGCTTGGCTATGACCACAGATTTCTCTCTACTGCACTATAACAAATAAACTTCAGCAGCTTTTGTAGTGTTGTTGTCAGAAGACATCTGTGCTTATGGTGGGCCTCTTGAATTGCCTTTTCACTAGAGGTACTAATTGTGTACAGACAACAACAGCAAAAACTAGTGCATTTTGAAATTAAAACCCATTAGCAGCTTTGTTATTTGCAACAAAAATGAAAAAATAACATTGGTGCTACAATAACAAATTCCTCCACTTCCTTGTGTGTGGTTTGGTTTGTTTTGTTTTGTTTTTCTTTGTTTTTTTGCAGCAAATTCATTTGCTGCCCTTGAAGGTATCTGCTATCACTCATACCTGTCTGAAAGCTGACAGGATTAAGAACACGGGGAAAGTTAATTTCCAGGTTGTTATGGTGAAGTCTTCAATATCATGCCTACATCTTCGCAGACTGTTTTTCCCTTGTGCATGGATGACAACCTTAAATGCCTCATACTTTTCTGTGAATAAATTTTTGGCTCATGGCAGTTTTCCATTCCTCAGGCTGAAATGCATTCCCTTCAGGCATAAGTACATTATTTAGCTCCAAAAATAGGTCAGTGGCGAAGGGGGGAAATGTCATGAGAAGTTTAATTGCTTTTTTAACTTTGCAAAAATTAATTTCATTTGTCAAGAACCTTGATTAATCTGTAGTGCAGGCTGTCGTATGAATGAATTACCTGTTATATTATAAATGCCACTGTTATATGAACCGTAAAAATACTAAGGAAGAATCTGAAGTAATAACCTTCAGAAGAGTGTTGCTCTCTCCTTTTTGTATTAAGCATTGGCAACGGTAAAATGACTGAACCTTACTAGGTCTTTATTTGCTGTGGTTTACATCAGTCTCAACACCACACTCCTATATATTTTCCCTTAGCATAGCTGTCTCTATTTATAAATGCATGACCTCTATAATCAATCACAGCTAAACTTTTGCTGCTGAAGTTTTGATTTCTTGCAGGTATTAGTGGAATTCACAACAAGTACATTCTCGAGGGGGACTGTTCTTGAAGCCACAGCTGCTCCTCCACGTCTGCTTCCAGACATCTTTCCTGTTTGGGTTCCAACACTTTTCTTTTCTTTTCTTTTCTTTTCTCTAGCAATCTCATAGTTCAGAGCTTGTGGACCCATTACAGTTCTGCAGCTTTTGTCCTAGGTTAAATTAGTTTTCACCTGAGGCAGTTGCCATCTGTGTGCAGAATGCTAGAGCTACATCTAGTAGATTCTCACTTGCCCCATGTGAATTGCTTTTATCCACTGCTTACAGCAAGAAGTAGAGGAATTGCTTTCCAGAGCTGATATATATATATATATATATATATATATATATATATATATATATATATGTACTCAACTCTTAGCCATTCTCAAATATACTCAGATTTGGTTCGTAGGATCATATGAGAGAAATGGCACCTTTCCATAATTTGGTGATACGACATCTCCTGTGATGGTCTAGGCAACTACAGTGGTTTATTTAAGTGACTGAATTACCTAAGAATGCTGAAGCACACCTGAGATGGTTGTTTGTTCTCAGAGAGCAAACTTCTGTAATTCTGTATGTAAACTGAGCCTTTTTTCCTATCTTGAGTGGTAAACTTAAATATCTTATTAATAGAACTCTGGAAGTGGCTGCTGGATCAGACCATAAGGATTCTGTTTTCACAGTGGCCAAGCAGATGCCTAAAACAAGAGTACAATGGTGCTTTCCCACCTCTGATCTCCAGCAGCCACTATTCAGAGGCACTATCTATTTATAGATAATAGCATTCCTATTGGTTTCCTTCTTCTTAATCTAATAACAGGTTTCTCAAAGCAGCTAACAAAACCAGTTAAGCACTTCAAACATTTTAAATACAAAACTTTTTAAAAAAGCATCTGAAATAACAAAAAACCCTAAGTACAATAGGCCTCTTATTCTGCCCAAAAGGTGGTGGATAGAACTGGCTATGTACATCTCCTTGAGCGGGGAGTTTGAGGTGCAGATTTTTACTAAAAAAGAGGCCTAGGATTTACTTAGCTGCAACCATGACGCTTGAAAGGAGGGGATGATAATCTGGGCCTCCTCTTGACGATCTCAACACACACTTGAGAGTATATAGTACCCAAGCCTCAGAGCTTTAAAAGTTTAGCATCATCACTTTCAACTGAGCATAGAAACAATTCAGTCTGTAACACAACTACCCAAGAATAAGTTCTTTGCAAGTCCTTTGGCTTGCCTGCTTCGAAAATCTATGCAGCCTCGCTCAGTTGGCATTCCAAGTGTAGAAAGGGGAAAGATGTTTCCTGGCCAGGAGGGCACTGTCTGAAAAAGAAAGTGTAGCATTGGGTCCAGTTAGCACCTCTGAATTGCAAACCTGTTCCTTTAAAATGAGTGTAAAGTGGTACCTCTGGTTATGTACTTAATTCGTTCCGGAGGTCCGTTCTTAACCTGAAACTGTTCTTAACCTGAAGCACCACTGTAGCTAATGGGGCCTACTGCCGCCGCATAATTTCCGTTCTCATCCTGAAGCAAAATTCTTAACCAGAGGTACTATTTCTGGGTTAGCGGAGTCTGTAACCTGAAGCATCTGTAACCTGAAGCGTATGTAACCCGAGGTACCACTGTATACCCAGTCCTTTGTCACCTGGCCTACTCCACAACTCTGTTATCTCAGGGTTGAGTTTGTTTATTAGTCCAGTCATCACTTGTTCAGGGGTTCCACTGCTTCACTCTAGTTTGGGGATAGTTAAGTACCGTATTTTTCGTTCTATAGGACGCACATTTCCCCCTCCAAAAATTAAGGGGAAATGTGTGTGCGTCCTATAGAGCGAATGCAGGCTGCGCCGCTAAGCCCAAAGCCAGAACAGGAAGACGGAGCACTGCGGAGCGCTCCGTCTCACTGCTCTAGCTTGGGGACGGCTGTGCGCTCAGCCTCTCCAGGGCAGCCTCTTCACCCCGCTGTCCTGCAGAAGCTAGCAAGGCTGTTCCCAAGCCAGAACAGCGAGACGGAGGGCTCTGTTTCGCTGCTCTAGCTTGGGGACGGCTGCGCGCAAACCTGTGCAGGGCAGCGGGGCGCTGCGCTCCAAAGGCTTCAGGGATCTGTGAGGCTGGCGGTGGGGGAAAGCAGCGCTTCCCCCCACCGCCAGCCCCACAATCTCTGGTGAATGTACCTTGAACGCACCTTGTTTTAGAGGGGGAGAACAAGAAAAAAAAATTTTTCCCTGTTCTCCCCCTCCTATGATCCGGTGCGTCCTATGGTCCGGTGCGTCCAATGGAGCGAAAAATACGGTAAGTAAGTAAATTTTTATTTATACCCTGCCCTCCCCGGCCAAGACAGGGAGGCTCAGGGCGGCTAACATCAAATACATTAAAACACAATCAAACAATTGATTAAAAAACAGCTTAAAAAATAGAATCAGGATAAAATTAAATGACTGCCCGTTAATTACAACCATAGGGGTCGGGAACCTCAAGTATTCATTAGGGCCAGCTATCCATGTTGGTCCCACATGAGCTGATAAAAGGGCCAAAGAGGTAACTTACAGGGTCCCATGAGGGGGGGTCAAAACTGGGCCTGGACCGAATGCCAGGCAGAACAGCTCTGTCTTACAGGCCCTGCGGAAGGATGTCAAGTCCTGCAGGGCCCTGGTCTCCTGCGATAGAGCGTACCACCAAGCTGGGGCCAAAGCCGAAAAGGCCTTGGCCCTGGTTGAGGCCAGTTTAACCTCCTTGAGGCCCGGGACCTCCAAGATACTATTATTTGCGGACTGTAAGGTCCTCCGCAGGGCATATCAGGAGAGGCGGTCCTGTAAGTAGGAGGGTCCTAGGCCATGTAGGACTTTACAGGTTAAAACCAGCACCTGGTCATAGTTACTGGTTTGGGGATAGTTAAATGACAGAACCAGGCAGAGGGCCTTCTCGGTAGTGGCACCTACCCTATGGAACACCCTCCCGACAGATGTCAAGGCAATAAGCAACTATCTTACTTTTAAAAGACATCTGAAGACAGCCCTGTTTAGGGAAGTTTTTTTAATGTTTAATGCTATATTGTGTTTTTAATATTTGATTAGAAGCTGCCCAGAGTGGCTGGGGAAACCCAGCCAAATGGGTGGGGTATAAATAATAAATTATTATTATTATTATTATTATTATTATTATTATTATTATTCTACAGAGTGTTGTTGATGAAAGTAGTTAAAAACGGGCTAAATTTAACTTTTGATTCCTCGGTAATGGCCCAAGACTTTTTTTAGTAAAATTTATTCTAAAGGTTTTTTTAGGTTGTTCTTTAGTAAAGCTGTTGGGGTGTCATATTAATAAAGTGGAAGATAAATCCAAAATTTGAGCTGCAACAGCTAACTAAAGGGCTTAGAGCTAAGGAGACATTGGCAGAGATCTTAAGTGGTACTGCTTTGCCTCATATGAACAACAGGACATGCCTTATTTCAGGGAGAAAAAGGACATGAAGTATGCTTTGTGACATGGCTAGAAGTCCTTTTATCCTGTCCTGCTCTCTTCTTCTACTGTTCCACAGCACAAGGAACAGATTTGTGTAAAGAGGAACCATAAAGCAATGAAGGTGGCAGTCCTAGATTTCAATTTGTTTGGGGTGATTGTTGAAATACTGTTACTTTTACAGCTGATCCAAATAGGCTCAGTGTATGCCGAACCAGAGCTCATAATAGCATTCTGCTTTCCATATAATCATGGAACGAATTGGCTCTGCAGACTGTGCTATTACCAGTGCGCTGGAATTGGTGGTTTGGCACACCACTGCAGTGAAGTAATGCCTTATATTCCATTATGTTATTTAAAGAAACTGAATTACTTGGTATTTACTTAGTATTATATGCCCTGATGAAGGCATTTTAGCCTTCACAGGTCAATCTGAATGTCACATATGTAGTGCGTGACAGTAAAATAAACCATTCCGCATTTTCTGTAGAATGAATGTAATGTAAAGAATTTTGCCCAGGTACTCAGAAATGAGTACGGACTTGTTCTCATAACTCAGTGGTCCTAGTAACTTGCAGAAGAATTTTATTTTCTGTAGTTGCAGGACAGGGTTTATATATAGCAGGAAAGAATGTACTTGTTTTGCCAACGGTTTCAGAACATCTGTTAAAAACTTCCATATGAAAAAACCAGAGAAAAGGGGTTGCATTTTTGTGTGTGTATGTGCTTTGCTACAGTGTGGAATTTTTGCACTATTCAGAAAATCGGAGCAATGGGGAAAAGAGGATGCAGCTACAGATAAAGTCAAGGTAGCATTCATAGTTACACATACAAACATATGAAGTGGCCTTTTACAGTGCTGTTAACACAGACTCACAGCAGCTTCCAGGGTTTCAGACAAGGCTGTCTGCCAGCCCTACCTAGAGATGCCTGTAGTTCGATGTGAGGCCTTCTGCTTGCAAATGCTCTGCCACTGAGCAGCCCTTAAACAAACCATCCACTAGTCTTCAAATGTTATGAAGAAGTTAGGGGTCATCTCCCTTGTCATTAGTGGCAGGATGAGAGGGGTTTTGGGGTTAATGTACGGGGGGGGGAGTTTTATACAACTTTCTGTCTGGGTGCAATAGGCTTTGCAATCTTCTCTTAAGATAGTAGTGAGATAACGGAAAGATGGTTGGCTGATGTGTTACATTCTCTTGGAGGTGGCTGCAGCTGTAAAAGTTCACTATGCCCAGATTACTGTGGAAATTCAGTGTGTGAAATTTTGAATTTCTTCCCTGCCTTCCTGTGAGCTCTGTAGTCAGTCTTGAAAGATTTCCTTGCATGGGTTGTTAGCACAGTGATTTACACATACTGCAGATCCAAAGGAACTATTCACAGATGATACCTTGTGCCTGCAATCTGAACCTGTGAATTAGGAGCTGTGAACTCTGCTTTCTGAAGATGACTAAAGTTGAATTGTCTCTTCTTAAGTGTAGAGTAGCTTGATGAAAAATGGTACATGTCCCAGATTTAAAGCCATTGTTTTATTCAGAGGAATAGCGGTGTGGCCTTTACTTCAATAAAACAACACTGGCCCCTAGAGGACAATCATGTTAATTTGATATGGTTTTGCTGATATAGATGTTCAGTATGTGGTCCTCTATAGAGAGTTTGCCCCTTGTTAATTGGCATAATTCTGAAATGTCAAATTTAAATCTTTTCTTCCCTACATGAACATTCTCTATGTTTTCTGCACATATCCTGAATCTCAAGGGGTTTTTGTTGTTGTTGTTGTTGTTGTCATTTATACTGGAACTGATTATAATGAGCGCTGCAACCCCAGAGTTGTCCGCGACTGGACCTAATGGTCAGGGGTACCTTTACCTTTTTACCTCAGCTTTCAGTAGTTGCCTTGTGTCTGCTCCATATGAGGGCTCATTTTCTTCAGCTCTTTTTTTTAATTCCCAGAGTGTACATATTTTGGCCTGTTGTTTTGAGGTGACTCACATTTTTTGGTCTTGATAGTCAATTGCTGGTTTTTACTGAAAAGCTCTTGAAAGCATGGGCATATTTATTTTGGCTGTTGGATGTTGCCATGGGTACTGAAGTTGAAATGTCAAAACACACAGGGCAGAGATGCTTGGGAAAAAGTTATAGTGGAGTCAGGACTCCTCTTTAAACAATATATTTACTGAAAAACACAAACAGAAATTCATTACTTTGCCCCATACAAAACTGTCATATTATTAGAAGCATCATTCTTTTTCCAGACTTATTTTTACCGCTCTTGCTAAGATACGTGCAGGCAGGCACATAGGCCCAGACCTAGCCAGTTGCCTTGCTGAATGAACTGAGCTTGTGCAGGAGAATCAGTATTATTGATTTGGGCATTGACAATCACTTTTTCCTACTAGCATGAAAAGCTGATGAACTGTTAGAGCCCCTAGACCTTGACACTGCAGGCAGGACCACCATATACTGTATTGTGTGCCCCCCCCCATAGAAAAGCTTGCAGGCTGATGGGACCATCCCCCAGTTGAGCAGGTAAGCATAAAATAACAGCCCTGCTGGATCAGGCCCATGGCCCATCTAGTCCAGCATTCTGTTCTCACAATGGCCACCCAGATGCCTGTGGGAGGCCAGGAAACAGGATTTGAACACAAGTGCACATGGAAAATCTTGCTCCATCTGTGAGCATCAAGCATGTAGCATGCAAGTACTGTATTAAAATTGTATCTGACTGCTTTCCCATAATTAATGCCATGATGTATCCTTCCTAGAATTAGTAAAAATGTGAAAGTGATCCTCAGGGCAATTGGAGCTGTACATTTCAGATTGTCACAATACAGTGGTACCTCTGTTTACGAACTTAATTCTTTCCGGAGGTCCATTCTTAACCCGACACTGTTCTTAACCTGAGGCACGCTTTTGCTAAGTGTGGTGTAGTGGTTAAGAGCAGTGGACTCATAATCTGGTGAACCGGGTTCGCGTCTCCGCTCCTCCACATGCAGCTGCTGGGTGACCTTGGGCCAGTCACACTTCTCTGAAGTCTCTCAGCCCCACTCACCTCACAGAGTGTTTGTTGTGGGGGAGGAAGGGAAAGGAGATTGTTAGCCGCTTTGAGACTCCTTAGGGTAATGATAAAGCGGGATATCAAATCCAGACTCTTCTAATGGAGTCTCCCGCTGCCGCTGCGCCAACGGCACATGACTTCCACTCGCACCCCGGGGCAAAGTTCGCTACCTGGAACACCTACTTACAGGTTAGCGGAGCTTGTTACCCAAAGCATTCATAAGGAGGGACAGTACGAAACCCAAAGTTTCACTGTAGTACAAAATAGGCATGGATCAGAAACATTTTCAGCTCTGTACAACCATATAAACTATCACCACAGCTCTGTGGTATTTCCCACTGACATTGCATTTAGCAATCCCATCTTTAAGTTATTTTTAAGTTTCAGTAGCATAATCGAGAAGCCTATAAAGGCCCTCTTAAAGTAATTTTAATTTTGTCATGGTATATGCATTCTGCTGGCCCCATGTAAAAAATCCAGTCCACTGTGAAATTGAATAATAATGGTATAGCAGTATTTTTAAATAAGCCATGAATAGTAGGCCTGGTTGGTTGGAGGACGCTAGAGACAATAACACAGAGAGCTAAGCCTTCAACTGAGCTTTAAGAAGACTTAATAGTGTAGTGATCACCATGGGAGGCAGAGAATGCCAGTCCCACCGCAAGTGGGAATATTATCTTACAGAATATATCATATTAAAAGAAGTTTGGTGAGTTGGATCCCTTCCAATCAATAAACAAAGGGCCCTGCCCCAAAGAGCTTGGCTGCCAGAGACAATAATTCCATCCTCTCCATCTTAGTGTCTAATTCTGTCCGTTAATTATCATCATGGGTATACTGCATTCAGAGAGTCAAGTTCTGTAGCTCATTAGCCTGCCAAGAACCACCAGCTTCTGCAAAACCACATTGCTTTCGTCTGCTTTCAGCATAGCTGACAAAGCAGAATGTATTTGCTGGAACCAACCAAGTTTATCCACATAATTGTAAGAAGCCGAGCTGGTGTTAAAAGGCCCACCTCATTTGTTCAAACTTTCCAAGAAAGTAGATCATTATGGAAAATAAGAAAAGCCAAATCATCTCGGATCTTTGTCAGTATTTTAAGTCTCCTGAAATTTTATAATCCTTCTAGCTAATGCTTAAAAAAACCCAGCCCCCAAAGAAGCAGCTTACATTTAGCTAAAACCAACTAGTTGAGTATAACTTTCTGGTTCAGAACATATTTTTGAATAAGAGTACTAAAAATAATCCATTGTAAACTGCAACCACTTGAGAGGGCTCATTTATCCTTACAGCACAGAATAAAAAAGTGGGGCATTAACAGCCATGGACTTCTTAGCCTGTAAATATGATGAAATGCTAAAAGCAACCAATTATTTTCTAACCACCATGTATATTCTTAGTTGTGAGCAACACGCATTGTAATGCTAATGAAAACCTTTTTTCTTTAACTAAAGTACTTGGAGGATATCCTGCCTCTGTTGCATTATTAATACTGCCAAACCACTGGAAAACTAAGTGCAAATGCCAATCCACTTAGTGCTATCATTCGGCTCAACAAAACTTTCCATTTTAAACTGTATAGCATGTGTAGAAAAGCAAAAGCAGGATGAAATATACATGTACTTTTTCAGTAGCTAGTTGTCCGTCTTGGAGGAAAAGAGTACAGTCAACATGCTCACATTTAACAATGTTTCATCTTATATTTTTTTAAAATAAGACAATACTGGCAAAAATAGCCTTTTTAAAAAAATGATAGCAGTTTCTATTAAAAATTCTACCGGTTTTACACATGATTTTCAACACAAACAAATCATAATCCCTCTAATACCAAATTTAGGTAATCTGATACCACTCACTTTAAAAATAAGATAGTGATGTTTGCATATTTAAGAGATTTCAAGTTGAACAAAAGTATATTTGTTTGTTTTCATTTTGTTTCGTTCTACAAACAAAAATAGCTATACAGTGACTTACACTTGCTTCCCAGGACATTGGGGATTTTCTACCATGAAATATTAAGGGTGTCAGTTTTGGGAGGGGGAATTGAGAGAAGATGGAATTGACCTATTTGAGTCACTCACAGCTTATTGGTAGGGGTCTGGGTGTGTGCCATGACGTTAAAAACAAAACAAAACCCTCCTCTCCCTGCATTATGCAGGGATGTTTCTGGAGGAAGAAAGGGACTTCTCTTCCCCAGTCTTTATAGAACTAAAATGCTCAGGATCTGTGCCTGTAAGCAACTACAGGCTTGATTCATTTCCTGTTGGGGTCTTAGGGGCACCATGGTGTCCGACAAGGTACCTTGCCCTTCCCAATTTTTAATTATGAAGGGTTGGTTGTGCTTTCTTTGTTTAGTCAGGGTGCTTTGTCAGACTGGGGTCTGACCATTCATTATCAGTCCCCCCTGAATTTGGGGTTTTGTGGTGCCCAGAACAGTTTCTTACATTTTCATAAAGCATGAGAGTCTTGTAGCATCACTCACTGGAAAAAATTACACAAAACGCGTAAGACTTAGCTGTTTGTGCATTGATGTCCTTCGCAGCTCCTTGATGGCAGGGACATTGTGTAACTGTTTCTGTAACAATGAAATGTACCTTTCTATTTACTCCTTTAAGTGTGTTGCTTAGGAAAAGTATATCAAAACAGGAGAAGGCAGAAGAAGAATTGCATCTCGCCTATTAAATGGAAACTTGCTGTTATATACGATCATCTTCAGTTTCACTGCTTGAGCTCAGTAAGAGTTCCAGGAACTAATTATTCAGCAATGGCTGGTGACATGGAAATATATTAAATATACATAGATGGTTACCCATGAATACTTTATTTATACTAAAGTGGCATCATAGTTTATTTTTTGAGCACTGTACAGGGTTTATACTGGAAAAATAATACACAAAAGGGAATTGCAAAGCCGTCCAATATTTTTACATGATTCAAAGCAACCAGTATGTCCAAATATGAGGCTTAGGATACTTTACTTTTGCTTTATACATTATTTTTCAGACTTGGTTTTTGTTATATAATGCATATGTATTAAGGTAAGACACAAGTGAATTGTAATTTGCTTAGATCCAAATTCAGCCTGCATAGTGGGTTTCAGGGCAGAAGGAGTAATTGGTAAAAGGTGTCTCCCTGTCCCCTTCCAGGATCTCAACTAGATCAGCCCTTTGTAATCTGATTTTTAGAAGACATCTGAAGGCAGCCCTATTTAGGCAAGTTTTTAATTTTGATGTTTTATTGTGTTTTTAATATTCTGTTGAAAGCCGTCCATTGTGCTGGAGCTGAGCATGTCTAAATCTGGTCAGTGCCAGAATGGGAGACCACCTTTGTATGCCATCATGAGCTCTGGGATGTAATAAGGTGGGATATAAATGTACTAAATATATTTTAAACATAAATTTTGATTACAGACAGGGTCAGGGAGCTAGTGCATTCAAATGAATTCAGTGTGTCCCCTTTTGGAGCTGTCTTCTGCATTCTGAGCACGAGAAGTATATGGCCCTGAGACCTGTTCCTAATCTCACAATACTTAAAGATTATAGGTGTGATGTTTGGCTGTATGGGCCTTGGGGGAAACCCCTGACTGGGGAAAAAACTGGAGAGCTTTGTTGCAGGAACCAAATTTCTCTCTGAAGCTCCTTTTAGCTGGTTTTAACTGCAGCTACCCACATTGTTGGCATTCAGCAACTGCTCTGGCATGCCGAGCGAGCTTGCCAGGAATCCAAACATTTATAGTGTGGTAGGAGAAAATAATACTTTTTTTACACTGGAATTAAATAATAGGCTTCAAACTTTGCTATTTCTAAATTGCTAGTACCATGTCAGTATAATTTATTATAAATATACAACATCAGGCTGTTGAATATAGCTTTCTTTCCTTTCCTTTATCAAATCAGCTTCTTTTATAGCCTCCCACTTAAGAAAAACATTGCGCTGACCTTAGCCTTACTGTGATGTAAATGTTATGATTCTTAAAATTCTTTAGGTTCAGACTGTTCAGGCTTATTCCTTAATCTCTGCTTGAGGTTGCTCTCAGGACTAGCATATGTTGTGTAAGCTACTTTTTCTGCATTTGTTCAATTAATACCTATGGCCTTTAGGTCACCTATGTTTTTCATTCATGGTGTGTTATATCATATAGTAATGTTAAGTGTGCCCTAAGAAATATGTGCTATGGAAGTGAGAAAATAGCAGCTACCAGTAATGTGTGGGGAGCAGGGTGCTACTGAGAATGAAGGCAGCATGTGCTGCCATTGGGCAGGACGAGAAAAGAGCCAATCAAAGGAGCTGTTGGTAGAACTGAAGGTAAGTTGATGTTACGGATATAACCTTCAGCTACGTGGCAGATTTTCAGTCTCAATAAATGTTCAGCTGTTTATTTAGGAAGCAGTGTTGTAGCCACTCATGCTCTTAAGAACCATTAAAATGTCTTGAAGTAATTGCCGTAGCTCTTAGGAGAATTACATCCCCCGTTGGCAGTACAGATGTGGGAGAAAACTTCTAGCCCAGAAGTTATGGAGCCAGAAGGGGCCTCCAAAGCCCCACCCCACCAAGAGGCCCTTGTTTCACTTCTCATCAGTTTCCTACCAATCAGCTGTGTTTCGCCACAAACTCACCCTCAGCTGATCAGAGAAAAACAGTAGAGGCAAGGCAGGTACAGGTGCAGAGTCCCATTGGACAGCTGTCTCTGTCTTCTTCAGCTGCTGCAGCAGCTCTACCCACCTCCACCACACATCCTTTATGAACAGTTAGGAAGAGGAGACTCCAACAAGCTGGCATCTCGGGATGAGAGACCAAAAGCTTTGGGAGTGGGAGGGTTGTAAACGTCACAGCACCTGCAAGTCCTGGAAATGCAGGGAGGGTAGATTCGTAGAGGCTGAAGTGAGAGAGACTAAAGCTTTTAAACAATAGCATGATTTAAGGAACCTTTAAAATGCAGATTACCACCCCAGTTAGCATGTGGATGTGCTGCACGCTTCTGTGGATGTTGGTTTTTAAACCATTTTCAACTTTCCTGCTACTTCGCCTTTGTTCAGAATTAATTCTGGCCTTATGGAATGTCTTTTCCTCTCTTTCTGTGTGGCTGAGAACAGCTGAAAGGAGCAGTATTTTTCATTCATAGTGTGCAATATCATGTAGCATTGTTAAGCAGAGATCTCAGGTGTGACCCTTTCTCCCTGCCACCTGTTCCCTTTGAATGCCTACAAAGCTTCCTTATAGCTTGGTATAATGGACTTGTGCATGAGATGGACACCAGCACTGGAGACAGAATGAGCTATTAACCAAGATTGCCTATCAAAGAGATATTTCCACAAGGGAATACTGATAGGCTAGGATCTGGACCAATGGATTCAAGAAAGGAGATTCTGATGAAACATCAGGAAGAATAGCATGAGCTGTTTGACAGTGGAACACACTCCCTCAGGAGTGGTAGACTCTCCTTCCTTGGAGGTTTTTAAGCAGAGGTTGGATAGTCATCTGTCACGGATGCTTTAGCTGAGATTCCTGCATTGAAGGGGTCAGACTAGATGACCCTCTGGGTCCCTTCCAACTCTACAGATCTATGATTCTCTCCCTCTCCCCTTTCAGAACCTTTCTTGAAGCAGCTACCACTACATAGGCCTACCACATAATAACAGTACAAGGTCTCCAACAGTTAAGGTCTTTGACAGTTAATGTTCTGGCATCAACAGAGATCACAGAAATGTTTGGCAAAGCACAAAAGATAAACAGGAAGACACAGACAGACAGACAGACAGACAGACAGAGCTTTTCTCCACAGGTTGTTTTGGCAAAAATTGAAGCAGGGTAGTTTTTATTCTGAATCATTTAACCCAGAACATTTTTGGCTCTGGCCCCTTTTGGTTCCAGTGCTACCTACCACTGGCATGCAGGCTCAGAAAGGTTACTCTCAGAGGTAATGCTAAAGCTATGGAAACGGCACCCTGTCCCTGCTGCACAGTTTTGGAGCCCCAGTGAACTGCTAATCAGCACATCAGAAAAGGGAGGAAGGAACAGAGAATCTTCTATTCACACCACTTCTTACCAGAGATTAAAAATTTTTGGAGAGCTGCAGAGACAGGGGGAGGGAAACAATGAATTATTCTCCAGCTTGGTTTTTGATCCAAACCACAAAATAATTCAGGGTTTCTAAAAGCTCACTTTTCATTAAGTCCAAAGTTTGTCTGAGCCAGGTTTGGAAGAACTTTCCTTCTAATACTACTATACTTTTCATAGTGAGCTTCATGCAGCCCCAAACAGACTGATTACTTATTTAAACTAGTGTACACATCTAAACTAGGGACGCAGGTGGCACTGTGGTCTAAACCACAGAGCCTAGGGCTTGCCGATCAGAAGGTCGGTGGTTCAGATCCCCGCGACGGTGTGAGCTCCTGTTGTTCGATCCCAGCCCCTGCCCACCTAGCAGTTCGAAAGCACGTCAAAGTGCAAGTAGATAAATAGGTACCGCTCCGGCGGGAAAGTAAACTGCGTTTCCGTGCGCTGCTCTGGTTTGCCAGAAGTGGCTTAGTCATGCTGGCCGCATGAGCCAGAAGCTGTCTGCGGACAAACGCTGGCTCACTCGGCCTAGAGAGCGAGATGGACACGCAACCCCAGAGTCGTCTGTGACTGGACCTAACAGTCAGGGGTACCTTTACCTTTACACATGTAACAAACTCACCAGTGAAACATTGCCAGGAGTGAATAACCTTGGAGCGGAATAGGAAGCAAGATTGAAAGTTCAAGAAATGTTAGTTCTTGTAGTTGAGGAAGTACTCTCAGGGTTGAGCCCCTACAGGGAAAGACTGCAGGTGTATATTACCTTTTCATGTCAAATATAGAAAGCTGAGGGCAGTGATCAAACTTACCGTATTTTTCGCTCTATAAGACGCACCAGACCACAAGACGCACCTAGTTTTGGGAGGAGGAAAACAAGAAAAAAAATATTCTGAATCTCAGAAGCCAGAACAGCAAGAGGGATTGCTGCGCAGTGAAAGCAGCAATCCCTCTTGCTGTTCTGGCTTCTGGGATAGCTGCGCAGCCTGCATTCGCTCCATAAGGCGCACACACATTTCCCCTTACTTTTTAGGAGGGAAAAAGTGAGTCTTATAGAGCAAAAAATACGGTAAAACATTTAAAGTTTTAATGAACGATTTCAAAATAAAGAGTAACGAATTTATGGGCAGGAAAGAATTTTTGAATATAACAATGCTTATGTATTGTGGTAAGTATTGTATAATGAAAGACATGAACTATGGAAGTTGGAATTCCTGGTTAATGAAGCCTTTAGAAATAGTGTCACTAAATACTTCTCAGGAATAGTTGTTTTAGTAACACTGCCCCGTATGGTTGGCAAGGGGTAATGATCTCTAAAGTGCTCTCCTACTGATTCATTTGTGTGCCAGCACAAAAGAGTAAAATAAATCAAATGTTCTGTTCTCTGCGACTATTACCCAGCCATTTAAAAACATTTAGACCAGAAGTAATAAGCAAACAACACATTTCAAAGGATACTTGTTAATTAAGTGCTGTGTGCCGGGTGTGAACATGAACACAGAGGCACTTCTGATAATATATTGATTTGTACTGCAAGGTACTTCACAAACACCACACAATCTTTTTCAAGAAAAAGGGAGATGTTTGATCTTCATGTTCTGTCTGAACTGAGTTTTTCGTATCTATGAAGATGTATGAATACTGAATACATACTTAGTTTTCAGTATGTATTAATTTATCACTTTTCATACACAGAAGAGTGCTTCAAAGCAACATAAAGTATGAAATACATCAAAACTCAATATAAAGGAATAAAATACAATGCATAAATGTGCCTCCACCAGAATATTTATAAAAGGACAAATTTTACCCATCCAACTAAAAGTCAAGTAGTATAAAGACCACAAAACCCCTACTACCCTTCCAGTTAATAGTCAAGGGTATTTTTTAACCTGGTACCTAGATGCACAATCATGATAATAATTACTGGAAACTGTTTAAACTGAAGGATCAGACTGATTTTAAAAATGGCTTGGAACCAAGTGGCAGAACTGTGGCCTGACCAGTCAGCCATTTGTACTGAAAGAAATAAAGGATAATGGAGAGAAATAAGGGATCATGGGTTAAAAGCGATAGTAGGACAAAAGTATTGTGCCTCTCACAAATATGAAAGCCTGCGGGGAAGAGATGAAATTTAAGCTATTTTGTTTTCTCCACCTTGCTTTGCTTAGTTCTTATTTACATCCTTCTAAGAAAACTACAGAGCTTGTACATTATGTATGTCTTCTCTGATTTTTTTATACCCTAAAAGGCTTTTTTTTTTTACTGTTCAACCATTGCTTGCTTCATTTGGACTGATTCCTACAGGATTACACTTTGAGCCTTCTCACTGCATTGACAAATTGGAAAATACTGCCCTAGAACATAGGTTACCAAATAAGGGTTTTGTTGACAGAGCCAAGGGGGTAAAATTAGCACATGTTCATTTTATTAAATTTATGGCTTCAAAATATTCAACTTAGTATTTTGCAGGAAAGCCAACTGACCCCCATCTTGCTTGGGCTGATGGGTTTTAGAATGCATGCCAAATACTTTCAGAATTACATATTTCAGGAACTGTTTTTGCCTCAGAAACTTGAAAACGGCTTTCTCATTTTCTACTTTTTCTCCAGCATCTTGGTCTGTGATTCACTAAAAAAGTTTCCTTTATTCACTTCAGTCACTTTGAAAGTGGCATTTCTTATACATATGATTTAATTTCTTCAGTGTGGCCTTACATTCTTTATTAGTAAAATACCTGGTTTTATTTTTAAACTGACCTTTAGTTAATAAAACTGGATGGTCTTAGGACCATAGAAAATATTGATAGTATTCCTTTTATAATGGCAGAAATATCTTTAGGGGTGAAAGAATGTAAAGTGTTTGTTTTCAGAATACAATCCTCCTGATTTAGTAACAGTTTTTGTTCTTTAAAGGGTGGGAAAAATAGCTTCCAAGAGAGAGATGATGTCATTCTTCTCTGTAGGAATTTTAACCATATTAAATATTAAACTTAGCTTCAGTATTTCATCCTCTGAATATCAACAGCGTTTGTAATTTTGGTGAATCATTCTTAACACTGACATTCTGCAGGGTGATGTTATCATCCAAATTTGTTTACAAAGTCTAAATTTATGATCCAGAGAGGTTTACTTTCTGTATTCTAATTTATGGGTTTAAATTGCTTTGTAGTTTAAAAATGCTGTGATTAAATAAAGCTGCCGTTTTCAGATGGGCTAACAGTATTTTCCCACAGCTTATACTAGTGTTGCTGAAAACTCGTGCCTTATATACTGTTAAGTGGATCTAGTCCAATGCTGTCTGCCTTTGGGTGGCAGAGGATTCTTACAGAGGTCTGTTTGTATTTGCTGTTTGAGATCCTTTTAAAGTGGAGGTGCAGGGAATTGGAGTCACACAAAAAAGGATATGACTCCAACTTCTGAAGATGAACTGAAATACTGAGTTGGGTGAGAACCAAAAAAAATAGTAAGTACTCCCAAATAGCATGAGAAAATAAAATACAACTTTAATCCCACAAAAGCATGTTAAAATGCAAGAAGGATATAAATAAAAATGCTATCCAGGTCAAGGCCTGATCAATGTGACAAACAATAAATAAATAAAACCTATGTCTGAGGTCTCCCTCAGTGATCAAAAGATTTTTAACAATGCATTTCCTTCCATCAGAGAACCCCTTCTCAGTGATTTCCCAGCCCCGTTGCCTTAAAAGCACAAACTTTTCAGCTGATGAAAAACATTTGGGAAAAGCCGCCTTGTCCCTACTGGCTCAGCCATAGACCAACACTCACCTTAAATTGTTGTTGTTTGTTCGCTAACAGCTTCTTTAATAACCAGTACGGTGTAGTGGTATCAATCCCACATGATCTTAATTTTGGTCTAAGGTAGCCTTTGACAACTTGTAGCTCCAAACATCTGGAGGGCACCAACACCCAGCTTTTCTGACCACTGGCCCTGCTGGATGGGTCTGATTGGAACTGTAGTTCAAAATGTCTAATTTGCTAGGGCACCAAGTTGGCAAAAGCTCATATAACATGATAACCACTTTCCAGGCGGCTGCCGCCCTTGAGTTCATCAAATGTGTGAGTAAGAATGCAAAGACTTCTGGTATTTCACATTGCATACAATTCTTAACCTGGGTCTACTGCTTCATATGAATGTATGAAGTTATCTCGAATACTACCAGGCCATCAGGCCATCTAGCCCAGCCTTCCCTAACTTTGTGACCCAATATGCTACTAGATTACAACCTCATCACTCCAGCCAGCGTGGCCAGTCATTGGGGTGGTTCACAAAATAATAATAATAATAATAATAATAATAATAATAATAATAACAACAATTTATTTATATCCCGCCCTCCCCAGCCGAAGCCGGGCTCAGGGCGGCTAACAACAATAATACAAAACAACAAAAATACAAGATAAACAGCACAAAATGCATAATAACAAACAAACCAACAAACCAGTATCCCTCCCTCTTCCCACCCAACCCCCCTCAAACACATTAAAAACACATAATCTGAGAGGGCCAAGGTTGGGTAATGATAATCTAGCCTATCAGAGTCTACTTGAGCAGTACTTCTCAAAAATCTTAGGAAGAGGTCTCTCTCAGCCTTGTTGACATCTTTTAGCCAGAGATCCTGGAGACTGAAACAACAGGGAGTAGTCACTGAGTTATACATGCTGACCAAAAGGTATTCTTTCCTTTATAGGTAAGTAAGAAGTTGGCCACTATATATAAGAACAAATAGATTGAGATGAATTTGTGCTTAGAGATGCTGAGATGGTCTGGTACACATACTGCTGTATAACATTTCTGTGTATTTTTTAAAGTATAAAAATGTGGGGCTGGCGTGAGGGGAAGAAAGCCCCATTGTTTCATTGTTGCTTTCTGTGCACTGAAGTATTTTAAATCAAGCTTTTTATTGTGCTTGCGTTTGAACAGGCTACTAACCAGCCTAGGCATGTTTGCACACAGCAGTGTCTTCTCATTTAAATTCAATCACAGTCACAAAACAAGCCTGGCTTAGACTAGCTGAGGATATAAACTTCATTTTCATCTCATTAGGCCACCTGGAAGCAGCAATCAGTGAGTAGTCCTGACGTCAATGGTCTCTCTGCTTCATTAAAATGTTAATTTCATGGCTTTAATTCCTTTTGTAAAACGTGCTGCTGTGGGACACTGATGATTCTCCCCTCAGCCCCCAACTAGACTGATCTCCATGCCATATTTCTTTTTATTGCCGAAGGGATTTTTCCTCCTGTTTTATTTTTTTTAGTTCTCTAAGAGGACACTGAGGACATTGGGCACATGTAAATATTTCTTGAAACAAGGAGTCCGTTTAAAAGCTTAAGAAGCTCATGAATTAATCATGACAAAGCTATCTAGGTTATATTGTTCTTTCACTATTTTGAAATGATCACAGCTTTGATAAGCATTTTACCCAACATTGGATCACTGAAATAAATTTACTATAAAAAAGATCCTATGTGAACCTATTTCTATACCAAGAATATTATTGGAAACCTTCTCTATGTGTGCATTGTTTGTTACTACCTCTAAAAGGTAAAGGTCCAGTCCCAGACGACTCTGGGGTTGCGGCACTCATCTCGCTTTACTGGCCAAGGGAGCTGGTGTACAGCTTCTGGGTCATGTGACCAGCATAACTAAGCCACTTCTGGCGAACCAGAGCAGCGCACGGAAACGCCGTTTACCTTCCCACCGGAGTGGTACTTATTTATCTACTAGCACTGCTTGCTTTCGAACTGCTAGGTTGGCAGGAACAGGGACCGAGCAACGGGAGCTCACCCCATCGCGGGGATTCGAACTGCTGACCTCCTGATCGGCAAGCCCTAGGCTCTGTGGTTTAACCCACAGACCACTAAACTCAAATATTATCAAAATTCTGTTTTAATGTCATCAGGTGGAAGTGTAAAGCAGCCACGAGTGCTTCATGGTTCAGGAGCATTTGCCAAACACTCCTTAAAATGTATAACCACCTAGTGGTGATAGAAAGGTATATTATTAAGAAAGGTTAAAATACAGAAACATAGAATCTTAGAGTTAGAAGAGACCCCAGGGGTCATCTAGTCTAACTCCCTGCAATGTAGGGATCTCAGCTAAAGCATTCATGACAGACAGCCATCCAACCCCTGTTTAAAAACCTCCAAGGACTCTACCACCTCTCACCGGAGTCTGTTCCACTGCTGAACAGCTCATACTGTCAGAAAGTTTTTCTGAATGTAAGACATTGTTGGTGAACCTGCCGACACTTCTCACAACTTAATGCAGAAAGTATTTTTTATTTCATAAGTATAAATTGTCAGCACAAAAAAAGAGTTGTAATTGTGGGGGCTTCATGGAGATTTTATAAAAGTATTTCAAATTTTACCTTTCTGTCTGGAGTGAATATTCATCTTTTCATTTAAGGCTTCATTTGCTTCTGTAGTAGTTTCTTCAGAAAATAAACCTTTTCCCAGTTCTTGGTCAAACCAACCATGGAAAAAAATAGCTGGAAAATTATGTGAAGGCACCTTAGAACCTACTCTAAAGGAAACCACCGAAATATCATGAGGAAAGCCATATGAATAAAAGTGGGTCTCTTTAGTGAAACTGACTTCCTGTATAAAAGAAGGGGTTTTTTTAAACCCAGGATTTGTGTTTGTGTGTGTGTTTTGTTTTAAGATTGGACTGGAATCTGACCAACTTTATTTCACCTTGGGAGGTTGTTGTTGATGATGATGAGAATCATCATCATCATCACATCCATTATGCTAATATGCACAAGTGTGTAATTTTTTTCATATTCCCTCCTATACATTGTAATAATTCTACACATTCTAATAATTCTATTCTACACATTCTACACATTCTAACAATACATTAATTGAATGAATGTGCATTCATGATAAAGAGCAAAAACAACTACCATGGGATAAACTTTGGAGGCAAATTAACTGAAAATGGCAGCTAAAACAATACAGCTTTCAGTGCCTGCTTAAAAGTTGACAAGGAGGTGGTCTGTTGAACTTCTCTGGAAAGAGTCTGGGTTCCATGATGAAAAAGGCCCCACCTAATCTCTGCCATCTGAAACTCTGTCAGAGGAGGGTTAACAAGAAGTGCCTCAGAAAAAGTTATTGAGCAAGTTCACATATGAGGCAGCAGTTTCTGAAGTACCAAACTGTTCCCATCTTGTTATAAATAAATTTAGTTTAAAATGGGAAAATATGCTAGAAAATATATCCCTTTATCCAACTGAGGGGTGGTGGTGGAAATCAAGGCTTAACAAAAAATGCTGGCTTGGATCCTAATATAAATGAACAAGGAATTCTAGGCAAGGAGAATTCCCTTCCTCTTCTCAGCATCCCCCACTCCTGATCCCACAGTCTTCAAAAACCAGGGGCCGACCTTTCAGAGAGGTTGTTCTGATGCCTACCTCGAGTGATATCCAATTGTGGCATCCCTTCTGTGCAACAGACTTCTGCTTTTGTAAGCGAGACTTCCCATTCCTCCTCTTCCCACCTGCGGCTCCCAACACATCCTCAAATCTGCTCTAGTGGGTTGGGGAACCTGCAGAGCAGATTGGAGCGGGGAGAGGAAGTCCCACTGTGCCCACTGACTATCTCAGATTTGGGACAGGGTGATGGAATTAGAGTCGTTCCCCTTAATAAATATTGAAATGTGTATTGGGAGGCAGCAACACCCTCTTTAGTAAAAATACAACTGGACTCGCTTTCAGTGCATCCTAATTCTGTCTGTCTCTTTCCTTTATATGATTGCATTTTTAAATGGCCTAGCACAGCCAATGAAAAACAATTGTACTAAATAAATCATATGTGCTACAAAGCAATATATCACAATTAGAAATCCATTATAGTTTAATTAGGCATTCCATTATTAAGTTGATGTATTTGGCTTCCTCCAGGTCTCTGGCTAATCCTGAAACAAATTCTTCTTTGTGGATAAATATTAGTCAGTCATAATTAAAGAGTGTTTATTGCAGCCGAGACTTTTAATTAAATCCCTTTCTGATTAAGATGGCTCCCTGAGTACTGGGTTTATTGAACTTAATAAGATTTGTCCACTTGTGTATTGTGGCATGGCAGAAACTGTTTCAGTGCCAGCAGATTAGCAGCTATAAGATCGTTTCTCCTCCTGTCCACTCATGGATTTAAACACCTGTCATTTTGAAAACTATATATAAGCTGCAGTCTGATCTACCACTTTATATTATTAGGCTAGCAGGCTGTTCACACAGTGATATATATAAACTATAATGACTGCATAGGAAACTTAATGTTGCCACATCTTTAATGCTAAGTGGTTTTAAAAAGAGCCCCTCTTCTGCCGATCAGGGAACTGGATGCACGTTGAAACACAAATAGTTTATCCTTCTGAAACTGGTTTCCTTCAGAAGCACATAGATGAGCTTGTTTGTGTATGATGCTCACCAAGCTCTGCTGGGAATGTTCACTTACTAACACAACTTATTTGAATAGTTTTAATGAAACAGCAAGAAATTTAGGCAGAGCATTAACTGCTTGAAGGAGCATGGGCCAGATTCCGTCTGATTTGATTTAAATAACTAAGGAAAGAGCTTAAGAGATTGATTAAACTCCAAAATTAGTCATCTTAGATTGGATGACAAGTTAATGCCTTACTATTAGTTGTATTTTCAAATGGTTTTGACAGAAAACGTGTAAGAGGTAAGCATTATGAAGCAGAGGAGAACAATCAGTTACACCACAGTTTACATGCTAGGTGAAAAAAGAAAAGTTTTAAAATCTGCTCATGGCTTCTTTCCAATAATTGCTCATTAAGCAGTTTGGCAGTTTGTATCATTCCAGTAAATCCAGTATATGTTATGTCTTGGGAGGGATAAGATTCACAAAATAAAAACAAAAACACCCATAAGAAGCCATTTCATGAGTTATGCAGTCATTTTCAGAGCTTACTTGAACCCGAATCCCCCAAATGACGACTATGTGCTTGAAGGTCATTAGAAAAATTCCAGTGTTCCTAGTTTAAACTTATTGTTAAACTTACCCTTTTTTATCTCCACTGGGACAGCACTATTCTAAAGACCCACTGATCTAATGGAGCTAGTTGCATGGTTCTTTGGATCCTAGCTAATGTTAATAGCCTTGGTGTTCACAGTAAAGCTCTCTGAATTAAAAACTGTTTTGTTATTTTGTTTGCTGCAGCTAATCTGTCATATTAGTGAATATTGTAAATGAATCGGTTCTTAACTTTATAGCTGTTTTCCTAAGCTACCAAGGGCCAGAAGGGTCCTTAATGATGTCTGCGATACAGTTGTGAAGATCCCTGAGCAGCTAAAGAGAACTCTCTAGTGGTTGAGTTGGAGCACTGATGAAAAGTGCAGAAATGAATTTTTGCATGGAGTATCTGGCAGCAACAAAATCTTGCCTGCATATCTGGTTGGGGGGTGGTATCTCCCATTTTACAATGAGACTTCCAAGTGTGAGTTCTCTTTGAATAAGATTTTGAGACGGCCTCTAATTACAAATAGCAGATACTTAAGCCTTCTTAAGAGTAGCAAAGGCCACTGGTTTGTCAGGCAATGTTAACTCTTGCTATTACCTACACATTATCTCACTTAAACAAAAAACAAAAACACTTGAACTGTCCATAATTCAGGACATGTTAAATGAGATAATCCACTTTATTGTAAAAAACTAGGAGTATGCACTACCATCAAGATTTGGTTCAGTTCTGGATTTGCTACCTCGGGAAGTAGCCCACTTCATCCCAAAATGTGTTGTGGCCTACCCCATTCAACTCTGGCTCCAGAATCAACTTCATGAATTCCCTTCATGAAAAATGAAGCTCTGCCCCTTCCACTATTGTGGGGAATCAAAAACAGCCATTGCTCTGAGATAGGTGAAAACCCCACAGGACCTAAGCCAATCCGCCTGCAGGTAAAAATTCCTCCTCGATGCTGAGAACAAATCACCAACCAATGTCCATAGGAACGTTGCAGATAGAGACCTCCTTCATTGAAGAAAGTCACAAAAGTTATAACGATATACAGTGGTACCTTAGTTCTCAAACTTAATCTGTTCTTGGAGTCCGTTCAAAAACCAAGGCGTGGCTTCCGATTGGCTGCAGGGGATTCCTCTACTCAAGCGGAAGCCACATAGGATGTTCGGCTTCCAAAAAACGTTCGCAAACAGGAACACTCTTTTCTGGGTTTGCGGCATTTGAGAGCCGATTTGTTTGGCAACTAAGCCATTCGGGAACCAAGGTTCCACTGTACAAAGAAGGGCAGGTGGGGAAGTTAGAAGTCCCTGACCCACACAGGAAAGGCCGGCTGCCTCCACTCCACAAGCTGTTGGGGAAGCAAGTTGGGGAACCAGGACGTTCAGCAACGTGAAAACTATTGTCAAATACGTGGCACGCTGGATTTGATTGCAGCAATAGGCCTTCACCCCTGGAATTTAATGGTTCACGCAAGCAGACTAATTTCATGAACAGGGTAATGTTGAGGCACATTCATGGGTTTTTCACACAACAGGAGGGATTTTGTGTGAGGTAGTGACTCTGTTGTTACGCTGATCATATGAGCAAAGGGTTTTGTTCTTTTTAGAGGAGGTGCGGGACATGGGCCTATTGTCAGAACTCATTTTCTAAATCTTAGAACAGGGCTATTTCAGTCTGAGGGCCACATTCCCTTCTGGTCAGAGGTGCCGAGTTGGGTGGGGGGTGCATGTGTGTGTGACGTAACTGTTTCAGACACTGTGTGGCCGGGGGCAACCTCCAGCCAGGCTGCTCCAAGCCCCACTGCCTCCTGGGGTGTCCTCCTGCCAGGCTGTGCAGCGACGTTCTGCTAGACTGTGCCAGTCCTCACTGCATCTTCCAGTGCTGCGCGGCCTGAGGCAACCTCCAGCCAGGCCGTGTGGCATCTCCCAAGGCGGGATTGCGGGAGAAACGTAGGAGGAAGGGAGAGGATGGGCTCAGCCTGTTCCACCCCCTCAAGATTGGTGGGTTTTGGTCCCGTCCCAACAGACTTTGGGGGAGCTGGCACCTATGCTTCTGGTCAACCTTTCAGGGGTTGTATGCCAGGGGTAGACAGGGGCAGAGGCAGTGCACCACATGTAAATTTTACCCTTCTACAGCAGGCTAGTTTCTGCACACACTCGTAGACATTTCTCTATCCTCCACTCAGACAAGCAGGCAAGAGGCAGCAGAGTTTAAGGACACATTCCAGCTTTGCAAAAACACTTGAGATGTGAAGGAGAGCGAATGAGAAGAGGAGTTAATTGGGGTGAGTGTGGAAGGTTGGATAAAGAGACCTCAGTCCTGAGCTTCCCTGCCTCAGACGCAGGCAAGGTTTCATGATTTAATATCCAAAATCAGTTTAAATGTTTCTACCTTGTAATAATGTGTGCATTCAGGGACAGCAGCACACATGCAAGTTCTCCACGTGGCATGGATTTACGCATTCGCTTCAATGCCAGTAAGTGTTTCACACAGTCCATTGTACACTGAAGTGAGGGGGGGGGCATTGTTGCTTATGTAGGCCATGCATGTGGACTGAAGCTGCCAAAGGGCTCTAACTTTGACCATGCACCATTTATTTTACGTCCCATAACTGTGTTAACAGCGATGGCTGTGAGAGCTTGTCTACATAGATTCAAAATTATGTGGTCCTGAGAAGGGAACAAGTTTGCATAATTGGGAGAAATGTGCAGTTGTGAAGCCTGTAAACTGAGTTAGATAAACAGAGTCCGTGAGTCAGTTCTGCCTGGTCATCCTGAAGAGGCTGAAAATAACTTGTTTTTCCACCCTTTTGACCTTCTCCTATCCCACTTTTTGTATGTTGTCTGTGCTTTATTTATAGCTCATTCGCTTTGTAATTCATAGAATAGCACTTCAGAAGCTGCAGGAGAAAGAGAAGCATTGCTATGAAGGCTAAAATGCAGCTGCCAGGTTGGCACTAGGATGAATGCAGTCCCTTAGTTAGAATATTACACATCACAACAGCTGATTTTGTCCTGTTGCCCATATCCTTTATGTGCCCAGACTTTGCTCTTCAGTGAATCCTTTCTCAGTACACAAAAGGCAGCCTTCAAAGGACAGTTGTATTGGGGGGGGGGGCAGTTGACATTGTTTGAACTTTGGAGCAAATGAAGGGCTTTTCTGCACAAAGAATGCCTCAAATGCATGTTATCCTGGACACAATAAGCTTGAAAGCCCTTATCTCGTATCTCATAAGAGAGGAAGAAGAATAACTATGTAGTGGTCCACTTCCTTTTTTAACAATGTAGGTAGCGTCGGCACTGGAAAGGAGAAGTGCACAGCCTCTCAAGAACTTTAAACACAAATAAAAGCCTAAAGTGCAGCGGTGGGGAACTGATTGACCCCTAGATGTTGTTGCCCTCCATGTCAACCAGCATGGCACATGCAGCAACACCGGGAGGGCCACAGGTTCCCCACCCTACCCTAAAGGGTGGGACAGAAAAAATGAGTTTAAATAGGTTGCACTCCTAAGTGGGAATATTTACTTACTTGGCACAGTAATACAAGCAGTAGGAATTTACTGCTGACTAAACTTGCATAGGATTGGGGTGCATAAAAAAAAAAACAACCATTAGCAATCTGGCCAGGATTACAGATTTTCAGGACACAGGTGGCAGATCTCTTGTCATGTAAAGAAAGCTTGGGAGATAATAAGGGTCCTGTTGAACTCTTTGCTGATATCTGGGTAAAGTTGCTTCTTGTTGCAAAGGCAGGAGTTCACAATGACATTCTTAGGCGCGCATTTAGGATTCTTTCCTTGCCTCGCAGTTGGCCTTTGGCAGAGGTTTCATCAGCTTTTGGCAGTTAGATTTTGTTCTGGCAAGATGCCAGGAGTACAGTGCAACCTCATTCGTCTGTACGGCCTGCAAGACACCCAAACCCTTTTGATAAACATGCAATTGAGAAGGCAAAAGTGCTATTTATTTTCCATGCAGATTCATTTACATAGCTTGCCAGAAGGGACACATCCCAGCTTTCGATAGCTAGACTTTCCTGACAACCAGAATGTTTACCCTGTATAATGTTCAGTAGAATCACTATGGTATCGTTAAAGCCGGATTGAATGATTGGGTTTTAATTCTGCAAATTGTGTATCGTAGCCTGAAGAGGGGATGGTAGTGAGCTAGATGTTTAAGGCTTGGTTTCACCCAGTTTTCTTTAAACCTACATTCTCACAGAGCTGGAGGGGACCACGAGGATCATCTAGTCCAACTCCCTGCAATGCAGGAATCTTTTCCCCAACATGGGTCTCGAACCCATGAACCTGAGATTAAGTCTCATTCTCTACCAACTGAGCTATCAGGTTGCTGTGTAACATTATTGATGTTATTACTGAAATGCTGTTTGAAGTATATGCCCCCTTTACCGATTTTGTTTTCCCCAAAAACTACAGGTTGTGGCTTCTGCTTGCATTGTTCACCAACCCCATCTACCCCCTCCACCCCCACCCGATTGCCAACCCCCCTCTCTTTACAACTCACCCCCAAACCCCTCCTCCCCATCTCCTCGCATCTCACCTGTTCCCCTTTCCATCTCGCTCACAATTCACCCACCCCTCCCCCATCAGATTGCCCAACCCCCTCCTCATAGGTCACCCCCCCCAAAAAAAGGTCCTGCATCACCACTCCAACATATTGCCACCCTCTGGACCCCCCACCATCTGTGCTTTGCACTCTCCTCCAGTGTTTTGGCTTGGTTTGAATGCATCCTTCAAGCGTTATGTCTCTTGCTTTCATGGATATAGAGATGAAGGGCAGGAGAAGGGGTGGAAATCTCCAACTTCTGCGCATCTAGAATGTACCCAAGTATACAAAAGTAAAAGTCGTATCCATTGCTCTGCCCGAACTGGCATGTGGCTTCTGGGAAGGTTTCCAACTGTAGCCCTTGGGCTGACAAACTCTCCTGGTTTAGGCAAAGAGAACAGCCAGCTTGGTGATCCATTTGGAAGGCATATGCTGCCCTGGATTCCACCTCAATAAGCCGGTTGCAATGTAATTTTGACCATTCCAAATCTTAACTTCTGCTTCCCAAGATCTTTGCAGGCAAACCTACATTCCATACTACATCGTTTGGATTTTTTCACCCACTGGCTTTTTTTTTAGCCACCTCACAAGATTAATGCGTTATTTTCATAAACCAAGTAAAGAAAAGCTTTCAGATACATCTTAAGAGCTTGATATGTGCCAAGGATGAATAATTTCCCGTGATAGTAAGATAGAAATTTAACCAATGAAGTTAAATTTGTGTAAATTCAAGCAAGATGCTTTTAATAAAAGGAGAATTTCAAAAATCCAATGCGATAAAAGTGACTTTTCGTTTGCTTTTGAAAATGCATTTAACTGAAGAGAGTGATTTATTAGGGAAGCTTTTACTTTGGTCACAAGCTTACTTAGAGTTTTGGGAGTTGCCTTTTGCTGGCCTCAGACATAATGCCTAAAAACAATTAGCTTTGCATTGTAATTATTGAGAGAAAGATGTGACGTCTGTAGATCCTGAAATATGAGCGACTTTAAGTGGAATGCAAATAGGTCAAAAGAAATATTAATAGAAAGGAGCCAGACAATAATGCTTTCTGGGTTGTCTTTTGCTTAGTAACTTCTAAGTAGCTGGAGCCAGTGCCCATTTTAGTGCTTTATCTTTATTAGGAATTGTTATGCATGAGTTCCTATTAGTTTGCCAGCAGTGGAATACTGATGCTTCTGTTTTCTGAGTTGCTCTGTTCTTAGAAGTGTGCTAACTCCAGATACAAAGAGCATTCTTCTGCTTAGTACATTCATTCGGAGGGTAGATTCATTCTATTAAATTATTAAGACTCCATTAGTCAAGATTATGTTAGAACAGGCGAGATTTTTCACTTCGTTTTTGTAAAATTTTGACTAACTTTTTACAAATAAAGAAATTGTTTAGACAGATGATTTGAATGATGTGTTAAGTCCCAAGCTGGATAAACAGTGGTCCAAGGAAAGAAAGCATCAGTGAAATTCAGGTTACCAACCAATGTAGGGATATATATGAAATCCCTGTTATTAATAGATTGTGGGAGATATTGTGCTAAAGAAGAGATTGTGCTTTTTATGCTATATGACATTACACTAAAGAAGAGATTATACATTTTATGCTTTACCTTATTACACATACTTAAGTAATGACATTATTTGGATTGCCCCTACTATAGTGTGGGAAGTTTATCAAGTAATAATAGCAGCAGGTACAATGCAGCTCATAATCTGGTTATACTAGGAAGGAAGGAAGGAATTTTCAATGTACTATAGTGGTAGAGAAAGTACAAAGCAAATATTCTGGAAATCAAATATATTGGTGAAATCTTATGCATGTTTACTCAGAAGGATTCAGTCAGACTTTGTATGAGGTAAATGTATAAAGCAATGTGGCCTTAAAGAGTTGCACTGAGGACAAGCTAGTATGAGCTCTATATTGCAGGAGTTTTAGATTGTGCATTCTGTATCCTTAACAAGTAGATCTTGTTTAACAAGACTGAATGTTCTGGATCTGCAGGAGAATGAGGACAGGGCTTTTTTTTTAATATATATTTTTTATTAGTTTTCCAATATAAAACTATACAAAACAAATCATCCAATTTATCACCAACATCTTTTTTTTTTACTTCCATCAACATGTCTGATAATTCTCCGTCTTAATCACTTCTTACACATTTCTTAATTTAATATTGCACTACAATAATATCCTAATTTACCTTATTTTTTAAACAATATTTCTACCATACATTCTCACAGAGCTTCCTGAAAGCTTACAAATGTTATCTGGTCATCACATGTAGTTTTCATATAATCTGTGAATTTAATCCAGTCTTCGGTGAATCTCTGGTCTCGTCGGTTCCGGATCCTTCCTGTTAATTTATCAAGTTCTGCGTATTCCATTAATTTCATTCTCCATTCTTCAATCGTAGGTAGTTCTTCTTGTTTCCATTTTTGGGCCATTAATATTCTTGCTGCCGTTACTGTGTATAAAAATAACTTCCATTCTTTCCGGACAGGGCTTTTTTTCAGCTGGAACTTGCTGGAACTCAGTTCCAGCACCTCTCAGGTGGGCGCCATTGCCATTATAAGAGAACAAGCGAGGCGTTTGTGGTGAATTCCGGCACCTCTTCTTTTCTAGAAAAACAGCACTTAATATGGATCACAAAGAGCCTTTCTTGTGAGACAGATCTTAGGACGTTTCAGACATACTTGAAAACTGTTTTCGTTCTCACCCGAGGCATTGTTACAGCTACTGCTGCTAAGGCTCATTTACATTTTCTTAGTTTTCAAATGAAGGCTTACCGTGCTTTGAAAATTCATGCAGGCTGTTGCAGGAGAGGGCACAGCCCCACTTGTTGGGACAAGAAAGTATGCAGGTGTATGCTATTCATGTTGGATGGAGGACCAATTATTCATTCCAGGTGCTCTCATAAGTGACATCCAAAGCACATGAAGCTTGACAATTCAGTTGTAATTTCCGTTCCTTGCATTGACCTCAGTCAAACTCAACAGTGGTTTTCCTGCAGTTTTCAAAGTGTAGTAAAAGTCACGCAGAACCACATGGCAGTCTCGCTGGTGATTTTAGCAGCATAGATCTCCATGTCTAAAGGCTAGCGTATTTCTTCAGATGTACCATCAGGAGGCTCTTTGAAAGCTGCCTGCCATACTTGAGAAGTATAGATTTCAGCTTGTAGCAGAGTGGTAGCACCAGAAAAATATGTGAAGTGCACAGAAGGAGCGCTGTATGTTTTGGAGAAAAATGGGAAGGGACCTTCCTCACATTTTAGATTTCTGAAAGAGAGTCACTTTAACACTTCCGTCCTTGACATTTTCTCTATAAGTATTTTCAGTGGATTTTTGATGAAATGTCAAGTAACTTTGCTCAAAGTTGAAGCTTTACTTTAATTTATACTGTATAATTTGTGTGTGAAAACTTGCTTTCCTTCAACTGACCACAGGGACCTAGCAAGGAGGGTGAGGGGTCTTTGCAATCCATGAAACACAACTTATGTAAGCCAACTGGGAATCATGCATACAGAGACTGAAACAGACCCGGAGAAGATGTTAAGACCGTCAGTCATCAGTTGCTTTTATTATTCCTTATATAACACATAACACCAGCTGCATGCCGGGTACTGTATAATGTCCAGAAATAGCATGATCCATGGTCCAAAAGGGTTAGAATCTACGTTAGTTCAACAAGGCAGAGGAAAAATGAATCAATATCAGGGATTTCCAGTGACAGAAGGAGCCTATGACATGGGGGACCAGTGTGGCCCCCCACTAGATGTTTTTGACTAGAGCTCCAGTCATCCCTGACCATTGATCATGATGGTTGGGGCTGATGGGAATGATAATCCAAAACATCTGGAGGACACCACATTGGCTACTTCCGGGCCATAACATCTGACAGAATGATAAAGTAAGGTGGAAATAAAATCCTATGCTAAGAGTGGCTGTGCCAGCACATAAATGTTTAGAACCGGGTCATAGCAAAAGTACACAGTCACAATACTACAAAGCATATACTCCCATTAGCATTGCAACAGTGTTGTGATGACATGGGAGAGGTATGCCGATGGAAATATTTGACAAAAATGCCAAAGAGCAGAATTTTGAAAGCAGAGAGAGAGATATTTTATACCCAACTATGCAACAAGTTTGGGACGCGGGTGGCGCTGTGGGCTAAACCACTGCGCCTAGGACTTGCCGATCGGATGGTCGGCGGTTCGAATCCCCACGACGGGGTGAGCTCCCGTTGTTCGGTCCCAGCTCCTGCCCACCTAGCAGTTCGAAAGCACCTCAATGTGCAAGTAGATAAATAGGGACCGCTCTCCGGCGGGAAGGTAAACAGCGTTTCCGTGTGCTGCTCTGCTTTGACAGTAGTGGCTTAGTCACGCTGGCCACGTGACCCGGAAGCTGTCTGCGGACAAGCGCTGGCTCTTGGCCTCTTGAGCGAGATGAGCACGCAACCCCAGAGTCGGTCACGACTGGACCGTATGGTCAGGGGTCCTTTACCTTTACCTTTATGCAACATGTTGCCCATTTCCAGTATGTGTACAACTATAACAACAACAAAAGCTCTCTTGAAGCAGCCGTCTGCATTTCCAGACAACCATTGTTTTAAATCTCTAATGCACTCAGCTCTACCCCAGCCAGCAGACTGAAGTTTTAAAAGGAAATGCAAAATAAATTAATGTGCTGGCACAGCTTATCTTAAACATATCCAGTGAGTGTGGCACCCACATCAAATTAGGCAAGCTGACTTTAGATTGCATAAAAATAATGTCGTATTATTGCTATTTATTATTTATTTAACTCACTCCTCTTTTTGAATGAAAAGTAACTCAAAGCCACTTTTAAAAAATCTGGGACACTGTTAGGCAAGAAAGTAGTGTGCTGTGTTAGAGCTGGCATTGGTGCACATAGGCAGAGCGTAAATAATAGTGTAGACCACTTTTCATCTTAAAAGGAAGCAGCAATAGAAGATACATAGATGACTTAGCTTGCAGTCCTAACAATGTCTACTCCAAAGTAAGTTGTATTGAATTCAATACTCCTTGATAAGTGGGGTGAAAATTGCAGACTGCGCTTCGGTTGAATTTTTGGAATTAAATAGATAAGATTTTCAAAAGTTCTTTTGATTGAAGAGGAGAACACAAATGGCAAAACATAATCTTAAAGGCTTGTGGCCTATTTTCCTGGACCTAGAAGACAGAAAATGACATTTTACAATGGATCTCTTAGATTTTTAGGTGATTCTGGTTTCAGTTGTTCACAATATCTAATCAGTGCTCGGTTCTGCGAATACTGACCAACTGTATTCATAGTCTTTATCTATTTCCCTCTAGGCAACAACCTTGATGCTATCCATGACATAACAGTGGCATATCCTCAAAACATTCCTCAAACCGAGAAGCATCTTTTGTATGGAAACTTCCCAAAGGAGATTCATTTTCACGTCCAGAGATATCCAGTACAGTCTCTGCCAACCTCTCGGGAAGAACTGCAACTCTGGTGTCAGAAGCGCTGGGAAGAAAAGGAAGAAAGGCTTCGTTTGTTTTATGAAGGCAAAAAATACTTTGATGCAACCAGAAGAAGCAAAATTCCACCCTGTAAATCTGAGTTCAGGGTCATGGTTGTTAAGTGCATTTCACTCTTTTACTGGACATCTTTCACACTGGCTATGTTTGTGCTGCTATACTTGTACAGCTTTGTGCGGTGGTATTTTGTGATTCTTGTTGTCATTTTTGTTATGCAACAAAAAGCATTTGGTGGGCTTGAATTGCTGGAACTTGCATGTCATCGGTTTTTTAGTAAAAAATTACGCAACTCAGAAAGAGACTAAATTTGGTGTATGTTGTGGGGAGGGGGGTTAAGTTTGTGGACATTTTTCAAATGTGCCACAGGGTTTGCAAAATGGGAGGAGATTTTGCATGAGAATCATTGGTCTGTCTTAATGCTGTGGTTGATTAATACACTGTGCACTTATATTGTAAAAGGAGAAAGAACAGTCATGTGAATTTTTAATTTTTGAATGTATTTTCAGAGTTTCTCTCTTTGGCAGCTAGCATATACAGTGTCTCTGCAAAATAATTTGCCAACCAATCACATTTTATAGCTCTTGAGCCTTTCGGGAGCTATAAATAGCTAGGCAAATTGTCGTGCTAAAAGCAGTGGCCTGTGATCCCTACATGGCCTTGCCATAAATAAATTGTGAAATTTGAAAGTCCCCACTCATTACATGGTCCATATTGGCCTTTCTTTAGCTCTTTCCCCCTTTCCTTTTCTGTGAGAGAATCATCATTAGTATCAGCAAATTTTCTGACCTGCAGAATGAGAAAACAAAAGATGCTAATTTGGGTCTATTTTATTATACTCCATTTTTATATGCCTGTTCTGTCTGTTGATTAAAGTGGTACAACTTGTACACCTCAGTTTTTAAACAAGCTTCGAAACAAGTTTTGAACATGTATTTTGAAACAAGTTTCAGTGAAAATCAGTTGTGTTGATCTTGAGGTAAATATTATGGCAAAGGATTTTCATGAAGTTTCAACAAATATTTTGTCAGCAATCCACCTAAGGCTGGCTGTATTGAAGTCCTGTGAATGGTTTGTAATATTTTAAGATAGTAGGCAATCTCATGTTTGAAACTGGATTGGCCTACAACATAAACACGTACCAAACCATCCACAAGATAGGAAATAGGGAGCCAGCCCATAACACGATTGTTCAACACCAACAAAGCATCTTTATGCCCACACATTTAGAAGAACCAGTTAGATTTTTTATTTTTAAAAAAATCTCCCATTTGGATTGTGATGAAACATGAGAAAAGTTAAGAGTTTTTGTTGTTTGCTTGTTTGCTTTAATAATGTGTTTTTAGATCACAAATGGCACATGTAGATATGCTCACCTCACGAAGATTCACATGATAGGTGTCAGTAGCTGGATCACCCCTCATTTCCTATCCAGGTGCTGAGAGTATAAAGAGAATGGCACATTGGCTTTGCAATTAAGGAAATCATACAGATGTACAGGACTTGAATGTTTGAAAAACATGATGGGTTTTCACACAGTGTATTCGAAGCATGAGTTTCGGCATTGCTGTGAAGAATTTCGCCTCTTTGATTATGTGAGAGAAAATATTTTTATTTTTTGTTTCGTTGCTTAGTTCTACTGGTCAACATTTGGAAGCCTCAGCCAGTAGGAACACCTTTACCTGCTGAGGTTAAAGTGGCATCCTATAGATGGCAAGTGAAGTTGAGGCATCATGTCCACAGTCACTCCACCCACCCCAGTGTAACTCCCCTACAGCAAGAAACAGGAGGCTGAAAAATGACTCCTAGAATGCCAAACAGAGGACTCTCACAGTGCCACCTCCCCTTTGCTCCAGAAAGTCCTTTTGACAGGACCACTTCCCAGTAAAAGGGGATGCCTGAACAACTAGTGAGCCAGCAAGCTAAAACAAACAAACACAAAGAGCCACCTATCCACCAGGGAGACTGATAAATCTTGTGTTTGCTGCCTGCCAGACAAAATCAGGTTGTCAAGCCCCTGGCAGGCCGCAACATGTGGCTGGTTGGACCTTCTGTGGTCTTGGAAGGTCACCATTCTCAGTGTCTCAGACACTCTGGTTTATATGCTTCTTTCATGAACTGCTTCCTGTTTTCTAGAGCACCTGTTACCTTTGCTTTTGACATAAAAATAAATGGGGGAGCTGCTGTCATGCAAACTACCAGAGTGGGAAGAGCTTTCTAGGAAGAAGAAACCGATCTCTATTCAGTGGAGGGAAGGGGGACCTGTGACCCTCCAGATATTGTTGGACTACAAATCCCTACATCCCTAACTGCTGCCTGTGATGACTGGGAATTGTAGGCCTGGCTACATGTTGGCTGCCCCTTCTCTATTCACTCTCTTGGCCACTCTGGAAATAACCCCACACTTGCTAAGAAGCAAGTTCCCTACTCTCTCTAGTGACTTGAGACTACATATATTCCTTGAAATGTCCTAGCTTAGTTATACGTCATCTCTGTTGACTAAGCACTTTCCCCCCAGCACTTTTTCTTAGAATTACAGTGAACTCTTTTTATGGACTGTATTTGTCATCAATTGGTTATAGCTGACAAAGTTCCCTTCCCTGCACTGAATATAATTAGTAAGACGGAGCCATAAGCCAACACTTAAGGTATTTATTGTTGATCTCATTAAGTGTCATGTCTGCTTCCATGTCTTCGTTCAAACCTTGTTGCTTCTGCAATGTATTTTTATAGGTTCATTTTATAAATAAATTGTATTAAGAGACAACTGGGGTACAAAAGGTCTCTAGACTAGCCTTAGTTTTCAGGTTTTACCAAACTGTTAGAATGTTTTAGCCACAAACGAACAAACCTATTCTACAGCAACAATAAAAGAATTTCAAATGCACATTGGTGTTATTGTATTCCTTGGTATAATATCCATGGTGAATTATACCCTTTTTCATAAAATGAAGACATTGCTTCTTTCTGCAGCCTTTTACTGAGAGATTGATTTACTATTAAGGCATCCAATCTCAAAGGTTCAAAGAGGTTGTGATATTGCATTGTAGCAGAATAATAACAGCAGACCAATTCAAATAGAGTGAGAACATGGCATGAGAAGAGCCTGCCAGATCAGACCTGCAGCCCAGCTAGTCCAACCTTCTCTTCTCCCAGAAGCCAACCAGATACCTATGGGAAGCCAACAAGCAGGACCTGAGCACAACAGCACTGTCCCCTCCTGTCGTTTTCAGCAACTGGTATTCAGAAGCATAGCACCTCCAGCTGTGCAGGGAGAACATATCCATTGGGGTTCATCAACCCATCAACAGCCTTATCCTCCATCAATTTGTCTAAGCATCTTTTAAAGCCAGACAATTTGGTGGCCATTGCTTTCTCTTGCGGGAATGAATTCCATAGTTTTAACTACGTGCTGTGTGAAGAAGTAATTGGTTTTGTCTAGCCTGTATTTCCAACATGGAACCACACTGGATGCCTCTGAGTTCTGGTCTAATGAGAGAGGGAGGAAAAGTTTCCCCTAACTGCTTTCTCCATACCATGCTCTTGCCAAAATCATTCTTGGGTCAGCATACAGTCATACCTCGGGTTACAGACGCTTCAGGTTGCGTGTTTTTCGGGTTACGGACCCACCGAAACCCGGAAGTACTGGAACGGGTTACTTCTGGATTTCAGGGGTCGCGCATGCGCAGAAGCACTAAATCGCACTTTGCGCCGAATCGCAACCCGCGCATGCGCAGACACACCGTTGCGGGTTGCGAACGTGCGCCCCACACAGATTACATTCGCAACCCAAGCATCCACTGTACTCTAGGACAATTCAGGCATTATCAGGCTTACAAAAAAATATGTTTAAAATGAATATTTTGAGAGCATTTCAGCAGTTCAAAAGAAAGGTTTAGAAATGTATTTTTCTGTTGACAGTTTAAATCACAGATTAATACAGAAACAAGATGGGTGAATATATGAAAAAGTGACACAGACTGCAAATGGACTGATTTGCACAATTGCTCTGTAAAACGGGTGATTACCCAACTGCAGTCATCAAAATTACTGTGTGTCTCCTATTTGCTTCTTCAGTGTTCACAACAGACCCAGAGGCCTTTTAAGCTAGAGAAGACTCTAAACAAGTTTTCTGTTAAGTGACATGACATTATCAGCCAACATTTCCCGTGCTATTCAATGTTTGGTCTTTGATGCAGTCTGAGTGTAGTTTTTCTTCTTTGGATGACCATGCTGAGGCAAGATGGTGTGCACCCTGAGCCGGTAAATACACAACTTTGCTAGGCAGTGACAGGGATGCAGCTTCATTCCTAAGGCTTAAAAATGCATCCTGTGGTGTTGTTTTTTCTCCATTCAATATAATGGAGACAAAGTGGTATTACAATTTGAGTTTTGTGTTAGGTGTGAAATCATCACAAGCCATAAGTAATTTATGTCTTTTTCCTTGTAGATTTTTCACTACCCCTTTCCCCAGTCCCATTGTTTCCAGTGGAAGTGGAAATAACCACACAAGTGCCAGTGCTGGCATAGTTTCACATTTGTTCTGGGGGCATGTCTAGGAAATGAGGGGGACTTTAGATCGGGCAGATCCAAAGGCTTCCCTTGGATGAAACGGGGCTGCATTTAGAACACAAGAGCCCAGCCTGGAAAGAGGCCGCCTCCCCTGATACGCCCCACAGAGGACACGGTCAGGGAGACGAAACAGCCCCAGAAGGAGCTTCAGCTAGGGAAAGCTGTGTGTATGGGGAGCTGTGAGGTTCCCCTAACTGTGTCCCTATATTACATTTAAGCTCAGTCAATCAGCTTATAGAATTCATGGTCTGGTTCCAGACTTAAGCTCTCTCAATGATGCACAGGGCAGTAAGATTACTTGGAACCTGGAGTTCTTCCAGGGACAACTGAAATTACTGAGTCATTAATTAGGTAAATGTGACAGGAAGTCACAAAAAGACTAAGATACTGAAACAATTTAAAACAACAACAAGAAGGAGAAGGTGACGCATCGTTTTTCACTTGTGACGTAAGTACTTTGTATGCGTGCCCAACACAAATAGGAGGTTGCTCACCAGGCTGGGTAAGAAGCGAAATCAAAACACATCTATATTTATCAAGGTTGCATAACACGTGGATCTAAGGTCAGTTCAGGAACTGCTAGTGTCATAGGTGGAGTCAGCAAAGCTGATGGCCTAAAAATGAGCATATATTTAGCTGACAGGCTGTCACAGGGTTGTCTGTGTGAGAAAAATGGGTCCTTTAATAACCACAATGCTCTGCTTTCTTCAGGCCCCTCCAGATGTCCTGTTCATTGAGCCGTCATGATTTGCTTATTCAGAGGTTAGGTCTTTCTCAGCATTTGTTCTGATTTATGGCATAGTCATATGAGCAAAATATCCCCCCTTCCTTTGCCACTGGGGCTTCTAAGCTCTTGGCCACTCTACCCCTCACATGATCCCATGGGGCAATATTGCTTCCTGAGGGCTCTTGTGAGGATAGAATGACCAGCCTCATATAGCCAACATGCTTAAGTCTAATTAAAGTATGAAGGGGTTAAGACCATAGAGTAAGCTGTTCTGCCAGGCTTAACTCACCTTGGGAGGGTCTAGGTGATCAAGATTTTGTTCCCTTTCAGTCTACCTGAGAAGCTCAGCATGTGAGGAGATCTGAGCTGGCTGCGGTGTCTGAGACCACATGGTTCTGACAAGCCACTTTTGAGCTGCTATATCATTAATTTAGGAACATTCAGTGCCCTAGCAGTGATGGGGACTGGTGTTGACTCACCTCCTATTGTAAGGAACGATCACTGAAAACACACATGAAGTGCTTTGACCACTTAGGAAAAAGCACAAGAGAAATGCTAAGGGTGGCTATTATCAGATCCATGGCTGGGCTTTCTCTTTACCTTTCATGTCATATAAAAATGTCATGTTAATATGCGGGAATTCAATAGTTGCTCAGGCCAGACATAAAGCAAATGCAAGGAGCCATGTTTGTCAGGCAAACATCAAAGCTGTATATTATTCAATGCATATGGTCTCTTTGTCACTGTTTTTATTTTTATTGGCCTGTTCTTCTTAATTTTATTGACTTACTGCCCTTGAGACACCTTGTAAAAGTTTACCATAAATGTATTTATGGGGTATGAATACATTAAATAAAATAAATATGTGGCTAATGTATTCCTGCTCACTTGGCTTTTAAAAAAACAACCCGTATCCTTGAACAGTGATATATATTAGGATTATTGTGTGGGCGAGGAGTGGGCACTAGAGCAGGGTATCGCCTGAATTACAAAGAGGATCAGGGTGACTTGGGGAAGGGTTTCACGTTTCCAAATATTGCATCCCATTTTTGCACAAAAAGAAAAGGTAGTAGACTTCCCTTTTTGTTGTTGCTTTTAAAAAATAAAAGTTTAAAGTTGTGTTGTCTGTAAACTCCTGTATGCACCTATCCAAAGTTGAGGAAAATATTTTAAGGGTTTCCGAAAGTAATTACAAGTTGGACCTCATTTGCAGCCCGTGGGGTGGGGTGGAGCCACAATGCCACCCTCCCGTCCCCAGCAATAATGCATCTTACCTAGATGGGGCTGTGGTGAGGCAAGGGCAGTGGTGGGAGTCAGGACATTGGTGGAACCAACCTAGCACTACCTCTACTGCCATTGAACAACCCTGATGTCCTCTAGATAAGTCGACTGAGGCTAATCATGGTTGTAGTCCAAAACATCTGGAGGGTGTTGTTTAGTCGTGTCCAACTCTTCATGACCACATGGACCAGGCACTCCTGTCTTCATCTGGAGGGTACCAGGTTGGAAAAGGCTGCTGTAGTCATTAAAGTAAACTGACTACCCCGTGAATTATGAGGAAGGGCCATAGCTCACCTGTAGAGGATCTGAACTGAATGAAGAAGGCTCTAGGTTCATTCTCTGGGTAGGGCTGGGGGAGAGCCCTGTCTGAAATTCTGGGGAGCAGCTGAGAGTCAGTATAGCAGACTAAGACAGCTTCCTAGCTTTCTGCTGCCATGTCAAGCCTGGCCTTAGCCATCTTTTGGCACTATGGGCAAAACATGTGAACATTTCCTGAGCAACCATTTAGAAATACGATGGACTGATTCAACACTTACAGAACAAGAGGTGTCTTGCTCTGCCCCTTCAACACCCAGAAAAGCCAGCCCGCACCCCCGTACTCCAATTCTATACTAGACCAGTAGCACAAGTTTCTTAATGGGAAAGACGGCACTTTCTACTTCCTCCATTTTAGCCCTCGCTTCTCCCCATAGGGTATTGGCTAATGACTCAGATACTGGCAAACCATATGGAAAGCTACCACATAGTAAAACACAAAAAATGTATATGACCAGAAGACAGATCAGAGTAATCCGTGTACTTCAGAAATTAATTTTTATAATAACATTTATTTTTAAAAATGCTACCTCCAAATAAATAAAAAGAGGGAATGATGCATTGTGCAACCTAGTAACGTCTACCGAAAGCCACTGACATTTCAAATGTGTTCATACTAGGAGTTAAGAGCCCTGAAGGATTTCTCCTATGAAACTTCCCCACGTTGGGGGGGAAAAAGAACCTTCAAAATGCATAGCAGATCCGCATGACCCTCTCTTGGTAATTCCTACAGCCATCTCAACTCAAGAGCCACTTCACTAAATTCAACATCATTTCAGTCCCAAGGGATTAGCTGTGAATATATCTCGGTGTGTGTAGTTATTCAAAGACATTTAGACTGGCTTATATCAAGTTCAACATGGCACTAGTAATTTAAACCATCTTGACGACTCACTGCTTGAAGCCTGTTTTGAGAGACAGTGAAGAGGGCCAACAATATATGGCTGTGGCATTTCAATGCCATTCTCGGCCTTCAGTTATTCCCCCTCCAC